GCATTAAAACCTTACCATGTTAAGACGTTGTTTATAAAGTGTTGAGTTATAGCATTAGAACCTTACCATGTTAAGACGTTGTTAATAAAGTGTTAAGTTACAGCATTAGAACCTTACCATGTTAAGACGTTGTTTATAAAGTGTTGAGTTATAGCATTTGAACCTTACCATGTTAAGACGTTGTTTATAAAGTGTTGAGTTATAGCATTAGAACCTTACCATGTTAAGACGTTGTTTATAAAGTGTTAAGTTATAGCATTAGAACCTTACCATGTTAAGACGTTGTTTATAAAGTGTTGAGTTATAGCATTAGAACCTTACCATGTTAAGACGTTGTTTATAAAGTGTTGAGTTACAGCATTAGAACCTTACCATGTTAAGACGTTGTTTATAAAGTGTTGAGTTACAGCATTAAAACCTTACCATGTTAAGACGTTGTTTATAAAGTGTTGAGTTACAGCATTAGAACCTTACCATGTTAAGACGTTGTTTATAAAGTGTTGAGTTATAGCATTAGAACCTTACCATGTTAAGACGTTGTTTATAAAGTGTTGAGTTATAGCATTAGAACCTTACCATGTTAAGACGTTGTTTATAAAGTGTTGAGTTACAGCATTAGAACCTTACCATGTTAAGACGTTGTTTATAAAGTGTTGAGTTACAGCATTAAAACCTTACCATGTTAAGACGTTGTTTATAAAGTGTTGAGTTATAGCATTAGAACCTTACCATGTTAAGACGTTGTTTATAAAGTGTTGAGTTACAGCATTAGAACCTTACCATGTTAAGACGTTGTTTATAAAGTGTTGAGTTACAGCATTAGAACCTTACCATGTTAAGACGTTGTTTATAAAGTGTTGAGTTATAGCATTAGAACCTTACCATGTTAAGACGTTGTTTATAAAGTGTTGAGTTACAGCATTAGAACCTTACCATGTTAAGACGTTGTTTATAAAGTGTTGAGTTACAGCATTAAAACCTTACCATGTTAAGACGTTGTTTATAAAGTGTTGAGTTACAGCATTAGAACCTTACCATGTTAAGACGTTGTTTATAAAGTGTTGAGTTACAGCATTAGAACCTTACCATGTTAAGACGTTGTTTATAAAGTGTTGAGTTATAGCATTAGAACCTTACCATGTTAAGACGTTGTTTATAAAGTGTTGAGTTATAGCATTAGAACCTTACCATGTTAAGACGTTGTTTATAAAGTGTTGAGTTATAGCATTAGAACCTTACCATGTTAAGACGTTGTTTATAAAGTGTTGAGTTATAGCATTAGAACCTTACCATGTTAAGACGTTGTTTATAAAGTGTTGAGTTATAGCATTAGAACCTTACCATGTTAAGACGTTGTTTATAAAGTGTTGAGTTATAGCATTTGAACCTTACCATGTTAAGACGTTGTTTATAAAGTGTCAGCATTAGAACCTTACCATGTTAAGACGTTGTTTATAAAGTGTTGAGTTACAGCATTAGAACCTTACCATGTTAAGACGTTGTTTATAAAGTGTTGAGTTACAGCATTAGAACCTTACCATGTTAAGACGTTGTTTATAAAGTGTTGAGTTATAGCATTAGAACCTTACCATGTTAAGACGTTGTTTATAAAGTGTTGAGTTATAGCATTAGAACCTTACCATGTTAAGACGTTGTTTATAAAGTGTTGAGTTACAGCATTAGAACCTTACCATGTTAAGACGTTGTTTATAAAGTGTCAGCATTAGAACCTTACCATGTTAAGACGTTGTTTATAAAGTGTTAAGTTATAGCATTAGAACCTTACCATGTTAAGACGTTGTTTATAAAGTGTTGAGTTATAGCATTAGAACCTTACCATGTTAAGACGTTGTTTATAAAGTGTTGAGTTACAGCATTAGAACCTTACCATGTTAAGACGTTGTTTATAAAGTGTTGAGTTATAGCATTAGAACCTTACCATGTTAAGACGTTGTTTATAAAGTGTTAAGTTATAGCATTAGAACCTTACCATGTTAAGTTATAGCATTAGAACCTTACCATGTTAAGACGTTGTTTATAAAGTGTTGAGTTACAGCATTAGAACATTACCATGTTAAGACGTTGTTTATAAAGTGTTGAGTTACAGCATTAGAACATTACCATGTTAAGACGTTGTTTATAAAGTGTTAAGTTACAGCATTAGAACATTACCATGTTAAGACGTTGTTTATAAAGTGTTGAGTTATAGCATTAGAACCTTACCATGTTAAGACGTTGTTTATAAAGTGTCAGCATTAGAACCTTACCATGTTAAGACGTTGTTTATAAAGTGTTGAGTTACAGCATTAGAACCTTACCATGTTAAGACGTTGTTTATAAAGTGTTGAGTTATAGCATTAGAACCTTACCATGTTAAGACGTTGTTTATAAAGTGTTAAGTTATAGCATTTGAACCTTACCATGTTAAGACGTTGTTTATAAAGTGTTGAGTTATAGCATTTGAACCTTACCATGTTAAGACGTTGTTTATAAAGTGTTGAGTTACAGCATTAGAACCTTACCATGTTAAGACGTTGTTTATAAAGTGTTGAGTTACAGCATTAGAACCTTACCATGTTAAGACGTTGTTTATAAAGTGTTGAGTTATAGCATTAGAACCTTACCATGTTAAGACGTTGTTTATAAAGTGTTGAGTTACAGCATTAGAACCTTACCATGTTAATACGTTGCTTATAAAGTGTTAGCATTAGAACCTTACCATGTTAAGACGTTGTTTATAAAGTGTTGAGTTATAGCATTAGAACCTTACCATGTTAAGACGTTGTTTATAAAGTGTTGAGTTATAGCATTAGAACCTTACCATGTTAAGACGTTGTTTATAAAGTGTTGAGTTATAGCATTAGAACCTTACCATGTTAAGACGTTGTTTATAAAGTGTTGAGTTACAGCATTAGAACCTTACCATGTTAAGACGTTGTTTATAAAGTGTTGAGTTATAGCATTAGAACCTTACCATGTTAAGACGTTGTTTATAAAGTGTTGAGTTACAGCATTAGAACCTTACCATGTTAAGACGTTGTTTATAAAGTGTTAAGTTATAGCATTAGAACCTTACCATGTTAAGACGTTGTTTATAAAGTGTTGAGTTACAGCATTAGAACCTTACCATGTTAAGACGTTGTTTATAAAGTGTTGAGTTATAGCATTAGAACCTTACCATGTTAAGACGTTGTTTATAAAGTGTCAGCATTAGAACCTTACCATGTTAAGACGTTGTTTATAAAGTGTTGAGTTACAGCATTAGAACCTTACCATGTTAAGACGTTGTTTATAAAGTGTTAAGTTACAGCATTAGAACCTTACCATGTTAAGACGTTGTTTATAAAGTGTTGAGTTATAGCATTTGAACCTTACCATGTTAAGACGTTGTTTATAAAGTGTTGAGTTATAGCATTAGAACCTTACCATGTTAAGACGTTGTTTATAAAGTGTTAAGTTATAGCATTAGAACCTGACCATGTTAAGACGTTGTTTATAAAGTGTTGAGTTACAGCATTAGAACCTTACCATGTTAAGACGTTGTTTATAAAGTGTTAAGTTATAGCATTAGAACCTTACCATGTTAAGACGTTGTTTATAAAGTGTTGAGTTACAGCATTAGAACCTTACCATGTTAAGACGTTGTTTATAAAGTGTTGAGTTACAGCATTAAAACCTTACCATGTTAAGACGTTGTTTATAAAGTGTTGAGTTACAGCATTAGAACCTTACCATGTTAAGACGTTGTTTATAAAGTGTTGAGTTATAGCATTAGAACCTTACCATGTTAAGACGTTGTTTATAAAGTGTTGAGTTACAGCATTAGAACCTTACCATGTTAAGACGTTGTTTATAAAGTGTTGAGTTACAGCATTAGAACCTTACCATGTTAAGACGTTGTTTATAAAGTGTTGAGTTACAGCATTAGAACCTTACCATGTTAAGACGTTGTTTATAAAGTGTTGAGTTACAGCATTAGAACCTTACCATGTTAAGACGTTGTTTATAAAGTGTTGAGTTACAGCATTAGAACCTTACCATGTTAAGACGTTGTTTATAAAGTGTTAAGTTATAGCATTTGAACCTTACCATGTTAAGACGTTGTTTATAAAGTGTTGAGTTATAGCATTAGAACCTTACCATGTTAAGACGTTGTTTATAAAGTGTTGAGTTACAGCATTAGAACCTTACCATGTTAAGACGTTGTTTATAAAGTGTTAAGTTATAGCATTAGAACCTTACCATGTTAAGACGTTGTTTATAAAGTGTTGAGTTACAGCATTAGAACCTTACCATGTTAAGACGTTGTTTATAAAGTGTTGAGTTACAGCATTAGAACCTTACCATGTTAAGACGTTGTTTATAAAGTGTTAAGTTATAGCATTAGAACCTTACCATGTTAAGACGTTGTTTATAAAGTGTTAAGTTATAGCATTAGAACCTTACCATGTTAAGACGTTGTTTATAAAGTGTTGAGTTATAGCATTAGAACCTTACCATGTTAAGACGTTGTTTATAAAGTGTCAGCATTAGAACCTTACCATGTTAAGACGTTGTTTATAAAGTGTTGAGTTACAGCATTAGAACCTTACCATGTTAAGACGTTGTTTATAAAGTGTTGAGTTATAGCATTAGAACCTTACCATGTTAAGACGTTGTTTATAAAGTGTTGAGTTACAGCATTAGAACCTTACCATGTTAAGACGTTGTTTATAAAGTGTTGAGTTATAGCATTTGAACCTTACCATGTTAAGACGTTGTTTATAAAGTGTTGAGTTACAGCATTAAAACCTTACCATGTTAAGACGTTGTTTATAAAGTGTTGAGTTACAGCATTAGAACCTTACCATGTTAAGACGTTGTTTATAAAGTGTTGAGTTATAGCATTTGAACCTTACCATGTTAAGACGTTGTTTATAAAGTGTTGAGTTACAGCATTAAAACCTTACCATGTTAAGACGTTGTTTATAAAGTGTTGAGTTATAGCATTAGAACCTTACCATGTTAAGACGTTGTTGCCAATACGGTTCTTCCTTACTGTCTGTTAAATTGCCTTCAAAAGAAAAAAAAACTAATTATTGACTACTATCTATTGTTATAGGTAAAATATCAACACCGTGTACATAACGATTGTTGTCAATACAAACAATATATTTTTTGGAAACTTTATACAAGTAATCTGCATGTTACTTACACATAATACACACTGATGACAGCGCTGTATTGTGATATTAAATTGTTACTAAAATCTCATTTTTTTAAGGAAGTTAAAAAAAATTACAGTAATATGTTGCAATATATACAATTGCTTTTAACATTCAGATAAAAAATTTGAAATGTATCATTGATTTTCACATCTTATTTATATAACATAGTTACAGGTTTATAAACTTTTACTTTACCTAATGTAAAGTTAGTTATAACAACATTGGACTTATTTGATGATGCAGAGATGTCTGGGCATTTCCATTCATCAAACGATGTGAGGACTATGGCGGGAACAACATAAGCATATTGTGGACACTGAACGATTGGTAGTCTGAAACATATAACAAAGTTACAATGACGGATTACTGGAATAAAAGCTAGATAATTATTACATCATTAAATTCAAATTAATTGTTATTATGCATGGGACAACATAAAAATATGCGTTTTCGAGAGAAAAAAAATATATTTATGTTGGTTGAGCTTTTTAAGGTTGGTTTAGAATCATGAGTTGCAAGACACAAAATACTATTTAAATTCTATTTTATGTTTTATAAAACAGACATTCAAATGATATTGGTCGACATAGTACTGTATTGAAAGTATGCAATTAAACGAACAACGTGAAAATGTCATGATTAATTATCTCTATCCATGGTAAAGTGTTCAAAATTTTTGATGATGCTTACCTTACACCAAAGAAGAACTGAATGACTGTGCAGATACCGCAAGCAAACAACATGTTTCCTAATAGTATGGAAGCAACCTCTACATCACCTCGAGCACAGATTGTTATAGCAACTAGTCCAGGAGTGGCTAAATTCGAACTAAGAAGCATCAAATAATGCTGAAAATATACAACGTACTGTATGAGAAGATACAACGTATCACCGTGACATTTTGGGAAACAAGAACGTATTACAGTAACTGTGACTGTATGAGAAGGTACAACGTATCACCGTGACATTATGGGAAGCTAGAACGTATTACTGTGACTGTATGAGAAGATACAACGTATCACCGTGACATTATGGGAAACAAGAACGTATTACTGTGACTGTATGAGAAGATACAACGTATCACCGTGACATTATGGGAAACTAGAACGTATAACTGTGACTGTATGAAGATACAACGTGTCACCGTGACATTATGGGAAGCTAGAACATATTACTGTGACTGTATGAGAAGAAACAACGTATAATTGTGACATTATGGGAAACAAGAACGTATTACTGTGACTGTATGAAGATACAACGTGTCACCGTGACATTATGGGAAGCTAGAACATATTACTGTGACTGTATGAGAAGAAATAACGTATAATTGTGACATTATGGGAAGCTAGAACGTATTATTGTGCCTATATGAAGATACAACGTATCACCGTGACATTATGGGAAGCTAGAACGTATTACTATGACTGTATAAGAAGAAACAACGTATAATTGTGACATTATGGGAAACTAGAACGTATTTCTGTGACTGTATGAAGATACAACGTATCACCACGACATTATGGGAAGCTAGAACATATTACTGTGACTGTATGAGAAGAAACAACGTATAATTGTGACATTATGGGAAACTAGAACGTATTTCTGTGACTGTATGAAGATACAACGTATCACCACGACATTATGAGAAGCTAGAACATATTACTGTGACTGTATGAGAAGAAACAACGTATAATTGTGACATTATGGGTAACTAGAACGTATTATTGTGCCTATATGAAGATACAACGTATCACCGTGACATTATGGGAAGCTAGAACGTATTACTGTGACTGTATGAGAAGAAACAACGTATAAGTGTGACATTATGGGAAGCTAGAACGTATTTCTGTGACTGTATGCGAAGAAACAACGTATAATTGTGACATGATGGGAAGCTAGAACGTATTACTGTGACTGTATGAGAAGAAACAACGTATAATTATGACATTATGGGAAGCTAGAACGTATTATTGTGACTGTATGAGAAAATCAACGTATCACCGTGACATTATGGGAAACTAGAACGTATTACTGTGACTATATGAAGATACAACGTATCACCGTGACATTATGGGAAGCTAGAACATATTACTGTGACTGTATGAGAAGAAACAACGTATAATTGTGACATTATGGGAAGCTCGAACGTATTTCTGTGGCTGTATGCGAAGAAACAACGTATAATTGTGACATTATGAGAAGCTAAAACGTATTACTGTGACTGTATGAGGAGAAACAACGTATAATTGTGACATTATGGGAAGCTAGAACGTATTACTGTGACTGTATGAAGATACAACGTATCACCGTGTCATTGTGGGAAACTAGATCATATAACTGGGACTGTATGAGAAGTTACAACGTATCATCGTGACATTATGGGAAACTGTGACTGTATGTATTAGATAAACCTTGAGGGCGTTATCCCGAATGAGTGTTTCTGATTTACACCAAGATATTATTGTCAATGCAGAATGATAAAATTGAGAATGGAAATGGGAAATGTGTCAAAGAGACAACAACCCGACCTTAGAGCAGACAACAGCGTTTTCAATAATTTAGGAGGGGGTCTTTCAGCGATTTGACCATATGTTATTGAAAAACATGATAAATGCAGCGTATTCAATTTCATTTAACGACATCTTGGTGTAAATATATAAGAATATCCGATAGTTACCTGAAAAGCTAGAAAGACTGTTGTTATCCATGGAGGATTGTCTTCCACTTTGTATTGTAATCCTGATAATGTTCGTCTGCCTTCCATCTTAATTCCCTTCGAAAATAAAGAGAAAGAACATATTCGGAAAACAAAAAATTAGTAAAACATGATGATGATGATGTTGATGAATATTTGTTAGCATGTCAATTTCCACAATGTCGTTCACCATTTTCGTCTTCCTGCATACTATATTGTATTCACGATCAATTCATCCAAATAATCACGATCTCAAGGGAAGATATTTAAACTTTTTTGACACTCTCCTGTCAATAAGGTATCTATAAAAAATGAAATTGAAAATAACCCTCAACAGATTTCATGATTATCTGGAATAACATGGCATGTATGAGAAAAGAGTAAATAAGTTGATTCAAAAACAAGTTGAAGATTTTACAATATGTCTAACAAGTTTGTATATATATACATACCTTTATTCAAGTGTTCTGCCAAAATACTTTGCTTTTAATTAAAAAAAATGTTGTATTTATATGGATGCTAACCACCTTCAACTTTCAGCATCAGCACCATGCAGTATCCTGATGAAAAATGCATGACTTTTCATTGGCAAAAGAAAACGGTCAATTTTATATAAAAATATGCTACCTAATAGCTTAATAATAGTAAATTGAAATAATTGGTTCAATTTGATTTTACATTTGGATTGTTTTCGATGTTTACATCCTTCTTGTACATTACGTTATGAAGGTCACTTGGTCATTATTTTTTAAAGTGCATTCATTTTTCTATTTACGCAATATTAACAAATAGTTGAATGTATATTTTTTTGCAATTGACACACTAAAGGAAATCTGTTAAGTTTAATATTGACATGACTGTTAAAGTTCAATAACACATTTGGGCACATTCATTCTATTTCCTTTCTTTTATCTGCTTCTTCTCCCTGGCCCTTATCTGAATTTAACCAAACTTTCTAAGAATCAACACTATATTATTCCATTGTGCAGATTCTATGTATTAGATACAATATAAAGGTAACAAAGAAACAGGCCGGTAACAACCGTTGCCGGATAGTTTTTCTGCACGAGTAGTCAGGTCAAGGTCCGAGGCGATAGCCGAGGACCTTGACCTGACTACAAGTGCAGACAAACTATACGGCAGGTTGTTTCCGGCCTGTTTTTTGTTACCTTTGTTTTGTATCTGACTTGTACAACGTTTCAAGAAGGAAGAAGTAAATTTTGCATTTAGAAGAGGTAGCAAAACTAAAGATATTAGAAACTTAAACGGCCATATACCAGTTAATGTAAGTTACAGTTTAAACTCAATTTTTTTTTCTCACTTCCATTCATGAAGCCGAGAGTTTTTTCTAAAAAAATTCAAGAATCTAATAACTTTATAAAAAGAACCATTTCAAGTTAAAGGTGAATGTTATACACATTTGAGACTTTTTGAAATGCAACTTCGCAAGTAAGTAATGTATAAAAAAGATTTCAGAGGTAAGCAAGCTACCATTTGATTTTATTGGGGGGGGGGGGGGGGGGGGTAAACATAAATTTAAAATAAACAGGCTTCATCCTTTTTTTTGTTGAAAAAATGCAGGATGTGCCATGTCCATGTCTTGTTATTATATATATATATATATATATATAGGCATATGTTTTGGATTAAAAAAAAATGTTCATGCTTATAGGTTTTTATATGATAGTGTTGATCAGGATTAAACACGTGTCACTATATGATCCAATCAGAGCTTACCGTCCAAAATTGAAGACATAAGTTGAATGATTTTCTTCACGATTTGCTGCATATTTGAACATGTATTACACGGACATTTTTTATTTATAGGATCAATCGTGCATTGGTGAGTTGATAGGGATTTTATCTTTTGATTAGATTTGATTTATATATATTTGTACGACTTTGCCCCCAGCAGAGCTATAGAAAAACAGTACATTAACGGGTGTTACACGGACACTTTTTAGATGTTTCATGGACACTTTTTAGTTGTTACACGGACACTTTTTATGAATAGAATCACTCGTGCATGATTTGCTGCATATTTGAACATGTATTACACGGACACTTTTTATTTATAGGATCAATCGTGCATTGGTGAGTTGATAGGGATTTTATCTTTTGATTAGATTTGATTTATATATATATATATATTTCCTGTATTTTTATTGAAATATAAACGTTGGTACCAGCATTTCTTTCAGCATTGTCCAGAATACTATTCATGTCCATATATTGAAAAAAAAAACATTTACGGACCGACCATTTAGCTTCAAAAGGGGATGTGTTCTTTTCTGAGTAAAAAAAAGTTTTTCAACGCTATCGCCCAAATATTTTTTTTTTCGAAATCAGCACTATTATATAAGGTATTCGGAAAATCAGGAGTCAGAACATTATTTTCAGTGTCATCTGCTTGACCATTATATATTTTTTCTCATAAAATTGGGGATCAAAATGGTTTTTTTTAGGAAAAAACCATAACCGGCCTTTTGAAGTTAAATGGTCAACCCCTTAGTGTACTAATATGAATAGTTACTGGAATTGTTTGAAAAAAAATATAGTTATTGATGCTAACGTAAATATTTTTAATTAAAAAGACAGGAAATATGTCGGTGAAACAAAAAGTTCAAATCTAATTGAAATTTAAAGTGCCCATGAACTCACTGATCATGCACGAGTGATTCTATTCATAAAAAGTGTCCGTGTAACAACTAAAAAGTGTCCGTGTAACATCTAAAAAGTGGCCGTGTAACACCCGTTAATGTACTGTTTTTCTATAGCTCTGCTGGGGGCAAAGTCGTACAATTTGTTTTTCCCATTCCAATTTATGTTTAGGATCATGAACTTTGTACGGTCGGGTTTTTATTTTATGAGCTTTGCTCAGCTAAACAGTACTTAATTTGATGAAGATCTAACAGAGACATTTTTTTTGGTTTATAGGATACACAATTGTATTTGTTGGTTCATAATGAATAACAGTTCTGCATAGCTGATGGTCAGGGATAAAACAATTAAAATACACACACACTGCCGATGACTGTAAGTTGAAGGAAGAGAATTGCGATCAACACCCGTAAGAACGAGAAGAACAATAATATACAGCATACTTTGACCTGGCTTACATGGAAAGTTAGAGGCTTTTAACCAACTTAGTAGCACATAAGTTGAATTGAAAATAATTATGCTACAGCGAGTTGTTTTAATGAACTGAAAGTAATGTACTTGACAATGAAGGACTGGAAATGCTAGAATTATCAGAGAAACTGTACTCAAGCAAAGCAAGGACCGCCAGACAAAACATCGGATATAGCGTACAGAACCGATACATATTACAATCAGAAAAATCACCATACAATGTTTTTGTCTATGATATTGTTATAAACAAAGACATATAACAAAAATCCATGTATACATTTTCAAAGTGCTCATCTTTCATGTGAGTCAACTGTTAAACTTCTTGGCATTGACATTGGTTATCAGTTAAATTCTTATAGTAATTTACTGGATATTCCCCATGTGAAATCAACACAGTTTGGTAAGAAAAGTTTTAGATTTGCAGCTGCTACTCTGTTGAACAGCTTACCCGACAATTTCAGTGCTGAAAATAGTTTCAAGTTCACAATTCAAGAGCCTTAAACAGTCCTTGAATGGATCGGGATGTTGTTGTTCTACATGTAGATAAGATTTTCGTGTATTATATTTTATTTCTAGTGCTTTTAATTAAAACAGTTATGCTTAATTTTTGATATTTTGATAATACTACTAGACAAGATTATAATGAGTGAAATTTATATAGACTAGATTATCACTGTACAGTAGCCTAATACCTTAGGATGACCCACAAAAGTTATTGTTTTGTTGTAGTTCAGTGTTTCTGTAGTTCCGGTTGTTTTCCTCTTATAGTTGATGTGTTTCCCTCGGTTTTATTTTGTTACCCGGATTTGTTTTCGCTTAATCGAATAATGACTATTGAACAGCGGTATACTACTGTTGCCTTTATTTATTTATATTCGGTAAAAATCTCTCTCGAGCTTGTTTGTAATGTTAAATATAAACCGGGAAAAAACCAACTTCGTATTCGTATTCGTATACAATGGGGTAACATATTCCGTCAGTGTTATGCATAATATTGGTACTAGTAAATAATTTTATAACAAATACATATAATGTAATTTCATTATTTAATTGTGCATTCATAATTTATATGGTTGACTGATGCCTCTGATTCTGGCCGATGCTAATATACTAAATATACATGTACACTGTGATGTTTATTGTTGTAATTATCAATTATGTCAATCAATTGTAACTGATTTTTGTGCCCTTTATGGGCCCTGTAATTTGGGAAATAAAAATATTCTCAATGACATGCAGTCTATTCTATTCTATCAGTCATACAAAAACAAAAAGGTTCAATAAAGCAACTCAACACAGATATTGAAGCATGCATTTATTGGGTACAAAAGTCAAAAGCAAAAATTAAATAGTTTGCAGCATAAAAAAGCACTTATATAGATATTAGATAAAGAAAAAACCATAAGCAAAAGATAGCGAAAGCACTATTCAATCCGGATATATTTACAAATATGTCCGTTTTGAACCGCAATTTATAATAAGGGAATAAACTTCCGGTTAATTTCTGAAAAATAAGAGAGTAAGTTAGTCAGCATTAGTGTTTTCATTCATTCTATATGAAGAAAATCTTATTCAATTGTAACGACAGGCAATATCAGACCGTCACACAGGACTTTAAGTGTTACAAATAGTTTACTGCATTTGTCGTAGGAAAAAAATGATTCTGACCTAAAACTAAGACTGACAACGCTTGGCATTTTTGGGTTTTGTTAATCATTTTTACATCGTGTGACATTCTCTGAATTTTTAAATAAAGGGGTTACAAGCACATGGAACATATTGTCTGACACTTACCTCTTTGTTTCTCCGCTTCATCACCATTACGGCATTAGATGATTGCAATCATGAACTACCACAGGTTTTTCTCAAGCTTACAATTAGCTGCAGAACCGAACCTCTTATGGTCCTTATAATATTTTTTGACAAATTGCAGACCATAGAATGTAAAAAATATCATAAGGACCATAAGAGCTACAGTTCCATAGCTATTGATGCAGGACGCGATGTCCATACTGCCACTTCGTCCATAGGACAACATCGTCCATACTTTGTGAAGATGCGTCGTCCATGGGTTTTTTTTTCGGAAATAAATTTTATTTATAAAGTATTGTGATATATACATGTAGATGGTTATTATAACTTGTAAATGTATTATGCTGTATTTACATTATTTGTCATGTTTTTATATGTTAAACACTTGGAATACACATTATACATTGTATATATCATATATAAATGTGCTTTATCTAATAAAATATTTTTATTATTTTCTAAATGTATTTTTAATATCTTGCATAAAACAAACTGAAAAAAACATAACAAATAAAAATGAACATCCAAAATGGGAGATTAATTTCTGTCATAGTTGAAGCAATAAGTTTAGTTTTGAAATATAAAACTAAGTAATCAGATAATGATTAATTTTAAAATTTAAAAGATTGTTAATTGCTTATTATCATTTCTTTGATGAACATTAGTATTAATTATGCTCTTGTCAAGAAATTGTAAAGGAAATACAAAACGAGATCACTATAAAAACAACAGCACCCAAGCTGAGTTCAAGCTGATACAAACATACATTGGGTAGTGAAATTCTTGTAACAATACAAGCTGTTTGAGCAGTCTTTTTGAAGTACTGACCTCGCAGCATAAAAGTAACCAGAAAAGTCGTTTGCAATAATTTTACAAAATCATATTTATGTTATAACTATGAAATAATACTGGTTGTATTATTATATTTTATGTTATAACCACAATGGAATAAATACTTAAAGTATGAACGATACGTCTTTACAAGGTATGGATGATGTGGAAGTATGGCCGACACATCCTACGGACGAAGTGGAAGCATGGTCGTTGCGTCTTGAAAGCATTGAGATCAGGAAGATTCCCAGGCGTGAAATCATATACAGATATAGCCTTTGTTATTCATAATATAATTACATTGACAGAGTTTGTGTCGTGCTGTGTTGAGGCTGTAGAAAATTTCCTCATGCTTGAGGTGTAATTTCTTATATTTTTTTTTACAGTTATCATGGTTATGGGGTACAGTGTGTATTCTTGAGATTGTTTTTGTAAAAATGTAAGTTCTTATGTGCATGTTGTGTGATGAGAACTACTTCACTTGTTCGTTTTTTTTCTGCCATTAGTTTTAGTGAAAATGTTATGGACACCATCATAAACTATATATTTTACTTTTTAAAAATTATTATTATTTATCCATCTAATATATTTAAGGAATGACTGTAATATTTTTTCTGTCTATGAAGAAATAACATCAAAAATGTGGTGCACACTGAATAACCAGCGTAGCGGGTTATTTTAAAGTGTGCACCACATTTTTTATGTTATTTCGAATAGACAGATAAAATATTTCAGTCATTTCTTATAATTTAATTCTTAATTCCATTTTAAACCGGTGTAAATCATGAAAAAACGTTGATGACGTCAAGGTCACATGACAAAATTATGTCTATGAGCTGATAAACAAAACAACATCAGCCAATCGGAAGACGCGTTACATCCAAAATTAAATTATATATATATATCATTTAACAATTGAATTAATGTGCACTATGGTTGTTGAACTGTTTGTATTGTTTCTGTATTGTACAATAAGATTATGGGTCTACTTATTTAATTTATAGGTTAAATTTGTTGAAATTACCCAGCATCTGTGTTCTTTAAAGTTGGTAATACATGAAATTAGCAAAGAATTTCCCTTAAATGGATGCTAGGGGATCCTGACATTTTGAACTTTCTGTCAGGTGTGAACTTTTGCTTCATGTTGAAGACCTCAATACAAAGTTTGACTTTCAGATGAAATAAAAGCTCTGTTTCTATGCTTTTTGTTTTGTCAATTGTGCATTAGATGCAGTCATGTGTAATTAATATTTATTGTATAAAACAAAAGAAATGTATTTGTGTGTTGGTGACTACACTCAATCACTTTGCAGTTCTGGAATAAGATATAACATTTGTTTCAGATATTAACTTATGTTGTGAAAACAGTGCAGTCATGGAGAATGGTAATGGTTTGGTATTGGTAGAGTCTCAGCAGAGTAGGAGCTCAAGTCTTATTGACTCAAATATTTCACAGACCAGCGAGCAAGGGGATGGTGTCACATCAAATAATAATCTATTTATAGACAAAGACAGAGCCCATAACTTTCTTAGAGGGTTTTCAAAACTATACCGTAACAAAGAATTTGTTGATGTAGTACTTTCAGTTGATGGGAAAGATTTTCCCTGCCATAAAAATGTCTTGGCAATATCCAGTCCTTTTTTCATGGCAATGTTTTCAACAGATATGGCTGAAAGCCACCAAGATAAGATTGCACTACATGAGATTGACTCCTTAACAATGGAGTTAGTGTTAGATTATATATATACAGGACAAGTGAGCTTATCAGAAGATACCGTACAACATTTATTGTCTGCGTCAAACAGGTTTCAGTTGTTATCGTTACGTACAGGATGTGCTGAATTCATGATGAATCATATTACCGTTGTTAATTGTATTGGTGTATATTTTTTTGCCAAAGCACATGAGTGTGAGATTTTAGCTTTAAAAGCAAAAGAGATTATAAATAGTCAGTTTTCAGTATTATGTAAACAGCAAGAATTTTTATCTCTTCCTGCCGATAAACTTGTTGAGATTGTCAGTGATGATGACATTAATGTTACAGTAGAAGAGACAGTTTTTGAGGCATGCTTAGAATGGGTAATGACAGAAAAGGAAAAAAGGCAAAATCATCTAATGGAGATCATGAATTGTGTAAGGTTTGCAAATATTACTTCATATTATTTCTGTGATAAAATTGATCCAAACACTTTACTGAGGAGTTGTGAATCATTACGGAACACATTAGATATTGTCCGATACTACCACATGTTACGAAATAGACAACAGGAAATGGATCTGAACTTAATGCCAAGACAAGGCATGTTATATGAAAGGGGAGTAATGATCATAGCTAATCCTTACACTGAAGATTCACTGAAGAAATTCAATAGCATGGAGTTACTACTGCCAAAGACAGGAGAAGTCATTTCTATATGTAAACTCCCACAAAGTTTGTATACTCCAGGTAAGACTTGTGTTAACTCCCACAAAGTTTGTATATCCCAGGTAAAACATGTTAACTCCCACAAAGTTTGTATACCCCAGGTAAGACTTATGTTAACTCCCACAAAGTTTGTATACCCCAAGTAAGACATGTGAACTCCCACAAAGTTTGTATACCCCAGGTAAGACTTATGTAAACTCCCACAAAGTTTGTATACCCCAGGTAAGACATGTAAACTCCCACAAAGTTTGTATATCCCAGGTAAGACTTATGTGAACTCCCACAAAGTTTGTATTCCCCAGGTAAGACATGTAAACTCCCACAAAGTTTGTATATCCCAGGTAAGACATGTTAACTCCCACAAAGTTTGTATACCCCAGGTAAGACATGTAAACTCCCACAAAGTTTGTATACCCCAGGTAAGACTTATGTTAACTCCCACAAAGTTTGTATACCCCAGGTAAGACATGTTAACTCCCACAAAGTTTGTATACCCCAGATAAGACTTATGTTAACTCCCACAAAGTTTGTATACCCCAAGTAAGACATGTGAACTCCCACAAAGTTTGTATACCCCAGGTAAGACTTATGTAAACTCCCACAAAGTTTGTATACCCCAGGTAAGACATGTGAACTCCCACAAAGTTTGTATACCCCAGGTAAGACTTATGTGAACTCCCACAAAGTTTGTATACCCCAGGTAAGACATGTAAACTCCCACAAAGTTTGTATACCCCAGGTAAGACTTATGTAAACTCCCACAAAGTTTGTATACCCCAGGTAAGACATGTGAACTCCCACAAAGTTTGTATACCCCAGGTGAGACTTATGTGAACTCCCACAAAGTTTGTATACCCCAGGTAAGACATGTAAACTCCCACAAAGTTTGTATACCCCAGGTAAGACTTATGTTAACTCCCACAAAGTTTGTATACCCCAGGTAAGACATGTTAACTCCCACAAAGTTTGTATACCCCAGGTACAAATGTAAGACTTATGTAAACTCCTACAAAGTTTGTATACTCCAGGTAAGTCTTATGTAAACTCCCACAAAGTTTGTATACCCCAGGTAAGACATGTTAACTCCCACAAAGTTTGTATACCCCAGGTAAGACTTATGTAAACTCCCACAAAGTTTGTATACCCCAGGTAAGACATGTGAACTCCCACAAAGTTTGTATACCCCAGGTAAGACTTATGTTAACTCCCACAAAGTTTGTATACTCCAGGTAAGACATGTGAACTCCCACAAAGTTTGTATACCCCAGGTAAGACTTATGTTAACTCCCACAAAGTTTGTATACCCCAGGTAAGACATGTTAACTCCCACAAAGTTTGTATACCCCAGGTAAGACATGTTAACTCCCACAAAGTTTGTATACCCCAGGTACAAATGTAAGACTTATGTAAACTCCTACAAAGTTTGTATACTCCAGGTAAGTCTTATGTAAACTCCCACAAAGTTTGTATACCCCAGGTAAGACATGTTAACTCCCACAAAGTTTGTATACCCCAGGTACAAATGTAAGACTTATGTAAACTCCTACAAAGTTTGTATACTCCAGGTAAGTCTTATGTAAACTCCCACAAAGTTTGTATTCCCCAGGTAAGACATGTTAACTCCCACAAAGTTTGTATACCCCAGGTAAGACTTATGTTAACTCCCACATAAGTCTTACCTGGGGTATACAAACTTTGTGGAAGTTAACATAAGTCTAACCTGGAGTATACACACTTTGTGGGAGTTAACCTTAAGGTTCCTTCATCCCTTCAGACATCTCAAATTATACTTACCCTAATTTGACAAAAATGGTATGTACTTTTTTTAATGATGGGTGGTATTCCATTATTTAAAAGACTGTTGGTAGAAAGATCATATTTGTTGAAAACAATGATTTTGTTTTAGGAAACATTTATCATATATTAAGTGAGATATTTAAAATTATTGAAAAAACATCTCTTTCAATTGGGTTTTATAAATCTAATGTAGACATAACATATATAATTGTACTGTATATAATCTTTCAACATATGATATTAACAGTAGGAGTCAACAACATTTCTAGATTTTATTTCACACATTACATGTACATCACAATAATATTCTGCTTTGCTGTTGTGACTTTCAGGTTGTGCAATAACAGGAGAAAATCAGGTTTATTTAGCTGGAGGTGCTATACGGAAGATTAACTACAGAGGTTCTGTCACAACAGAGGGTGTATCCAACAACTTCTATATGTTTGATCAGCTAGAATGTTCCTGGCAGACAAAAGCCAAAATGAATATGTGTAGATCACAGTTCTCACTCACAGTTGTTGATGGGTAAGTGTTATCAGTTGGAGTAGACCAGACAGACTAAAGCCAAGATGAAGATGTGTAGATCACAGTTGTTGATGGGGCCCCATCATGGGTAAGTGTAATCAGTTGGAGTAGACCAGACAGACAAAAGCCAAGATGAAGATGTGTAGATCACAGTTCTCACTCACAGTTGTTGATGGGTAAGTGTAATCAGTTGGAGTAGACCAGACAGACAAAAGCCAAGATGAATATATGTAGATCACAGTTCTCACTCACAGTTGTTGATGGGTAAGTGTTATCAGTTGGAGTAGACCAGACAGACTAAAGCCAAGATGAAGATGTGTAGATCACAGTTGTTGATGGGGCCCCATCATGGGTAAGTGTAATCAGTTGGAGTAGACCAGACAGACAAAAGCCAAGATGAAGATGTGTAGATCACAGTTCTCACTCACAGTTGTTGATGGGTAAGTGTTATCAGTTGGAGTAGACCAGACAGACAAAAGCCGAGATGAAGATATGTGTTCTTGCTTTGTTTGATATGAAATGTGATGAGTTGGATAACCTACATGTAGACAGATTGACCTACAATATATAAGCAAATATAAAAATGATGACTGGGAGTACCTAGTCAGACAGAGTTATAAAAATAAGGAGATTTGGTATGATTGCCAATGAGACAACTACACAATGTATCTATTAGAGCCCAAAGGATGAGGTTATAAACAACTACATGTAAAGGTCATCGTACAGCCTTCAACATGTGAAAGGACCAGGCATAACACAATGTGAAACAATTCAAAGGAAATAAACAATAGCCTGATTTATGCTTAAGATATAACATGAATAAATTTTACTGAATTCTGAAAGGTATATGATTTACTTGTTGGTTTGAATGTACCTAGTTACCTAAAGTAACTTTTGTTAGTTGTAACAATATTATGTGTATCAGTGAAAAAAATTACGACATATACAAAATAGTAAATGCCAAAATACACAATTTAATGATGATTGGAATAATATCCAGATCACTTTCAGACTCTATATAAATAGTGTGCCACTCTTAATCCATCATCTTGTCTCTGTAGAAGGTTTTTGAAGAACTGAAACTGGCCATGGTTTGAATCATCACCTGTTGAATGTGTGTTTTGGCATTACCTACTTTTTATCTATCTTCTTCGCATGATCATTAATTTTGTCTGTACAAGTATACAAACATGGCACCATGTACAACATCGTAGTGTGTTGACTCTTGTAACAACATTTAAAACACAATTCACATACATAGATGTTCGTTAATAATTATTTACAGGTACATGTTTGCTATTGGAGGTCAAGATGGAACTGAAATTCTTAGCAGTGTTGAACGATATGACCCACACTCCAATGCCTGGATGCTAGTGGCACCTCTACCAAAGGCCCTTAGATTTATGACAGCCTTGAGTTACAGAGGAAGGTTGTATGTTTTTGGAGGGGAGTCGTCCACAGATGTTAGTAACTCGGTGTATAGGTAAGGACTTTGTTTTATCATTAAACCATGTAACCATGGTTACAGAAAATCATCAAGATTCATGGCAACTTTTAGTTACAGAGGAAAGTTGCATGTTTTTGGATCAGAGTTGTCCACAGATGTTTGTAACTTAGTGTAAAGGTAAGGATCTATGTTCTATGGTTATATAAAGCCATCAGATACATGAAAACTTCGATTAACAGTGGAAGGAAGGAAAGTTGTATGTTTTAGAACGTGAATCATTCAAGATGTTTTTAAATCAGCCTTTAAGTAGTTAAAGAAAATAGTTGAATGTATTATTTAAAATATTTAGAATGATTGTAATTTTTACATATTCATCTGACTTATACCTCTTTTTCATGGTTCAATGATCAATGTTTTTCAGATAAAATAATAAGTTATATATGTTAACTACGCTCTGTGTGTTGAAAAGTGTCTATCTGATGGATCCATTGGGATTAACCTTACCTTGACCTCAGTGTTTTCCCTAGATTCTTTTAGCATCACAGATGCTATCTGAAATGATTTTTTTATAGATGTTGTTATCGATATGACCTCAATTTCATAGTTCATTGGTCAATCTTTAGTTTCAGAGATGAGAATCCTTTCTCACATACTATTTTTAATTGCTTTACCACCTTTAGGTGTATGAAATTATTTATAGGTGTACATCATGTACATGTATGCCTGTTAGGGTTTATCTGACCTTGACATCATTTTTATGGTTCATTGTCTATGTTAAGTCTCCATGATAAGGTCTGTTTCTCACATACTATAAGTCAACTATATTGGGTGAATATAATGATTGTAAGGTGTAGTTTTCATCTGAAAGGATTTATATGACCTTGACCTTATTATCATGGATCATTGCTAATGCTACGTTTCTGTTATGAATGTATTAAGACCTTGATCTTATAGACATTCAACATAAAATTCCATCATAATCAGTTACACAGGCGAGACATTTCAGTGTGTGCACTCTTTTCTAGTTATTGAAAATACCATTTACAGTTTACCTAGATATATGCTTTTCATTTTGTTAGGTCTAATGTTGTACAATGTAATTCATACTCTTCTGGTGCAATTACAGTGATTATTTGTAAAGTTTTCTGATCATCTAAATATAGATATACATATCTCTGTGTTAAAGGTTTTACCGTCACACAAGGGGGCATATGGGCATTTAAATACAAAAATGCTATCAGTTATAAATGTATTAGCTTATAGGAGCCTTTAGTTTTCTCCTTTCATTTATTTGTTATTTGTTTTGTGATGTATTCTGTATATTTTAGGTATGATCCAACAGAAGATACATGGACGGAGTTACCTCCCATGAATATAGCCAGAGTTCTAGCTGGGAGTGTTGTATATAAAGACAAGATCTATGTTATTGGTAATATGACTGTAAAACCTCCTTAATGAAACAATCTTTTGATTAATCCTTTTCATTTCTAAAATGTATACCTAATTAAACTCATCATTGTTACCAGGATTAAAATTGTGTACACCAGACATGTGTTTCATCTACAAAAGACTTAAATTAGACTCTAAATTTTTGCAGAAATTGATTTATTAGCCTGTCCCACTTTACATGGTTACCTTTTGAACGATAGATTTTAAAATTGTATTATAAAAACTATGTATACATTTGTTTAAAAAAGATTAAAAAAACCTTTGCACAATGATCATAACTTATAAAAGAGAGAGGAAAGATACCAAAGGGATATTCAAACTCATTAGTAAAAAAAAAACTGACAAAGCCATGGCAAAAAAAGAAAAAAAAACACAAACAACAGTACACAAAACACAACAGAAAAAACTAAAGGCTCCCTCAAAAACCAGGGATTATCTCAGGTGCTGCAGAAAGATAAGAAGATCCTGCTCCACATGCGGCACCTGTCGTGTTATAACTTATAACAGTAATTTATCTCTCTTATAACTTAATTTTGGATGTGACACGTCATCTGATTGGCTGTAAGTTTTTTGTCTATCAGCTCATAGACATAATTTTGACATGTGACCGTGACGTCATCAACGTTTTTTTCATTATTTATTCCTTAAAAATGGAATTTAGAATTAAATTATAAGGAATGACTGTAAAATATTTTCTGTCTATGAAGAAATAACCTCAAAAATGTGGTGCACACTTTTAAATAACCCGCTACACGTGTTATTCAGTATGCACCACATTTTTGATGTTATTTCTTCATAGACAGAAAAAATATTACAGTCATTCCTTAAATGGATGGAAAGCCCAGGGTATAGTTTTAGATCATATATTAAAAGCCTAATGATTGAATTTTTTATAATTAAGGTGGAAATTCAGCATTAAGTGAGAAATGGAAGAGAGAGTTTTTACCAGAACATTGTGTTAGTTCTGTAGAAATATTTGATCCAGAAAGCCAGACTTGGAGTCCAGGACCAGAACTTCCAAATGCTTTATGTGGAGCTGGTAAATTAGTTTCTTAAAATTTTCACAGAAAAACATGTACTTAAACCATTGTGGTGACGTCAGCCTATTCATTTACCGTGGATTCTTTTTCTAGAATCAACGCTTCCTAAATCTGCCGCTGAAATTGACTCACCAAATTATATCCAATTGTTTCCTTTGTGTGCCTAATTTCATTAAGTTTGAATTGGCTAATTTACTGATTTCTGTTCACTAATGGAATTAATTTAAAAACTTACCTTTAATTTTTGACATTTTTATTTGCCTTCACTGGGAATCGAACCCTTCCTTGAAATCTGTTATGTGTGACTTACATCAACACAACGACTAAACCTCTCGGCTACCAATGGGTTACACTATAGATGTCTATTTTATATATTTAAATGAACATCTGATATACATCGGTTCATCGGACACACAGGGCTTGTACCTTTATATAGACACAATAGGCAGTCGTATAGTATGAGTTGGTAGCCGCGAGGTTAGCATGGTTAAAATCAATGAGTCAAAGATAGGGATTTGTCGGTTTAGGTTCGAATCCCTGTATTCTCTCTGTTGTTCCAATTCTTAAGTTATCCTGTTTTTTTTTCTAATTTTGCATGTTATAGTGGATATTTTTGTAATAATAGCAAGTTTTTACCGTTTTTTTTATTATCATTGGCTATTTTACATGTTTGAAACAAAAATGATTACATTCTATTTGTCAATTTTGTTTTATAAATATAGTATGATTTCATCTGTTTTACTACATAATTTTACAATGGTTTGTTCGCAAATTCCTATGCGAGAAAATCGTGATGTGCCTAGAGTGCTTGAAAAATTTCGATAACATACTTATTATATATACTTTATATATGCTTTTTGGTCGGGTTGTAGTCTCTTTGACACGTTCCCCATTTCCATTTTTAATTTTATTAGAGATAATTTCGAATATGTCTTTTTTTGTATAAACAGATAATATTCATATGCCTGGTAATATAAAGATCTTTAAAGGTAGAAGTGTTATATTTGTATTTTGTAAACCAATTAATTGTGATCTGAGATTTATCAATGCATCGTTGGACACAATAACATGGTTATTTAAACTCACTTACAATACCTTCTAATTAAGAAAAGGCTTTAATTTTGAAAAGAAATTAACACAATAGTTTAAGTTATAGATACAATGGATAAGCATAGATTCATGAAAAGCAAACCATTCGCCCTCCGGGCTCATGGTTTCTTTTTCAAGAATCCACGCTTATCCATTGTATCTATATAACTTAAATCTCTTCGGACTCTATTTGGAATAAATGGTATTTTTAAAAAGATTAGATAAAAAGGTAGTATAGTTGTTCAATCACCAAATCAAATGAAACATAAAGTGACAAAATACCAAACCAAATGAAACATAAACTAACAAAATTGCTAGTATATCTATTTTGTACATGAAACAAAAATGACAAAAAGAGGATAAAAAATCAAACAAAATGTCTGTGCAAAGTGAATTTCTTATTGGAAAAGTAAAGTTACATTTTTCATACTTGATGAATGAACTGATTTAATTGCCCAGTGAAATATACATAAAAGAAACTCCCTTATATTTATCCCATTTTTATACACAAAAGTGGTCTTTTCTATAAAGATTCTGCACACAATTTGAAAGTTTCTTTTTACTGGCCAAATTTCAATAAATATATAACTCTAAACATTATTAGTAAGGGTTATCTGCTCCTAGACTATATAATTTTTTATGTACCTTTAAATGTTTAAAATTTTTTAGACATTTAATTTTTTCCTTCATTTCATGCTTAGAATTCATGTTTATTAATGAAGATAATATTTGTTCAAACTTTTGAATTGTTTTGCGCATACATACTCTCCCCCCCATCCCACAAAAAAAAATTGTGTTAAGGATTATTTGAGAGAAACCTGTGATATATTGATCTAAACAAGTTTATATTTTTTAAATCACAATGTTTGATTTTAATATTGTTGTAACCAATCTATATATATATATATATAAATTTCCACAATTACTTAAATACACAACAAAATATCTATTGTTTTAGGAATCGTGAAATATGGAAACACAATATTGATTGTTGGTGGAGAAGATGACAAAAGCTGGATGGCAGGACTTTGTTGGTTAAAAGAAGAGAAAGGACGACAGACATGGGCTGAAGGACAAGAACTACCTACTGTCATGAGTACATTTGGTTGTGTTGTAGCTAACATACACCATGAGGCACCAAAGAATCAGTGATGTTGTTGATTAAAATAGGTCTTGTTGTAGATGAGGACAAGATTGCTCTGATATCTGACAGACTTTTTAGGACTTATTTTGGTTGTGGGACGTAAGAGCACATTCCATATCGAAAACATGATGAACATTGCTGACCCAAATGTAAGGAACCAAGTTTCCATCTTGATATGGTAAAATATCCATTTTCAAGTAAATAATTCATGCATTAACCAATTTTTTATTAATTTTACTCCAGGAATATGTAAGTTTTATAAACATACACACCACCAAGTCTGGTTGGCAATTACCATGTTTTCAATATGGACTGCACTCTCATGTCCCACAGCCCCAAAAATTCTTAAAAAAAGGACTGTCAGAAGGCAAAGCAAATCAGACTAGTTGTAGATTACATACATCATGATGATTTAAATTATCATTACTGCCATATTTATACTGTTGTTTGGCAGCTATAGAGAATTTCAGTATTTTAGGACTTTCCTAGTTTATTTTTGTGAGAAGTAAAATTTTTAATGAATTTCATTCAGTTTTTTCATATTCGGATTCCTCTTGTTTTCTTCATGCAGTGCCATTAAAAATTTTGCCCACTAAACCCTACTTTTCTTGTCATAATTTTCATACATATAGTTTAAAAAGCTATTTTTCAAAATTTTATGAAATCCTTGTTATTTTTTCATAGTTTTAGAAAGAAAAAAGGTACCAATGTTAAATGTATGAAAAATCTAGAGAGATTCATTTCATGCCAAATTTTCAATGGCTTATATCTCAAAAACAAGGACAAGGTCCTTTCATTTTTTTCTGCTTTTTTAAGTTCCGTTATTTATATACTTTCAATTTATTATCGTCTTTTAAAAAGCTTGTTATTTTGAAACAGAGTAGCAAACATCCTTAATTAACTAATGTTCACAACAATTGTTTTTGTGATTTGGTTATGTCCTCTTACACTTATCTTGATATGAATATGTGGACAGATAGAGAAATAAGCTACAACACAGTAATCTATTTCTGGATTTTATATAAAAACTGTAAAGCCTATAGATTGAAGATTGGATATGGTATGTCTGATCTTAAGAATATTATGAAAGAGTATCTTAAGTAATAAAAAAAAACATTTTGAAGCTAATTCTTCTCATGTGTATTATCAGGACTAAGAATTAAATGTATATTACCAACATTTGGGCTAAAAGTAGTAAATTCCCATTGAGAATCACCATTAGAAGCAATGTTAGTTTTTGTTGAACCTGCGACTTTTGTAGCAGAAAGCTCGACATATGGATAGTGATCCGGCGGCGGCATTAACTAACTTCTTAAAAGCTTTATATTTTCCAAGGTGGAAGACCTGGATGCTTCATACTTTGTATATAGATGCCTTATGTTAGGAAGTTTCCGTCTGTCATATGTCCATTGTCCTTGACCTCATTTTCATGGTTCAGTGACTACTTGAAAAAAAAGTTCAAGATTTTTTGTAATGTTAATTTCTCTCTTATTATGAGTAATAAGATAACTTTATTTAATATGTGCGTACCTTGCAAGGTCCTCATGCCCGTCAGACAGTTTTCATCTGACCTCGATCTCATATCATGGATCAGTGAACAAGGTTAAGCTTTCGTGGTCAAGTCCATATATCAGATACTATAAGCAATAGGTCTTCTATATTTGGTGTATGGAATGATTGTAAGGTGTACATGTCCAACTGGCAGGTGTCATCTGACCTTGACCTCATTTTACATTGTTCAGTGGTTAAAGTTCAGTTTTTGTGTTTTGGTCTTTTTTTCTAATACTATATGCAATAGGTCAACTTATTTGGTGTATGGAAATATTTTACAATGTACATGTCAGTCTGGCAGTTTTTATTTGACCTTGACCTCATTTTCACAGTTCATTGCTTAGTGTTTAGTTTTTGTGTTTTGGTCTGTTTTTCTTAAACTATAACCAATAGGTCAATTATATTTGTTGTATGGAATGATTGTGAGGTGTATATGTCTGTCTGGCAGATATCATCTGACCTTGACCTCATTTTCATGGTTCATTGGTCAATGTTAAGTTTTCATAGTTAAGTTTGTTTCTTAGATACTATAAGCAATAGGTCAACTATATTTAATGCATAGATTGATTGTAAGGTGTACATGTCTGTCTGACATGGTTCATCTGACTTTGACCTTATTTTCATGGTTCATTGGTCAATGTTTAGTTTTCCTGTTTAAGTCTGTTTCTTAGAAACTATAAGCAATAGGTCAACTATATTTGGTGTATTGAATGATTGTAAGGTGTACATGTGTTTCCGGTTTGGTTTATCTGACCTTGACCTCATTTTCTTGGATCATGTTAAGTTTATGTGATACTTTTAGTAAAGCTTTATATTTAGGACTATCAACATGAAATCAATGATCAGTAAAGAAGGTGAGACATTTCAGGGTGTGCACTCTTGTTGTTTTATTTATAGTAAAATTGTGATATAATGATCCAAACACACAACTTGTTTGAATGTGTTTCAGATGTGTTGATAAACAGAACTTATTAATAATTAAAATACAGTGTAATTACTGTAAGCACTGCATTATATTATGTCTTAATTTTCTTGTATTTTTAACTGTATTCTGAAACCTGTTTATATTGATATTTTCATATTGTTTGTATATCTATATTGGCTTGCATTTATGATGACCACAATTGTGTAGGTTCACCTTATCATGTGAAGTAATTTTTTATATTGTTATTTGAAAGCATTTACCAATGTATTTATGAGCTGCTATCAAAATGGACACTGTGATTTAAATTATAGATTGTTTTTGCATAGAAATTATAAGTATTAAATGCAATTTAGAAAAGAAAAAAAAATCTTTTAATTTATTGTTTGCTTTAGATGGTTTCTCACCACTAGTGTGGTGATAGGGTGCTTGCCTTTAGTGCAGCAGGATTGATTTGATTTCTTGTCTAACTAAAGACTTCAAAAATCAGTATTTCCCTCATTATGCAGCATCCAGGAGTAAAAGCATAGACTTGATTGCTAAATGATTTGTCCAAATGACATGTATTCCTTTGGATTTATACTTGTGAAATATCATGTAAAAGTCCTGCTCAGCTCCTGTATGGTACAAAGCATGATATTACTATTCATATCACATGTTCCTGCCATAAAATATTGAAGGTTTGCATATTTCACTAAATCCATTGACTTAATCTGAAAATAAAGTTTAAATATTCAAAAGAAATTTATGACTGGATGCAAAACAAACTGTAAACAGCATAAATGATAGCATTTCTTGGGATTAGCAAAGAAACACTCCATTGTCAATATAGCTGATCACAAAGTAAAGTTTACATTTAATACTTATGTAGCAGATTGTATGTAATTAAAATGGACATTCAGTCCTGGAACATTACTTTAATGCTCTTCTACACAATACAGCTACTTTTCCTGCCAAAAACATATTGAAATTATAAGTTATACTCAAATGGTCACAAAAATATTTTTTCGTGTGAATGGAGCCCTGTAACATGGGCACAACAGTTGCAGCCTTTTTAACTGAATATTCTTCAGTACTATAACCTTAGTAATAAGTCTTATGTTATTGACACAAAGAGGTTTGGCAGATAAGAGGCAACAGTAGTTTACAGATGGTCAAAGCTAGTAAAAAACACATAAGGGAATCAGATGAAATCACAACACAGAAGGACAGGTATGTCCACTTACTTGTAGGGTCTCCGGCTATGCATATATTTCCTTTGTTGTGTGGATTTCAGTCATTCTTCCTTATAATCCTGCTGGAATAATGTGAGGAGAATGCCCCTGTTAAATAATTCCATATGATGTGGACACACCCGCCTATCAATTGAGATGAGATAGGGGAAGTCATATGAAGGGACGGATGATATGTTACTACTGAGAAATGGGAAAACGAAATCTGCATGGTTGTCATAGGTCTTAGTTTGAAGTTATCCATAGGTGTCAATTTCAGAACAGAGATCCAGTGATCAGTTTTACAAAAAATCTTACGACTAAAATTGATTGTAAGTCATGAACAATTCAGTATACTTACGATCAACTTTAGATTTTTTGGTGAAACTGATCACAGGTACGTCACAATATTTACTTCGATAGTATTCTTTGTCAAGGTCACAGAGATAAATACGAGATGCAAGCTAAAACGTGGGGTATTTATTGTCATGACATCAACTATATATCTAAATGTGAAACTAACGAATTTGGCAAGATACTTCATCTTGAAAAATGTAAATAACATATTTATTAAACGTAAGGAGATTTTGGTGTTAACATTTGTGCAACAGTCATTTACAACAACTGATTATCAAAAATGTTCATCTAGAGGTCTTAATACTGACTTCACCTCTAGAAAAAAATGCCTGACCTTAAGTGAAAAGCTCTACTTCGAGAGAGTTAGAAGAGAGAACCAAAGTATAAACAGCAACACCAAATCCTAGATAGAAAAAAAAACAAGGCATAACAACATCTAGTGATTTGAGACGGATGTCTTGTAAATTATTTTTTTATACATTTAAAAAGATCATGCAATTTTAAAAAATGTTGGCCTCGAGCACACTGAAAAGACTGCGCATCTGGTGCAGTAAAATTGGTACAGTTAATGTTATTGTTCTATTTAGTAAATAATCAATATAAAATAAAGACATTAATAAAGGGACAATTAAACAAATCTGAAGTTGAAGAGGAAAAGGCAACCGTAAGGCCACTGGAAAAAGAAGAGACAAATAAAAGCCTTCAAAAAATTACAAACAGAAATAAAGAAATCTTATCAAAAGTACGATATTTATATTACTAAATTTTGTATGTTGACAAAAAGTATTTAAAATAGATTTAAAAAAAAGCGATCTAAATGAAAAAAAAAACAAATAAAGCTTAAATAAGATAAACAATCTTTTTTGACAATTTGCCATTGAAGTATTTTGTGTCAACTATTATGTAAAAGATGTGATAACAACTGTTCTGTTTAATGTTTGATAAAAATAAAATAAATGTATCTATATGTTTGGCAAAATATAACATTTAATGTCCATTGACCTTTTAAGTGGAAGGGCTTTTGCCAATTCTAATAAAATCCTAGAATTATTACGAAGCTTCCTGCAGCCGAATAAATAAATGGAAATTACGCAGTTTTCGTAGTAATTGTATCTTTAAGATTAGATAGCTAGTGACATACATACATCAGTAGATTAAATAAATATCATACTATATCTTATTTACATATAATAAAAGTAAATTTAAATTATCAATATTTTTGTTTCAATACACGCAACACTGTGGTCCGATAGCAGCTGATGACTTAAGTCGTTTGGGCTATGGACGACGTCGAAATTCAAAAGACAGGGAAAAAGGACAGCAAGTTTGTCTGTTCTAACACCAAAATTTTAATTGTATGTGTTTTCTCTTCCCTTTGTTCTATTTGCTGTGTTCTTTTCATGTGGTTGTCTGTAAGCAAGATTGAACAGATAAGGAGAGAATTGCGTACCTTGTCGCATAGAAGTCGTGAAATAAATTCTACAGGCGCAACAGCGGAAAATATAATCAAGGTAATTTTAAAAGCAAATTGTAGATTTTTTTTCTCACAAATCACATTATATGATTAAATGATATTTGTATTTCAATATTTGTAGAATTTATCAAATGTTCAAGTGCCATTCTACATTATGTATACGAGTCTTAAGAATACAACCAACCAGCAAGGTTATAGTGTTTATTATTCATTATATCATTATTGCGAATATCCTTTATTTCTTATCCTACTGAAAAAACGTAATACTATAAACTAATAACAATCAATCGAATAGATTTTGTATTTAAATATGTATTGATTTTGACAGAGTGATAATGTACTTCTAAAGGAATCTAATGACGAGGCAATGTCAAACAACCATAGTCTGCATGGTAAAGGTAGGTGTCATTTACTTGACAATACTGAGAAAACTTAGGGTGAAACTGAGAGGTAACGGCTTTTCATGTTATAAAAACTGAAATACAAATACAAAATGACTAGTTGAAGAAAGACAGACAGCGTTTTATGACCCAACAAAAAAGGACATAAACAGTATCTGAACAGTAATGATGGAACAAAATGAACCCTACCGTTAACCGTTCAAAAGATTGAACAAAATGAACTCTTCCATTAACAAGGTGAAATATTGAACAAAACGAACTCTACCATTAACCGAGTAAAAGATTGAAAAGAGTTAACTCTAGCATTAACCGAACAAAAGATTAAACAAAATGTATCGTATCAATTAGACGAGTAAAAGATTAAACAAAATGAACCCTACCATTAAAAGAGAGGCGAAAGATACCAAAGGGACATTTAAACTTATAAGTCGAAAATAAACCGACAACGCCATGGCTAAAAAAGAAAAAGACAAACAGACAAACAATAGTACACAAAACACAACATAGAAAACTAAAGACTGAGCAACACGAACCCCACAAAAAAACGGCATGGGGGTGATCTCAGGTGCTCCGGAAGGGTAAGCAGATCATGTAACCGTGTAACATATTAAACAAAATGAACTCTACCATTAACCGTGTGAAAGATTGAACAAAATGAACTCTACCATTAACCGAGTAATAGATTGAACAAAATGAACTTTACCATTAACCGGGTGGAAGGTCGTACAAAAAAGAGTCATACCTTTAACAGAGTGAAGATTGAACAAAATGTACCATACCATTAGCCAGGTGAAATATTAAACAAAATGAACCCTACCATTAACCGAGTGAAAGATTGAACAAAATGTACCCTACCATTAGCCAGGTGAAAGATTAAGCAAAATAAACCAAGGTGAAATATTAAACAAAATGAACCCTATCATTAACCGAGTGAAAGATTGAACAAATGTACCCTACCATTAGCAAGGTGAAAGATTAAACAAAATAAACCCTACCATTAACCGAGTGAAAGATTGAACAAAATGTACCCTACCATTAGCCAGGTGAAAGATTAAACAAAATAAACCATACCATTAACCGAGTGAAAGTACCATACCTTTAGCCAGGTGAAATATTAAACAAAATGAACCCTACCATTAGCCAGGTGAAATATTAAACAAAATGAACCCTACCATTAGCAAGGTGAAATATTAAACAAAATGAACCCTACCATTAACCGGGTGATGGATTGAACAAAATGAATCGTATCATAAACCGGATGAAAGTTTGAACAAAATGAACCTGTTTACATTCTTTAATGGTACAGATTTAACTGACGAGATACAGAATAATATATGCATTATCTCTTTTCATTTTCCTACCAACTATATTGTGAAAACAAAGAATCACTTCCAGTATTGTTTTTATCATGTACATACTTTTTAGTTACAATATTTTAAATGTACAAATATTCTATTTGAACAGAATTAGGAGGGAGACATTTGAGAACAAATAACAGAATGAAAGACATTCAAGGTAATCACATCACGCATCTAATAATTATTCATATATTACAATACAATTTTAAACAATCTTAAGAAACAGTACTTTCAAATCGTTTCTATTTTCAAAACTTATTCCGTACATCCATTATTCCACATTGATTTATCAAACCAGCATAACTTTTGCAATCATTTTTTCGATTTAGTAGTGAATTAAAAGAATGATTTTATATAGTTTTGGTAGTTTTTCGCATAGAAACGGTTGTTTTTACGCACACGATGCAAAGGATCGTTAACAGTTGCTATGAAATGTGCAAATATGGTGTGTATATTTAATTTCAGGTGGTAGTATGCAACTTGATACACCTGTACAGCAGGTAATATTAATTCTGATTTTGAATTTGCAGTCGTAAAACCGGTTTAAAATGCACTGTTTAAAAAATTGCTAAATAAAGATGCACAGACAAATTGATCTTATAAAACAAATAGAAAATAACATTGCAAACAATTGTAAGAACTCTGTCTCAATTCTTCTACTTTTTCATTATAATATTTAAATTAAGTGTTATTGATAAATAGGGTTCATTGTAACGTATATGCTCAAATTCATAGCATGGATTAGTAAGGAAGCAAACAGTTTTACTTTTATGTTCCTATAATAATTTAAACTACACAATATACACACAATCCTAACAATTACACTGTTAAAATATTTTTTTTTGTATTTATATAAGAAAGCGTATTGAGAATGTGAAAAGCAGAACATAATATTTCTTGCATACATTTGATTTCATTTATGAAACAAGTGTAAAAGACTAATGAATAACGTAAATGCTTCTTTCTCTACGCCTTTCTATAGCCAACAGCCGTTCATTATGTTCCAATTGGAGTCACAAGAGATCTTATCAGTCAAATATTTGCAAACAGTAAGTTGAATTCTCTCAATTATATCCCGACAAAAAAGTTCAGTTGTGTTTACTTATATTAACTGAACGAGGGATTACGTAAGTTTTACGGTCAACTTCACAAACTGTATGACTGATACGATGTGTCGGTTCTCAACTCACTAGCGACATGTTTTCGTGGTCTTAGATCTTTAAATACCAGTAAAATCATCTGATCTGTAATTTTACCGATTTTTTTCTATCCCAATTGTGACATCTTTACTGAGTGTGAATTCACATGGCGGTGATGCATGCGTAGCAGGAGATGCTTACCCTGTCGAATCACGTGATCTCGCTCTTTTTGTAGTGAATGCGATTCCTCAGTTTCTGATGGTTACCTTAATTTGGCTCTTACTAATCGCCTTACGAGATTGAATATTGGCAAACTACTCTCGCCTTGTTTCATTGGTTTACTTAGGTGCACTATAACAAACGTAAATGTAGCGATTATTTACAGCGTTGTCTGGTTTTATACGGACGATTTAATACAGACAACAAGTGACCCGTTTTCTCGACAGTTTTTTATTTAAGTACATATTTGAAACTTTTAATGGTTTATTCTATAACTGCAATGCAGTTTAATTCAACACAGAACAAAGATGAGCAACAGAAAGACAAACATAATCTTTATATGATATGAAAATGAAAACAACGCTTTATACATTCGTTACGTCCGGAGCGCTATTCTGGATTTACCTTTACCAGGAACTATCAATCAAAGAGTCAAACAATTTAAACAAGACATCATTTTAACATATGATATAAAACGTGGGTCGTACGTTAATTAGACAACAACCCAATAACACCTTACTGCAGTGTACATTTCACCCGTTATGGGATTTTTATGCCACTAAAAAAATAATTATGAACTGACTATAATTTTCAAATTCCTATGTATATTGTAGAATGCACAGCCCACAGCAACAAAACAAATATATATTTTGCATTTTCATCAAACATCCTCTGCAAGGTTATTCTATGCAAACTGTTTTTTATCACTCCTATTACTTGAATTATTCTAAGCAAACTGTTTTTTATCACTCCTATTACTTGAACTTTGTTTTTTTTTTAAAGTATTGGTATCTTTTTATTCCAGATGCAATGTGTGTAAACAGATGGCATGGTTTGATGTGTAGGAATAATACATATAAGAATAAAGGTACGATTCGGTGTGACTAAAAAGAGTTATGTAAGTGTATGCATGTAAACAAAAAATTAGAGAATGATTTATAGTTTGAAATAAACAAAATAAAATTCCAATACTCGAGTCCAGTATAGATTACAGAATTGAGATTTTAAAGCAAACAGAAATGACATACGCTTTAAATGAAATTAAAACAAGATGATTTCCAACGAATTCGTTTTGCAACAATTTTTACAAAACCTAATTAAAAAGTACCTATCCTAATGTTTGTAATCATGTGTTCCTGTGTACATAAATCAATTGCTTCGAGGATTAAAATAGTTATTCTGGGAAATTCTAAAGGAATATCAATTTAATGATATATAAATTAAAGATAAAGAGTAGATAGTGAGAAAAAAAATGATGCTTTTATTCATGGCAGACAATTCCTTTGTGCAAATTGCAAAACAAGCATAGAAACAATGCTTTAACTGCTGTTCTTCATCTTAACATGTTTAACCCCGCCGCATTGTTGTGCCTGTCCCAAGTCAGGAGCCTCTGGCCTTTGTTAGTCTTGTATAATTTTTAATTTTAGTTCATTTATATGTTTTGGAGTTTAGTGTGACGTCCGTTGTCCCTGAACTGCTACACAAATTTTTGTTTGGGAACCAGCTGAAGCACGCCTCCAGGTGTGGGATTTTCTCGCTATGTTGAGGGCCCATTGGTGGCCTTCGGCTGTGTTCTGCTCTTTGGTCGGGTTGTTGTCTCTTTGACACATTCCCCATTTCCATTCTCAATTTTAATTAAATCAAATTCAGGTCTTCAAAACAGAGCAAAAGCTCACACCTCATTGTAAATTCAAAGACGACCCCTAGCAACGGTTTAAACGGAATTCTTTGTTATATGTCAAACACACTTCACGGTCACCTATGTATTAAAGAACACAGCTTTGGGTTGTATCAACAAATCACATATTGAATTAAGGCGACAGTAGCTAACCGATGTTCAAATTTCGTTATTCTCTTTAGACTATATATATCAAGGTAACTAACAAAATATTAGGGCATCGCATTAAAACTGGGAATAAACTCTAACAAATACTGTCGTTATAAGACCTACAATAGTACAAAACGCACATCTCATATTCAATGCACGGAGATACATTTTAACTCGAATCCTTCTTATTCATGTTGTTGTTCTTAACCTATCCAAAGCCAGAACGTCTGCTTCTTTCTCTTTTTCTTTGCTATTTGTCATGTATAAGGCGCTGTGTCGTGTTCCATCAAGACTTTTCTGTGTCTTTGTTCTCTGAAATTCTCTCAAAATAAATCTATCCCCAGGCACATCTTGATTAGTTCATCTGGTCTTCTGATATTAATTTTCATATTTCATGAATTCAAAGAAAACCTCTCATTGGAACTTGTACCTACCAGAAAGTGTACGTCCATTCACATATAATTATAGTATTACTGTAGAAGCATTGAATTTAGGTTTACATGTTGTGTGCAACGGTATATGTCTACAGTGGTACCCTTTTTATCTCAAAACGACCTTGTCATTTTACCATAATTTATAAAAAACATCTGCTGTGAACTAAATTTGTTCCATTATTTATAGACTCCAATCGAATTATAGAATTTTGGCAAAAAGCTCAATGGACAAAGGCACACAATGGAGATGTTCTTTCACTAGGAACGAACGTATCGAGCCCTGGAATATTTACAGTGGAAACTGGAGGATTATACCTTCTGTATTTAAATGTAATAATTTGTAAATTATAATATATATCTACATTGTATTAATTCTAGGTCTAATTAACAATATAAAGCAGCTGTAGGAGAGTTCTACTACATGATCTACTATTGAATACTATATACGTTCAATATGCAGCAATATACATTGCGATCAAAGGTCGAAGGAATTATTTGTATTTTCTTAAACCTTTTATTTTTTTCTTGTGTAATTTTTCATTTCGGTTATATATTTAGGACGACAAAACTTTTTTGTTGATTTCATTCATTGATTGTTGTTTACCGTTCAGTTGCAACTTATTTATGTATATATTTTTAAAAACAGAAATAACTTTTGTATTTGATGAACGATTTTATCATTTATCCTTATTTTAATATTTACAATAAATTCCATAAGGTATGTACCGAAAACTTATATTTTTAATACAGATTTTCAACATGTTATTATCATTCCAAAACGCATTAAAATTGTAATTTTTCCCAATTATGTTGTAGGTTCTGATCAGTGCAACACTTTCTAAACACGACGTCGGTATATTTATATCGGATGACAAGAAGTTAGTTTGCCGTGAGAATCTAGACTATGTTAGAGGTACCGTGTCTACTAATTCAAAGGCTAAAACCTGTAGTGTATCTGGAGTGTTTTACGTCGAACAAAGTCAAACAATTGCCGTTAAAATAGTCACCACGAACACAGCAATATATCTCGATAGCTATAATACAAACTTTGGAGCTGTTTTGCTTGCGTAATGTTTAATCTCGACTTAAAAGTGCGAATCTTATTTTGATTTTGAATAAATGGCTGTAATGGTGAATAATGTATAACGATGATGATATAATAACTGTATATTCATTACTTAACACTTCCTTGTTTGTTATCCCACATGTAAAATTATTGTGAAAAGAAAGAAGAATAAACAAAACGAAAAAATAAACTGAATACCCAAATCTTTTTGCGAAACTTTATTATGCAACATTTTAATCTGAAATCCTAGTTCAATGCCAGTAAAAGCGTCACCCTTCAAGCTAAATTTATCCGTATTATGTGCTATATCCGACTTCAAATAATTTATAGTGTCAAGGTAATAAAAGAAAAGGCGGAAATCATAATCCGGTCACCTGTGTTTACATTTTGAATTTAACAAATCTTAATTATACGTTCTTATGACCTTATGTAGCCATAGGGCCTACATTTATCTAAGACATGAAAGTTACTCAAAATAATGCACCCGTTTGCATACAAAATTTCGGATATTTTATCATATGTTTTTACATTTTATGGTCATCAAAAGAAATCGCGCGACTTTCAAACGATGTTGATGTTTTGCGTAAATCTGTTCAAGACATTTTGATAGACAGCAATAGACCAATTAAGGTAATCTCTTTCTTATATGCTTATAAATTTCTCAATTATCTAATATAAAAAGAAGCACATCCAAAATTGTTTCTACTTAGTTAATTCCACATCAAACATGAAAAAAATCCAAGAATTTTATATTCGACTATATTTTCTCTCAAAAACCTAATTTGGCACATAGATACCACAAACAGTTTATCCACAACAGTTGTACGGTATATTGTTTATGCACATATTGTTTAAGCACATCGATCATTTCTATTTACTTCTTCTGCTCCTTTTAATTTGACAATTTTATCATGTAATATACTTTCTATACTTATTGTTCTAATGTTTAATTTTATAAGAATACTAGAGCCCACAATCTTGTAATTCAGGAAGAACATAGAGTCCAAGACGATGATGAAGCAGATAACATTATTTCAGAAGATAAATATTTTCGCCAAAAAAGATTTGCAGGTCAAGGTATGTACTTCCGATGCAAATCTATTTTTATTATTATAACTGATTACCATTATTCAAATGTATAGTATACAAAAAAGCTAAAAATAACATTGCATTATATTGCATTTCTGAAACTCAGTACAATTGGTTTTTTTTCAATAATAATGTATAATTTTAACTATAATTTAAACTATGGATATGACTTAATCTACTGTCTAATGTTTGTTTGTTATTTTTCTTCTTCAAATATTTTAAACTTGATTTATTTACATAAGGATTAGACATCGTCTTCATATTTAAGATAAGAAAAAATGCAAGAAAGAAAAACGATATCTGAAGAAATGTAGGAAGAAGCTGCGCAATAAGGCGATGGTCAGTTCAAAGGAGGTATATATTAAATTTTATTTTGATTGGATTGCAATGAAGATATTTAACCAAAAGAAAATAAAAAGACACGTAAAAATCTTCACATTATACATCAGTTAAGTGATTAATGCGTAGAAAGGATTAGAATAAGCCGTTAAATGATCAAACAGTGAAACTTGATCTTTGAGCGCTCCTGGGAAAGGTTAATTAAGAAACGCTTTTCGGACGCATACAATTTACGTGTTATTTTCATTTGTTTTTGATAATTATCTTTTTTACCAAAAACGTTATTTTGCACGAAGGTCAACGAATTGAACCTTTCTAAATCACAAGTTATTTTCTAGTTTGCCATAACAATGACTTTATTTCATGAGATTTATTAATAAAAAACGTGTAGGGTAAACGTCAATGAGACAGACAACAAACGACACAAATAATTAAAAAACATTTAGAGATTGACATACAGCTTTTAACCACAGCTACGTGTCTGTACAATATTTCAAAGAGAGGCGAAAGATACCAAAAGGCATTCAAATTCATAAGTCGAAAATAAACTGATCACAACGCTATGGCAAAAAATGAAAGAAACAAAAAGACAAAATAAGTATACAAAACACAAGACTGCATGAGCAACACGAACCCCACCAAAAAATCAGGGGTTTATCTCAGGCATTCCAGAAGGGTAAGCAGATCCTGCTCCACATGTGGCACCCGTCTTGTTTCTAATTAAAGTACAAACCCGGTGATAAGTCTACTTCGGTAGGTCACGTTCGGGGAAAAGGAGGATGGAATTGTGGTTACGACGATAGGAACAAATCCGTTGTCATCTGTGAACCAGATATTTCATAACGGTCAACCAACTCGTAATCTGGAAATCGCCCTGGGTGAATAAATTAAGTAAGGACTTTCAACGAACTGCAATTAACACCTAATTCTCTTTAAAATAACAAAATCATCAAGATATGACAAAATAATTTTTCTATTTGAAATTCGAAAAAAAAATATCACTTTGTTAGTTTGATTTTAAACTGTACTCAGAAGAGATATTTTTATTGCAGGCAACATTACAAGCAGCCCACGTGGAACTTGATTTTCGTATAAATACTACTATGTCTAAAAAGCTATTTATGGCTATTGACAGTAAGTACAACCATGTAAAATATACTAGTAATTGAATAGGATATTTTCCAAACACCTGGAAGGCAGACATAAAGACAATGAAAGATAATTGGCATCCTGCAAAAGAAACTTTTTTTAATTTTAAATTTAGACAGAAGTTTACCGATGTTCAAATCTCATAAATTGAATAAGAAAATAAAAGTCAAGATAACAAACAAAATATGAGGGAATCTCATCAACTCAAAAAAGAGAGAGGCCTGGTTCTTCGGAAGGGTAAGCGTATCTTGTTATATGTATATAAGTGTTGATAGATATGTACTTGTGTGTTATGTCTATATAATGTCTATTGTGAAATTTTTGTATTTGGATTAGAACCCAATTATATATTCTTATTATTATTCTTGCCAAGCACTCCGAAAAATGGCTTTTGTCACCCCGAACGAATGTCGGGTGACATTGTTTTCCTCTGTTTCCTTTTTCTTTCCGTATGATTATCACTATTAAAATAACTGCCTGTTTGCCATAGATACAATGAAAAAAATAGAAAATGCTCCAAACCTTAATGAAATGAAACTTTACAGAAATATTAACTGGCATGTGTAAATTAGCAATGTGACTTTAGAATTTTCAAAATGGCTGCCGTTTTGATGGAAACAGCAAAAATGCAAAACATAAAATATTCCAAACTTTCTGAAAATTAACAAAAATATATGTTTTCATGCATATATATGCATTCGCTGTTTAAAACTTTGGAAATGGTTTCAGTTAAGTGGCAATTGCATGGAGGGATAACATCCGCCATTGCTTGAAAGGGCAATTCTAGTTTCCTCTTACTTTTGCTGAATGAGTTTAAGAGAAAATACTGTACATTATTTATTATACCTTTTTGTGTGTTTGTTTTCGTTTTGAAAATGAAAATGACTACATTTTAGGGGGAAATTGTATGGTCAGTATAGTAAGTATGATAATTTGGTGGGGTTCGTGTTACTTAGTCTTTAGTTTTCTATGTTGTGTCATCTGTACTATTATTTGTCTGTTTGTCTTTTTATTTTTGGCCATGGCGTTGTCAGTTTGTCTTCGATCTGTGAGTTTAACTGTCCCTCTGGTATCTTTTGTCCCTCTTTTTTGAACAGAAACTTGAATTTATCTGTCATTCATTTGGTAGACCACAATCTGCTTACAAGATCTGACATCAGTTTTACTTTCTGTTCAGGTAATTAGTACATAAGCCAATGAAGTTTCAGCCTGCAAAATTTTGATTATGTGTATTAATCTGACCAAACCAGAGGATCTCGAAAGGTCTTTAAAACGGAAAGTAGAATGGAGCGTTTTCAGATCCTTGTAAGCAAAGCTTGGACACATGATCTGTATTTTAATCAGATTGGGGTAGAGCATACACAATAACGACTAAAACGAGCATACACAATAACGACTAAAACGAGCATACACAATAACGACTAAAACGAGCATACACAATAACGACTAAAACGAGCATACACAATAACGACTAAAACGAGCATACACAATAACGACTAAAACGAGCATACACAATAACGACTAAAACGAGCATACACAATAACGACTAAAACGAGCATACACAATAACGACTAAAACGAGCATACACAATAACGACTAAAACGAGCATACACAATAACGACTAAAACAACGATGATCTTTTATACAAATTAAAGCAATAATAATGTTAAAAAGTCTTAGTAATACCATGCATCCCAATTAACGTATTTGTTCACATAACAGTATTAACGAAAAGTCAATCAATTACTAATATGAGAAATGTTTTCAGAATGTTATAAAGAATTTGGTGGATTAGTTTGCTACAACAATAAGACTTATGAGAGCGGCGGTAGACAATCAGGTATAAACATTTGAAAATTCTAAAGGATATGACTAAAATAGATAGCGTAAAATAAACTAACAAATATATCTGTTTCTATGATATATGCAAGCATTTATCTCTGATCATCGTCCCCTTGTGTGGCCTGTTGAGAAGTTTTTATAGTGGAAGAGCTTCAGACACAAGGATGATCAACACTTGATTAGCATTGAATTATATAAATTTAGCAAATTGATAAGTGATTTGTTGTTTTTGATGATAACCTCTCTCAGCCAATTAAATATGAACCAGTTCAATTATTCTTTACTTATCACGATACAACTTGAATATATTTATGTTATCATTATAATTGAACAAAATGTGTTTTTATTCGATTAAAAATGTTAATATGTGATCAAACGACCCATAAACCTATATAATTGATAATCAAAATATTATTAATCTAATAATGTTTTGTTTTGTCCTGGCAATAGAATAACAAAACGTAAAAAATATTTAAAACAACATGTGGCAAAAGTTAACTTGAGATTTTTAAATTAGTAAAATTATACGTATGTGTTGTATACCTACCTATCAAAAGAAAACGAAAACATTGACTGCATATTTTTATGAATACAGAAAAGATTCTTAGTGTACCCTGGAAACTATCGTCACCAAAAGAGATGTCACCACTGCAGCTGACATCTGAGCACGGGAAATATAAAGTAATATATGATGGTTTATATCTAGTGTATCTGAATGTAAGTCATTAAAATAAAGCATAATCTAATCTAAAACAATGCTAAAGAACAGTACCAAATATATATCAAATAATAAATGTATACGTCACTGTTTGTGATGTCCTGTGCTGTCGTTAATGGAAGATGTTCTTGTTATTCTGCGGTTAACATGTTGTAACGACTATTATATTGTTTATTTGTGCGTTTCTCTGTGCTGAGTGTTCTTGCGTTTGTTTGTGCTGTATTTCTGTCACGTAGTGTTTTCATTTTAGCGATATTTTTTAACATTTCCATATAAGCGGGAGGTTTGGCTAGCCATAAAACCAGGTTCAACCCACCAATTTTTCTTAAAATGTCCTGTACTAAGTCAGGAATATGGCAGTTGTTATCAAATAGTTCGTTTCTATGTATGTTGGCGTTTCTTTTTTTTTTTGTTGCACTTCAGTGGTTCTGTTGTTCCGTTGTTTTCCTCTTATAGTTGATGTGTTTCCCTCGGTTTTAGTTTGAACCCAGATTTGTTTTCTCTCAATCGATTTATAACTTTTGAACAGCGGTCTACTACTGTTGCTTTATTTATGTCGTAAACTATACTGATGTAGGATTCCATATTACCAACGAGGTAGAATATGGCTAATTTGCACACTACACCAAAGTCACTAGTGTAGTACATCCAGTCACTTAGTTTTGTATACAACGTCAAGAATATGCAGTGACTAAACAAATGTACATTATCACTAGTGTGCAACGTCACGAATGTACAAAGTCACTAAACAAATGTAAAAGATCATTAGTGTGCAATGTCATGAGTGTACAAAGTCACTAAACAAATGCACAAGATCACATTGTTCAACGTCACGAGTGTACAAAGTTACTAATGTACAACATAACTTGTGAAAGGCTAGCCTGTATTTAAGCCGAGACACAATTTTATGACAAATGTGATGCATACGTACTGACATTAATATTCATCAATCTGAAAATTAAAGAAAAAGAGTTGCCTGTTGTTTTGTTTGTTTTTTGTTTTTTGTTTGTTTGTTTGTTTGTTTTTTGTCTATAAGAGTGTTGTGTACACTTTCCTTCATATGCCGACACGCACAACCATTACCATTAGAATGCCAACTTTTTGCGAAAAATTCAACAAATATGCGATATAATAGTTCTAGAACTATGGTATTGCTTGCCTCTTGTATTTTTTTTTTATCAAATTAAGCGTTGTCCTTTACAATGCAGATTTTGTCGCGAGAATTAGCAGCGTAGAATGTGAAATCTGGTTTTATCGGAGATATATGAATGCCGGAGACCAAATGTCCGTATACAGAGTCAAACTACTTCATCGAAAATACAACCTGCATTGAAGGAGATTATCATGAGCTAATATTTGCAGTGATAATATAAAACACCAAACCGGGGAAAGGAATAGTAGAATATATTTCATCGAGACAGCAACCCACACAAATATGAAAAGAATAAGATTTGATATATTGTCACATGATTTCATTTGATTGATTTGTAGAACAGAATATTTAAAACAGAATATTTAAAACAGAATAGGTTGAAAAGGGTACCATTAGATTTTGTGGCAGTCATCCACAATATTATAATTGTCATATTTTTTTCAGATATTATTCATTCCAACTAATCTAGAGGAAAGAGTTGCCATTTTCTTAGATGAAAAACAGATAATGACTTGTCAAGAAGGTGTATACATGGGACAGGAACTAGAACTACCTGATAGGCAGCAAAACTTCACAGAAAAATCATGTGCAACGTTAGGCATATTCATTATAAACAAAGGTCAAACTTTGTCAATACGTATTGAAACACAAAGTACCAAGATAAGATTGTGGGGTGTCGGCAATAACTTTGGAGTCATTTTATTACATAAAAAATAAAATTCAAAGATATTTACATGTAGTTCTGTTATCATTTTTTTTTTATTCTTTGTGTATTCTAACTCTTTTGAGCACGAATTTTTTGGAGACAATGCTAAGTAAAGCTTTTTCTTAAACAATTTACGAAATGAGTATAGAATAAGGAGATGAGGTATGGTTACCGATGATACAACTAGCCAGCAGCGTCCAAAATGAAGCGAATTTTTGCAACTCAAGGTCACCGTACGGCCTTCAACTCTCAAAAACAGAGATTTCTCCCTTAATTTCGTACAACTGATGTTTAACTGAAATCAAATATCACGTAGATATTTTGTGTCTACCCGGATTCGTTTTTGGTAAAAATTATAAAATGTATTTATATTCAGTTAATGCATACTCGTTTCATATTTGTATATTTACGATTTTTTGTTCTGTTATTACTAGGGATGTCAACGAGTACTCGAGTATCGCTCGGTAGTACCGAGTATCGAATACCAAACTGATACTCGACTAATCGGTTTCTGTTAGAATGTTGTTGCCTTCTTAAAGGAAAACTATTTTTATTAAGAGCGCCTCCCGGGAAATCAAATATTAATCAAAATTAATCAAAATTAAAATACGTTTCGAACGTTTGCGTTTAATTGTCATTTAAAATTCCCGTCGAACAGAGGTAGGCTATGAGTAAGAGCACCTTTCTAAGGCTTACACTTTTAGCTAATCGTGTCGTAGTAATTCCACCACCTCTTTACCGCCATAGCAAATATTTTCATCGGTAGGACTGTTTAATAGTTACGTTACAAAGTCGAAAAATCGACTCGTCCCAGAAAAAGTTGAAAAGATCATATTTCGAAATAAGAACAAATTCGTTGCACCCTGTGTCGACCCTCAGAGAATGGTTAAAACCATCAGTAAGACTTAGTCCTTATCATTACCCCTTTGTTGATCACTAAATGTGTTTTTATACGATTCACAAATACTGTTGTTTGAGTTTACAGTTTTCTATAGATGTTTATTAATTAATTGATTAGATTATTGTCAGTTTACACAATTAGTGCATGTAGTAAATGAGCTATTAATTATGGTATACATTCCTGGGACTATTATCTAGTCCTATGTAATAATGTTGAGGGTTTTACGTCCATATATAAGACAACGAACGACCCACAATAGGTAAAATGGGTATAATTTTGTGTTTCCATTTTGTAGATGTTTTCCGAGCGAGTACTCGAGTATCGCTCGGTAAATCTAACGAGTACTCGATTAGTAAATCTTCACCGAGTTGACATCCCTAGTTATTACACAAATGCACATATCATGGCATCCTCTAAATCTACACAATATTCACATATCACCTGTAATCGTCAAAATCTCCTCAATTTCAATATATATGTCCTCCTCTAAATCTACTCAATATCTACAAACCAGATGTCATCCTCTAAATCTACTCAATATCTACAAACCAGATGTCATCCTCTAAATCTACTCAATATCTACAAACCAGATGTCATCCTCTAAATCTACTCAATATCTACAAACCAGATGTCATCCTCTAAATCTACTCAATATTTACAAACCAGAGGTCATCTTCTAAATCTACTCAATATACACATACAAAAAATCTGTTCAATTTCAATATAAATGTCAACCTCTAAATCTACTCAATGTTCATATGTAATCTGTCGTCCTCTAAATCTACTCAATGTTCACATACCATATTTTATCGTCAAAATCTGTTCAATTTCAATATAAATGTCAACATCTAAATCTACTCAATGTTCATATATAATCTGTCATCATCTAAATCTGCTCAATTTTCACATTTCTGACATCCTCTCTATCTGCTCTATTTAAACATAACATCTGCCATTTTCTGAATCAAATCTAAACACATAGTCTCTTAGAAGTAGTTTGGCTATAGAAGATCTGTCAAAAAACCTGACACTTTGTCAATTAATAGTAGTTTGAACTACAGAAGATCTTCCAACAAATCTCAACACTTTGTCTTGTAAAAGTAGTTTGAACTACAGAAGATCTTCCAACAAATCTCAACACTTTGTCTTGTAAAAGTAGTTTGAACTACAGTAGATCTTCCATCAAAACTACACACTTTGTCTTATAAAAGCAGTTTGAACTACAGACGATCTGCCGTCAAAACTAAACGTAGTTTGAACTATAAATTCCAAAGTCACACAGCGCAGCCAATTAACATTTTTGTAAATTTTTATTTAGTTTGGAGCATTTTGAAATTTTGAACAATTTTTCTGTTTCCATGGTAACGGCAGCCATTTTGAAAATTCCAAAGTCACACTGCAACTCTACAAATGCCAGTTACCATTTCTGTAAAGTTTCATTAAGTTTGGAACACCTTCCTTTTTTTGCATTTTTGCTATTTTCATGGCAATGGCAGCCATCTTGAAAATGCAAACCCCCAATGGTGGTTAACATTATTGTATAGTTCCATCAACTTGCGTCCAATCAATTGCGAGGTCTAGAGCGGACAAAAATATGTGGAAGAAAAATAATGATAAAAACTAGATTTGCAATTGCTAGCAATAGCGGATGGCACTCACGTCCGCCAAATTGCCACTAAACTGTAGACATTTTGAAAAATTTTAAACAGTGAATGCACATTTATATACACTACTAAACTTCTATCTGTAAATTTTCATGAAATTTGGAGCATTTTTCATTTGTCTACATTATTACTCTTTCCGTGGTAACGGCGGCCATTCTGAAAATTCCAAAGTCAAATTTCAGTTTGAAATTTTGAAAAATTTTGCTGTTTCCATGATAACGGTAGCCATTTTGAAAATTCCAAAGTCAAATGGCACCTCTACAAATGCCAGTCAATATTTGTGTGAAGTTTCATTATCTTTGAAGCAAATCGATTTTTTTTTACATTTTTGCTGTTTCCATAGAAACGGTGGCCATCTTGGAAATGCCATACCCCGATTGCAAATCTGCACATGCTGGTTAACATTATTGTATAGTTCCATAACAATTGCTACATACAATTCCGAGATATAAGCTGGACAAAAAAAATGAAGAAAAATAATAAGACGAAAAAGAAACTTAGAATAACAATACGTCACCCCAACTCCAATGAGGGTGCTATAATAAAAAGACGAAGAAATGTAGAATAACAATACTTCACCCCAATTCCGTTGATGGTGTCATAATAATAAGAAGAACTGAGCAAATCCAATAAGTCTTCAAACTTTGTTTGGGAGACTTAACTACAAAAGATCAGCCATCAAAACTTAAAACTTTGTCTGTAAAAGTAGTTTGATATACAGAAGATCTGCAATAAAAACTAAATAATTCGTCTTGTTATAGTTGTTATGATGAATGTTTACTGTATGTATATCGATATATGAAGAACAATCATAAATAACATAACCTCATCTACTTATAAAATAACTGAAACTTATTTTAGTTAGCCTTCAAAGATAAATGTTTAATCGCATAAGCTCCAAACAGAGCGAAACTTTGTGCTTCTGCAGGACAATCAACTCCTATTAATCATGCATCAATCGCAATGCAAATCAAGCTAATTAAAAAATTTCACAATAGGATATAAGACGATTTTTCTGGTTTATTTAAAACAACGACTGCATGAGTTGAGACATAAACACACCTTATCGATCAACTTATTCGTAATGGTGACCTTAAAACTTACCAAGAGGAGTTTTTCGTTAACACTTCGGTAAATAAAATCCATGTAAGGGAGCTACCATTTGATTTTTTCGGTCCTGCCTTTTTATTTTTCACTCTTTTCGGTCCTGCCTTTTTTTTTAGTTTATCCTGACTTTTTTTTTACATAAATTGTCATCCTGCTTTTTTTTTTTTGCAAATAATCTCATTCTGCCTATTTTTTTTACTCAAAACCCCTGTCCTGCCTATTTTTTTCAAATTTCATCCTAGCCCCTCCATAAAAATCAAATGGTAGCTCCCTAATGTGAACATACACGCGCATAACGTATTATACCAGATATGTTAACGCCATATAAAGGCAGTGGAGTCTAATTACTGAGAAATGGGAAGGGACAATGGGTAAACTGAGATAGCTACGTTTGTCAGATCCTAGTTTATAGGTGTCCATATGTGTCAATTTCAACACAAAATATCCAGACATTTTGGTTTCAACGTATTAGTATTAAGTTCACTTGTATATATGAGATGCAAGCACTCTCTGAATTGTGGGTGGGTTATTGAATTACAAATCATCATCAATATATCTACAGCTGAAATTAAAGAGCCTTGCTAGATGCTTTTTCGTTTATCTTTGAGAAGGTTTAAAAGGCAGATTTCCGTAAACAAAAGCTATTATCAGAACGACGTTATATTTACTGATCTAAAGTAATATAAGATGTTACAAAAGGGTACGGATTTTGGCTAAACATTCGCCATGCTATTTGTACGTCTGTCATACGTGTTGTTTTGCAGAAAATCGCGAAGATTTGTGTGTATGCTTTTCATGTTAAATTATCTATGTTTATAAAATAAGGAGCTGTGGTATGATTGCCAATGGGACAACTATCCACCCAAGTTCAAATGAAGTGGGTGTAAGCAACCGTATTGCCTTCAACAATGATAACCCCATACCGTATAGCCGCCTATAAAAGGCTCCGACATGAAAAATATGAAACAATTCAATTGAGAAAACTAACGGCCTAATTTATAAAGAAACAATTTATGAAAATCAAATATGACAGACATGAACCAACGACAACTACTGTGCCGCAGGCCCATGGCCTGGGACAGGCCCACAAAGAATTCGGCGGGGTAAACATGTTTGTGAGCGCTTAACCCTCCTCTAATCTGGAACAGTGGTGTAACAGCACAACATAAGAACAGACTATAAAAATCAGTTGAAAATGGCTCAACTCATCAGATCGATACAAAGCAGAAAAAAATCTAGCAAAAACACAGACCGCACGTGGGAGGGTATTTATACATACTTAAATACAAAAAAAGACACCAAGTACTGATCTGAGAGTACTCGCAGTTACTGGCAGCTAGTTCAAAGCCAATAATATCAAATATCATTATCAGTTATTGTGTTCCTATAATCTGTTGTTTTATGTAGCTGTATTGCAGTGTCATGTGACTGATGTGTAACATGAGCCATATCCTACCGAATTTCGATTGGCAATTCAAGGACGGTATTTTTAATGAAAAAGAGAACCGGTCTTTGTTTATGTGTTGTACAACTTTAATTTTAATATTTCAATGCTTAAAGGAGAAGGTCCGGTAAGGTCTTATTTTGGCCTAAAATTTGAAGTACATCTGATACAAGATTTTTGACATTTTTTAAACAATTAGGCATATTCTTCAGTCGATTCAATTAGTATAAGTAAAAGATTTGAATTGATTTAGTCATTAGAGACGTCAAAATTCAAGCTTAAATATGAAAATCTATCAAATATGCCACAAAACGTCAATTTTCATATGGTCTTTGTCAAAAATGGAAGTGTTCAGTCTCAACCTTTATATATGTTATGTATTATCATCAAATACAACATATATTTTAATATTAAGACTGAACACAAGTGCGGCCACTTCCATTTTAGACAAAAACCGTCTAAAAATAAGCAAAAATGCTAAAATTGTGAAGATTTCATTAATTTTGCATGAATTAATGATGCTAATACCTGATGCATGTGCATTGTATTGTCAAAAACAGCCCATATTTATGTAATAAAGTATTCAACTTTCCAATAAATAGCTAAAAGTTTACATTTTTAACATTTTTTTTAAATGTTACATTGTGGGAACAAAAAGGGGTCTTACTGGGCCTACTCCTTTGGGGAAAAGATTTGCTTTCTACTTACAGGATGAAGCATTGAAGTTTTATTTATTCTTTATAATTAATGCAACGTCATACAATTTATACGGAGGAAAAACGTTTTAAAATTAGTCATCTTGGTTACTCACCACCCTGTGTTTTTCACAATTATTCTGAATTAACTCTGAGTAATTTCTGGGACAGCAATTTCTTTTCCAGGGAAGTAACTGTAACTGAACATAATATTATAACACATGGTAATCAATAGGAAAAATTTTGTTGGACTAATTCTGTCAATTGAGAGACTGTTTTTATGTTTTATTCGGCGCAAGCGCATAAATGTATACCAGAAAACAAAAAAGCATGTCCAGTAAATTAATAAGCTACCCAAAATGCTATTGTATATTACATAGATATTCAAAATGTTTTAAAATATTAAACCATATTAAATTGCTTTGACCTTAAGTTTGATGAATATTATCACGTGGGACAAGTTCGGAAATAGCGAATTATCGATGAACCTGGATATATTTGGTCAAATAACACAAAACTATTAGAGAATCCAGAATATGTTGATATTTTCCTTTTTGGGGAGTTAATTGACAGCTTTTAGTTATAAGAGTTGTTATGTGACATATAATGTTTTATTCGCACTCAACACTAAATATGTTTAATCATCCATAGATCATGATAAAACACCCGGGGAGTAAAAACTGTGACCTAAGAATCAAATGATAGAACGTACAAACTTTAGTCATAAAATTAAATAATAATATCTATATTTCATTGTTTTATGTAGACAATATTTGAACTTAAAATCGTAAACAAATCAATCATTTTCAAAAAGCCATTTACAAACAGGTTATATATCTGGGCCTTGTATTGATATTAATATAATAGTGATTTCCTGGGAATCAAAGTGCAAGTAGAATTCACCTGTGATATTAAAAACCTAGATATATCTATGTATGTACGTACTTACCTATCTATATACAATGCGCATGCCAATTTTGCAAATATGAAAACGTAATATAGAAGGTATGTTTAAATGGCGGGAAAAGCAACTAGCAGCTAGTAGCATACATACTTGGGCTTGATGCTTTTTCGACCAAACTTTTTATTTGAAAATGGATTTATACTCTGATGTTAATTATGTGCACGAAAGGTCGCCATGTCCTAAATGTCGAGTCAACATCGATACAGCAACACAAAGAAAACCATCACTAACTAGTTCGCAAAGAATTATTGTCTTGGCAACCATAGTTCTATTTATTTTATCTTGTGCAATTTTGGCATGCAATGTATGGATACTATCAGAAAACATAAACATCAGAAAAGAACTGTCCACCGAGTTACATAAAGCTGCATTACAAAGGCGAGTAGAAGACACTCACCGAGTAAGTATTAGGACATGTATATTTCTAGTCATAAAAGTAATTCTTTAACAAATACTTTTACAAATACAAAACTTTTTTTTCTTCTTTCTTAATTTTTGAATGCTAGTGGTTTGTCTTGCTTTTGTATTTTGAATCATTTTTTTTTAAATTTCTTTTTAGTTTCTTCTTTTTTTTGGAGGAGGGGGGGGGGGGTGGCTAGGGGGTCGCTTAAATAAGCTTCATTCTTCGTGTGAAATATTGTAAAATTGTATATATGAAAATGTCGGGGGAAAATTAATTTGTTTACAGCAGCTTAACTGGTATTATCTCCCTTTCCTTTGAATTCGTTGAAATCAGCCAAATTCTCCGGAACTAATTCACTTCCTCTTTCTTTTCTGTATATTGACTTGATTAACTGTAAAGTTAAATAAAATATTATTCAGAGCAATTCAGTTTTGATTTTTTTAATTATCTTTAAATAAATATTTACAATCATAAATCATCGCAGATAGTTTGATGCAACACTCTTTTGCAGAAAAAAAAACTTTTTAAGGAAGATGGCAAACAACAAATCAAAACATTAAGTGTACTTCATAGTGGAAGCTGCTAGGTATTCTGTGTAACGGGTTTTTTTTTGGATATTAAGATGTATATATTCATTTTTGGTTTTGCTTCAATTGACTTCCGTTATCTTTACTTTTTCGAGAGGTGTTTTTTTTTCATTGTATTTTCTTCCTTTTTTATGGGTTATCTTTATCGATCTATGAATACTTTGGAGCAAAAATGAAGGCAGCTTCATCTTAATGCTGTGCCCAAGGTGTTCAAATAAATAAGTAAACCTTTTATATTCATACTCAAATAATGTATATCATATTAATGGCTTAGTAAACCTGAACCGATTTAATCACTTCAAAAGTCGACATCACTAGGTCTGAGCACTAGGTAGTCAATTACTTCCTGTGAATGAAGTAAGTTTTATCCTTAACGAATTTGATCTCTAAAGCAGTAATTGCGAACTCTCCAAGAAAGACTTGACATCAATCCGGCTTTATTAGACATTTTTTTTTTCTCCTTTAAAAATTTAATTTTAATTTTCAGTTTTGGAACTTGCTTCGTTGTCGCTGCTTTTCGATTTTCCTCGTTCTTGGAATTGTTTTTCTAGATCTATAAGACTTCTCTATTTAGAAGTGTGCTTTTGATTTTTTTGGTACATTTCATTCATACATCTGTGAATTTTCGCCTATACAACTGTATTCACCCTTGATCAATTTCTGTGAAATTTACGTAAAAGTTATTTCGATTTGAAATTACATAAATGTGCGAAAATTGAGTGTAGTTAGTATATATCGCGATCAAAATATTTATGTAATTTGCGATCTCAAATCGAATTAGCTATATAAAAATTGCAATATGCAATGACTTTTTTACGACGTTCCATATATATACATAGAACTTAAATTATGACATTAATGCATAGGCTTACACAATGTACATCATCCACATCATATTGCAGTTCCCCTTTTACATAACACTACATAACTTACATTACTTACATATAGTTTTAAGCGTTGCAGTATAAGAAATAAAGTAGATACGCATTTTAGCGTCACGAAACATAATAGGATAAATCAGTTTCATGTTTAAAGACAATATAAATACAAGGAGATATCCAGTAACAAATGACGCGGATGTAAACAACCATCAGGCACTGTACGCCCTTCGACAATAAGCAAAAGCGTATAGTAAGCTTTTGAAGGCCACGGCATGACAAAATATGAAATAAGTCGAGAGAAGAAGGGGTTTATCTTGGTTATTATGAGCACTCAACCCCCTCTTATTTCGATCAGTGGAATAACAAAATATTAATAACACACACACACTAGATTGTAATATGAAAATCAGCTAAGAAAAGTCAATTAACTTTATACCACTTGTCTCGTCTATGTGAAAAAGTAAATTCAGACGTTACATGTCTATAGGTGTATTTTTTTCAGCAGAGACAAGTAACCGCGCGTCGGACGAAACGGGTTGTCGAATTATAGGACCGTCGGACTTGAGGATTGTTGAATTTAAGGACTGTCTGATTATAGGTTGGACCACAGAAATTTCTATGATTTGATAAAATTGCACCTGGTTTTTCCGATATATCACATTCGACCCGACAAGAAAAATTATTTTTATTTACTATAATAATCAATATTTTGATTACCAAGTCGATTAATCGATATGTAACCTGTGATTAGTATACTTTAGTCAATATATTATGTCCCGGGTGTACCGTATCAAATGCAGTTATATTTTAAGGACTCGACAGCTGGCCTGCAATACACTTATAATTTTAATATCCATTCTTTATCTAATTACTTTAATATTTATGGCATTTATAATTTTGCCGAGGTCAAGTACGCCTTCACATTCTTGTGTTTGACGACTGGAAACATGCTAGAGTTGCACCTGCATATAAAAAAAACATAAACCGGTCAACTATAGACCAATCTCATTAACTTGCATTAGCTTTTCGGCATTCTCAATCTTGCGAAACACAACTTCTCTCCTTCATCCAAGAACTTCAATCCACAAACAATTCAAATACACAAACAGATCTTATAATAATGGACTTTGCAAATGCCTTTGATAAAGTTCCTCATCGTCACTTGCTCTAAAGTTAAATCATTTTGGTATCAATGGAAACACATTAAACTGGATCTCTGCATTTCTCTCCAACCGTACTCAGACAGTTGTCCTGGAGGGAAGATCATCATGCAAGCACAGTCCCAGTCACCTCTGGGGTTCCACAAGGTACTGTCTTAGGTCCAGTCCTATTCATGGCCTATATAAACGACCTTCCAGACTACCTTACTCATAGCAAACTAAGATTATTTGCTGATGACAGTATCATATACATACCAGTGAAATCCCAGGGTGACTGCCTCAAACTGCAAGCTGATCGATCTTGATGCAGCAGCGAAATGGGGAGTGGACTGGCTGATGGCCTTCCACCCAGACAAGTGTACTGTTCTATCTGTCACAACTGAACGTCAACCTTTACAACATAACTACACTCTTCACAATCATATTTTAGAAACTGTTACATCTGCTTAATACCCAGGCATCACACTACAGTCAAACCTAAAATGGGACAAACATATATATAGATGACAATATCTCCAAAGCAAATAAAACACTTGGCTTTCTAAGGAGAAACCTGAAAACATCTAACCAAAACATTAAGAGCCAGGCATACCAAGCACTTGTCCGTCCCAAACTCGAGAACTCCTGATCGGTTTGGGACCCCCACACCTCAGAATCTATCTCGAATATGGCAAGCCGTTCTCGTCAAAACTATGTTTAAACCATTTTTCGAAAAATTTACACACTGAGAATTAAAAAAAACACACTGAGATTAAAAAACCTAAAAACACACACTGAGAATTGAAAATTACACACTGAGATTTCATAAAAACGCACTGAGATTACAAAAATTGATAAACACACACTGAGAATTGAAAATTACACACTGAGAATTGAAAATTACACAATGAGATTTCAAAAAGACACACTGAGATGAAATAAACTGAAAAACACACACTGAGAATTTAAGATTACACACTGAGAATTTAAAATTACACACTGAGATTTGTGCGCACTTTTTATGCGCACATATCAAATTAGCATACTTAATCTGAATCTATTACAAGCTTAAAACAACTAGGGGACAGAACTCGTTAGTCCTTCAATTTGGCGCTAAATGTTTTATAAAAAACATTAAAAATACAACGTATAGAAAAACTACGTTATTAAAGACCAATAGAACAAGAAAAATACCCACTTACTCTCATTACAAAATATAACCATATGGTGAAAAACTTTATTAAAATTATAAGAAAACATTGGAACAATCTGCAAAAATACAAACAATGCAGTGAATTTTTTTCCCAAGTGTTTATTATACAATGGAAACGTAAAAAAATATAAAAGATACTTTGCGAAATCAGGATAACAGTTGAAAGACTTTTGAAGAGAGACCATGCTTAAACAGTTTTAAACAAAAAATCCCGATATACTGTTAGTAATCATCTGAATTATAGGCAACAAACTTATGAATATGAGTTAGCAAAAAAAGTTGTTAAGTCTTGAAATTTATTACGAATGTTGGTTATAGGAACCGCATTTCATTATAATGACAAGAGTTCGGGAGACCAATATATTAATCTGTTGAATTATTCATCTCATGAATATTCATTAGTAATTTGCATATTAATCTCAGTGTGTATTTTTGAAATCTCATTGTGTAATTAACAATTCTCAGTGTGTGATTTTCAATTTATTTCATCTCAGTTTGTCTTTTTTTAAATCTTGGTGTGTAATTTTATATTCTCTGTGCGTGTTTTTCATTTTTTTAAATCTCAGTGTGTAATTTCGATTTCTCAGTGTGTTATTTTAGGTTCTTAAATCTCAGTGTGATTTTTTAATTCTCAGTGTGTAATTTTTTTCGAAAAAATGGTTTAGACATAGTTTTGACGAGAACGGCTTGCCATACTCGAAGGCAGAGATGGTCCAAAGGAGAGCTGCTCGGTATGCCTGCAACAGGTATCATAACACTAGCAGTGTATCAAACATGCTTAACACACTCAACTGGCCACAATTAACACAACACAGATTATGTGCATGCCTGGTTATGATGTACAAGATCACACATCATCTTGTTGCTATACCATCTAGCACAATTCTCATTCCATCAGACTCAAGAACCAGAAAACATCATTCACACACCTTCAGACACATCTATACACCCAAAGACTCGTACAGATTTTCATTTTTCCCATACACAATAACGCAATGGAATCTTCTACCAACTACAGTTGTTCATTCACTGACAGTCAACTCGTTCAGAGAGCAGCTCACATATGCTGTTCTCTCTACTCTCATCTAAATAGCTTCATCTCATGTACATAGTTTTAATCGCTAAGCCTGTTCTTTCAACCGTTTGTATATAACTTTATATTAACTTGTTGTAAATAAATGGGCCACGCATGCACCAGTTATGGATCATCATGGAAGACTGGAAAACTTAAAGAAGAGAAGTTTACGTTAAGCAATTATATGCGGTCTGGGAAATAGATGTATATCTTGTTTATAATTTTTGACGGTTGTAAAGGCGACCGCTATTACCACGACGTCTAGGAGTCGTGTCACAAACTAAGGTTACTATAGATAATCGGAAAAAACCTGTCTATATATAAACAACACATATTACTCGATTAAATCAATACTACATATTACCGTATCTAAAATGCTGGCAAAGGAAAAAAAACCACTAAATAGCGTGCGTCCAAAGCGCTTTTCTGGATTAACCTTCATCAGGAACGCCGATACCCAAACAATATCATAAGTTTTTCCGAAAATACTCGTACTTTACAAGGTCAAATATCTTTTATATAATCCTTTTACTAATGTTAAAAAGACAGGGAAGGATAAGATATATCTCTGATAAATATAAATACTTTATTTTAGTTGTTTAAAATGTAAAAAGATATTGTCTTGTCATTAGATATCAAAATGTTGACCTCGAGGTCAATTGTCAACGCCTAGATATGTCTATACGTCCGTTTCAGCTAATGCGTAGAATGCGAACTATTGTTTCTGTTTGTTTGCTTTTATCAAATTTTATTTCATGTTACAAATGTATGCCTTAAAGATTAAGTTATGTCTGTTCTTCCAAATTTTTCATTTACTCCTAATAGGGTGAAGACAACGATGGAGGTTACAATCACGTGGTTTTGAAACGGAATGCCCAAAAGAAAACCAAAACGAAGAGAGGTATTATATATAACTATTGCACGAGATTATCTTTGAAACTTTTCGAAAGTATTTGTTATTAGTAAAGACGATGCAAGTAAAAAAAGCTTCCACAATACAAATATAAAAAAAAAATGTTTGATAAGTTTCAGAGGACATTTTTACACCCCTAAAACACCAAAGACTGGCACTCAAATTGTTCCTCCGCGCTTATGTTAAGCTTTTTTTGTTTTTGTGTAAAATCTTAAACGTATGCATGTATGCATTTACTTGCAAAACGTAGCATTGTCTTGCCAATATTTCGTGACGAATCAAATTTTCGTTATATAGAGTCACTATCTCAATATAAGAATAATATACGTGCAATATGTCATTCTAACAAAAAAAAAACAACATTAGTGCCAAAACATTTTTTCTGTGGTCCTAGAAATTTAAATATCCCCTTTGTTTTTATCCTTCAGTGGTCGTGCACAAAGTCTTCGGCCTTGGCTGGTATTTTCGCATGGTCAATGCTAAACACAGCACTTCAAGTTTCTTTAAAATTTAAAGTTTAAATAATTACGCAATACAATATGTCTATATCGTAACATAATTCTAATATGATTTGCATATTAAGGCATACGTTTATATGGTTGGTCGAGAGGGCTTCCGGTAGTGGCTCTTGAAGTTATCTATTTTTGGATAGACGACGTTGACGGAACTACTGTTTGAACCAATGTAAACAAGATGGCGGCGATAATAACACAAACCGGCTCGACGTTATAAATATCTATTTTCACTTCGCGTTCATCGTTAAATTAAATAATAAACACAAAACATTTATTTGAATGATAATGAGATATTTTAGTAGTTAATTTTTTATCAGATTTTAGCAAATTTTATGGAGTACATTTTTTTGCGTTAACCAAAAAATATATTCATGCGCCATGCCAATTCAATGACACAAATATACAATTTACTGAGATAGAAGTTACGAGTGGGGAAATTAAATTCCTTATCTCCAAATTTTGAAGAATTATAAGGATTAAATGAACTTTTAAAGGAATTTATTGGTGTATAAACTGGAACAAGTCACTCACAAACATATCTTATATTCTTGTCTTTCATTTTTGCTTATGTTCTTTGTCTATATGCCTTTTTGTTTGTCTTTGTTGACATATTTGTTTGCTTTTATAGTGATTAAGATTATAACACAATGTTGACTGCTTTACCCTTTTTCTTTACATTTTTTCTCCTATGATGTCTGTTTTTTTTTTTCGTTCACACATTGTTGTCAATATAATAGAATTTTATGCGATTGTCATACAAGTGAGAGGTTTAGCTAGCTATAAAACCAGGTTTAATTCACCATTTTCTACATAAGGAAATGCCTGTATCAAGTCAGGAATATGACAGTTGTTTTCCATTCGTTTGATGTGTTTGAGCTTTTGATTTTGCCATTTGATAAGGGACTTTTCCTTGGAGTGCGGTACTTTTGTATTTTACTTTTTATCATAAAAGTCCATCGGACATTTATTTGTTTGTGAGTGAACTGGTCTAGTTTATACATCAATAAATTCCGTGAAACAGGCGTTTAATCCTATAATAAATTTAACACAATCTATCTACCATCTACACCAAAGTCCCGCTATGACAAAACATCAAGATGTAACAACAAAACATCAAGACGTAACAACAAAACAGAACCGCTGACGGAACAGAATCACAACGATGTGCGGGAGGAACTAGATTTTAGAAATCGCAACTCTATCCCGTCAAATCTCAACTCTATCCCGTCAAATCTTAACTCTTCCTCTTCAAATCTCAACTCTTCCTCTTCAAATCTCAACTCTTCCTCTTGCAATCTTGACTCTACCTCTTCAAATCTTGACTCTACCTCTTCAAATCTCAACTTTATCCCGTCAAATCTCAACTTTATCCCGTCAAATCTCAAGTCTATCCCGTCAAATCTCAACTCTTTCCGGTCAAATCTCAACTCTACCTCTTCAAATTTCAACTCTATCCCGTCAAATCGCAACTCTATCCCGTCAAATCTCAACTCTATCCCGTCAAATCTCAACTCTATCCCGTCAAATCTCAACCCTATCTCTTTAAATCTTGACTCTACCTCTTCAAATCTCAACTCTATCCCGTCAAATCTCAACTCTATCTCTTCGAATCTTGACTCTACCTCTTCAAGTCTCAACTCTATCCCGTCAAATCTCAACTTTATCCCGTCAAATCTCAACTCTACCTCTTCAAATCTCAACTCTATCCCGTCAAATCTCAACCCTATCCCGTCAAATCTCAACTCTATCCCGTCAAATCTCAACCCTATCTCTTCAAATCTTGACTCTACCTCTTCAAATCTCAACTCTATCCCGTCAAATCTCAACTCTATCCCGTCAAATCTCAACTCTATCCCGTCAAATCTCAACTTTATCTCTTCGAATCTTGACCCTTCCTCTTCAAATCTCAACTCTATCCCGTCAAATCTTGACTTTATCCCGTCAAATCTCAACTTTATCCCGTCAAATCTCAACTCTACCTCTTCAAAAATCTCAACTCTATCCCGTCAAATCTCAACTATATCCCGTCAAATCTCAACTCTATCCCGTCAAATCTCGACTCTACCTCTTCGAATCTCAACTCTATCCCGTCAAATCTCAACTTTATCCCGTCAAATCTCAACTTTATCCCGTCAGATCTCAACTCTACCTCTTCAAATCTTGACTCTACCGCTTCAAATCTCAAATATATCCCGTCAAATCTCAACTCCACTTCTTCTAATCTCGACTCTACCTCTTCAAATCTCAACTCTACCTCTTCAAATCTCAGCTCTACCTCTTCAAATCTCGACTCTACCTCTTCAAATTTCAACTCTATCCCGTCAAATCTCAACTTTACCTCTTCAAATCTCAACTCTATCCTGTCAAATCTCAACTCTACCTCTTCAAATTTCGACTCTGCCTCTTCAAATCTCAACTCTACTTCTTCAAATCTCAACTCTTCTTCTTCAACTCTCAACTTTACGTCTTCAAATCCCAACTCGTCTTCTTCAAATCTCAACTCTTCCTCTTCAAATCTCAACTCTTCCTCTTCAAATCTCGAATCTTCCTCTTCATATCTCGAGTAATGGAACAATAATAGTACACGAAGGAACGTACAATGAACATTGTATTCTCCCTTTTTTAAATTTTCTTTCCCAAATTTGATATAAAATCTACTTTGTGTCTTTCCTTTCAAGCAATCAATTGATGCGCGTGTTGATTTATAGTTCAAATTAAATAGCTCCAAAGAAAATTATACCCATTAAATTTATTTCAATGTCAGCTCGCAGATGTAAGTGCAGAGGGAGGCGTGGAAAAAGAGGACCTCCCGGACCCAAAGGTGATACAGGGGAGAAGGGTGAATCTGGTACAGCAGGGGAACAAGGACCAAGTGGTGCTCGAGGTATAAAAGGAGATCCTGGTCCTGTGGGAATACAAGGAAATACAGGTGTGTATCATTTAATGAAAATAAATACAAAGTATTACTCCTGTGTTAACTAAATTCTAATAAGTCTGGGTATAAAATGTACCAACATTGGAGTGAAAAATACAAATTAAAGATTGGCAATTAAATATCTTCAAGCTTTGTATACTCGTTTATACAGTGGAAATATCTTCAAGCTTTGTATACTCGTTTATACAGTGAAAAGATCCTCAAGCTTTGTATACTCGTTTATACAGTGAAGAGATCCTCAAGCTTTGTATACTCGTTTATACTGTGGAAAGATCTTCAAGCTTTGTATACTCGTTTATACAGTGGAAATATCTTCAAGCTTTGTATACTCGTTTATACAGTGGAAATATCTTCAAGCTTTGTATACTTGTTTATACAGTAGAAAGATCTTCAAGCTTTGTATACTCGTTTATACAGTGGAAAGATCTTCAAGCTTTGTATACTCGTTTATACAGTGGAAAGATCTTCAAGCTTTGTATACTCGTTTATACAGTGAAAAGATCTTCAAGCTTTGTATACTCGTTTATACAGTGGAAATATCTCCAAGCTTTGTATCTCGTTTATACAGTTTGTATACTCGTTTATACTGTGGAAAGATCTTCAAGCTTTGTATACTTGTTTATACAGTGGAAATATCTTCAAGCTTTGTGTACTCGTTTATACAGTGAAAATATCTTCAAGCTTTGTATACTCGTTTATACAGTGGAAAACAATTTATTTGCTTTACTGTTTGTTTGCCAGTTCGGCATTAAATTTGATATGTCTGTTCGGTAATATTTTTGATATGCCAGTTCGTACGTTCCACACAACAATTAATTTGTCAGTTTTGGTCTATGTTTTATATTCCAGTTCGATACTTAATTAAAAGGACACGAGTCATTTATTTCAAAGAAAATTAGGTAACATTTATCATCTTTTGATTCATTGATTTGTATTCATTATTTAAAGGACCAAGAGGGGAGAAAGGTGAACCTGGAAAATTGGTAAGTACAGTAGTCTTATACAGACTTTTTTATATATATAATTGCTATTGTACCTAACGAGTTAAGAAAACCTTACATGATAAAAACCCAGAATATCATTAAAGACCGTATGCTTATCGAAAACTATTTATTTTCTTTTTTGTGTTGTTTGGTTGCTGCCCTTTACGTTCACCACACTTTATAATTATTCATAAATTCCTTTACATGAAGCTATGAATATTATTAACAGACTATACCAAATATCTAAAACTCAAAATTTCTTCATGAACCAAAATACAAGAAACATCGACAACTTATGAACAACTATCTATTTTCATGAAACAGGACCGACACTGAATATATTGCAGTGTTAAATAGGACCGACACTTACATATTTTCTATGGTTTAATAGGACCGACACATTCATATTTTCTATCTTTAAATAGGACCGACACATACATATGTTCTAGTGTTGACTATGACTGACACATACAAATGTTCTAGTGTTAAATAGGACCGACATACCATATGTTGTAGGGTTAAATAGGACCGACACATACATATGTTGTAGGGTTAAATAGGACCGACATACCATATGTTCTAGTCTTAAATAGGACCGACATACCATATGTTGTAGGGTTAAATAGGACCGACATACCATATGTTCTAGTGTTTAATAGGACCGACACATACATATGTTGTAGGGTTAATTAGGATCGACACATACATATGTTCTAGTGTTAAATAGGACCGACACATACATATGTTCTAGTGCTAAATAGGACCGAAACATACATATGTTCTCGGGTTAAATAGGACTGACACATATATATGTTCGAGTCTTAAATAGGACCGACATACCATATGTTGTAGGGTTAAATAGGACCGACACATACATATGTTCTAGGTTTATATAGGACCGACACATACATATGTTTTAGTGTTTAATAGGACCGACGCATACATATGCTCTAGTGTTAAACAGGACTGACACATACATATGTTCTAGTGTAAAATAGAACCGACAAATACATATTTTCTATGGTCCGACACATACATATTTTCTATATTTAAATAGGACTGACACATACATATGTTCTCGGGAATATAGGACCGACACATACATATGTTCTCGGATAATATAGGACCTTTTCTATGGTCCGACACATACATATGATTTATGGTTAAATAGGAGTGACACATACATATGGTCTCGGGTAATATAGGACCGACACATATATATTTTCTAGGGTTGAATAGGATCGACACATTCATATGTTCTAGTTTATGTAGAACCGACACATATATATGTTCTGGGTTAATATAGGACCGACACATACATATGTTGTAGGGTAATATAGGACCGACACCTACATATGTTGTAGGGTTAAATAGGAACGACACATACATATGTTGGGTTAAATAGGACCGACATACCATATGTTTTAGGGTTAAATAGGACCGACACATACATATGTTGTAGGGTCAAATAGGACCGACATACCATATGTTGTAGGGTTAAATAGGACCGACACATACATATGTTCTAAGTTTATATAGAACCGACACATATATATGTTCTCGGGTAATATAGGACCTACACATACATTTGTTCTCGGGTAATATATGACCGACACATACATATGTACTAGTGTTAAATATGACTGACACATACATATGTTCTGGTGTTAAATATGACTGACACATACATATGTTCTAGTGTTAAATATGACTGACACATACATATGTTCTAGGGTTAAATAGGAACGACACATTCATATGATGTAGGGTTAAATAATATCGGCAAATACATATGTTATAGGGTTAAATAGGACCGACACATACATATGTTGGGTTAAATAGGACCGACACACCATATGTTGTTGGGTTAAATAGGACCGACACATACATTTGTTATAGGGTTAAATAGGACCGACACATACATATGTTGTAGGGTCAGATAGGACCGAGACATACATATGTTATAGGGTTAAATAGGACCGACACATACATATGTTATAGGGTTAAATAGGACCGATACATACATATGTTATAGGGTTAAATAGGACCGACACATACATATGTTATAGGGTTAAAAATGTCCGACACATTCATATTTATATAGAACGAACAGATAAGTTACTGAGAAAAAGGACAATATTTATCAATATCGGTAATTATGGACTACCAAAATACAGCTACATGTAAAAACAATCAGTAGAATATAATGCTCTGATATGAAACTAGCTCTTCTTAAATCAAACTAGCTCTTCTTAATTCAAACTAGCTCTTCTTAAATCAAACTAGATCTTCTTAAATCAAACTAGCTCTTCTTATATCAAACTAGCTCTTCTTAAATTTGTTAATTTTTGCTTTGATTATGTTATTATGTATATATTAATCACGTATTTTTTATAATGCAGATAATTAATTTATTTACAGCCTATTATATGTTGTTTCAGATGAAAATAAAAGCATCTCATTATACCTCCGACTTCGATCGTGACATAGACCATAAGGACAAGATCTGGGAAAAGAATGAGAATGGTTATAGAATATATGGTGCACATCATTCACGTTTTAGATTTATCACCCTTATATTTTCACTTTAACTTACTTCTCTCAATTTATAAATAATATAAGCATACTTCATTGTCCTGAACATGGATTTGCCTTGCCACTGAACGTTAAACCGCCATTCATAGTCATTATCATACTATTGTAAAACGAAGTCAATAACTTTGTAAATGTCAAATATAAAATATGATTTTGTATATATAAATCATCTCTGAGGTGAAATTGAAAAAATAAAGAATTACAAAAAACTATCCGACTGATATAATTGGTCTGCCAAACTCTTCTAATAGTGTAAAAGGCATTTACATCCGGTTTTATACAATTGACTAGTTAAAATCACCCATAACATTCAGAAGGAAGAAGAATAAAGTAGCAAACACTACACAAATATCAAATAAAGAACTGAGATAACGTCTTCATCACATTTTTTTTTTATAATTTCACAGTTATCGGTAAACAATATAATTATCATGACTCCGTATCTTAAATGTTCGTAGCAATAGACATCTCCCACATAACTCTATCTAAACCCTCCGTATCTTAAATGTTCGTAGCAATAGACATCTCCCACCATAACTCTATCTAAACCCTCCGTATCTTAAATGTTCGTAGCAATAGACTTCTTCCATCAAAACACTATCTAAACCCTCCAATATATGAGTTCCTTACTCTATACCAGAACTTTTACTAACATTTATTAACGCACTCCTGATTATATTAAATAGATGCTGAAGTCTGACAAGCTTTTTGTAAAGTTAATACATCAATAAGGTAAATGTATCAACTAGGAAACATACTTCATATGAGATATTGCGTCACTAAATAAGTTTCTACGTGATATTACTGTTGATGCGACTTTCACTTTATCTTTTATTTTTTGGCATATAATTCTTTTGAATATTGTATGATGAATTTTCGTTAATGACTAGAAAGTACAGCAACAAATCATGATTAAAAGATGTAAAGTTTTTTTCCTTTTATTATTAACGAATTATTTCATATGTATTTTTACTACGAAAAAAAATCATATAAAATATGTCACGTGTTTTGTAGAGTTTCCTTCATAATGTATTTAACTTTATTCATTGTTATCATCTAAGATTTCCATATATAAGAAGTACATTCGTCACATTCATACTTATTCCTATTTCAGAAGCTTATTATAACTTGTACAAAAAACGGATGCCTTTCTTTATAGTTCGATTTCCTTTCGTCTGGCGTACCAACTTTAAAGCCTGGTATCTTTGTTGAGTTTTTATATCTTAACTGAATTGAGAACCATCAGTAAAATTATTAATACCTGTTAAAACGTATGTAATTATAAAGGTTTCATAAAAAATTTTAACGAATCAGTTTAGTTTGGTGTTATTTGGACACACACTTATATACTTTTTTAGGTAAAACTACAGATGTGTTCAATCATATAAATTGGCGTCGTAATCAATCTACGATTCGCAATAAATTAATGAGTCACTTGACGAAGGGCCCGGGATTTCAAATTATTTGTGAAAAACACTTTTTTATTGTTAATTTGGTTCAGGAATATCAAAAAGACCTGCTATCACCATTTTATCCGTACCAAGTAAAAAAATAAAAAGATCCGTGTCCAACTGATTCCTCTCAAACTATCAAAATGTGTTTGTTGGTTTAATTGTTTATTTGTAAAATAAATCATTTGAATAAATTAAAAATTTGTTTTGCAGTGGAATGCAACACACTATGGCATGGTACAGTCTGTAGAAATAGAACATATACGAGTTTAAGTAAGTAGCAGGATAAACATATCTATACAATAACAATACATCAACTATTTTATGTTAATATGTTTACATTTAGGTTTTAGACTGGTTTTTTTTCTCGAAATCCACTTAAATGTTATTATTCATATATCATTTTAAAACAATCTGCAGAGGTTCACGAACTTTTTAGATACATTGCAAATTATCGAAACTGATATAATGAGAAGAATTCAGATCATTTATTTAAGCTAAATTGTTTGAAAATATTTCTGAAACGAAAAAAACCTTACTATAAAAAAGAAGATGTGGTATGATTGCCAATGAGACAACTCTCCACAAGGAGACCAAATGCCATAGAAATTATCAAGTATAGGTCACCGTACGGCCTTCAACAATGAGCAAAGCCCATACCGCACAGTCAGCTATAAAATGCCCCGAAATGACAATGTAAAACAATTCAAACGAGAAAACTAACGGCCTAATTTATGTACAAAAATGAACGAATAACAAATATGTAACACATAAACAAACGACAACCACTGAATTACAGGCTCCTGACTTGGGACAGGCACATACATACAGAATGTGGTTAGCGGGATCCCAACCCTCCCCCTAACCTGGGACAGTGGTGTAACAGTACAACATAAGAACGAACTATAAAAATCAGTTGAAAGAGGCTTAACTCATCAGATGGATAAAAATACAAATACTACAAATACAAGTGGACGTGGCCAGGTACTTGTACATCCAAACAACAAAAAGACACTAAGTACAGATCTGAGAGTACTCGCAGTTACTGACAGTTAGTTCAAAGCCACTAACAACTAATAAAAAAAATCATGCATCTAAGACTAAATTATCAATCCGTACACATCCAACATCCAATAGCTTCTTGTGTTATGAGATTGTCATTGACGGATAACCCACATCTCCCGTTTAGATATTTTTTTTTAATTTTACCAAAATCCTCCATAAAGTTGTTCAGAAAGGGGTGAATAATTGTCATAGACTATGAACGTTTCATTTCTTTGTAATAATGTGTAAAAAGGTTATAATGATTGCGATAATTGTTACTTAAAACATCTGTTCATGATAATTTTCAAAATGTGTACCAATCATTTAACCAAATAAAAAACCAAATAGTTTATTTTCAAAATTAATAAACAAATATCTACCTTAGTTTTTTTACAAAATTTCGACATCATTTAATTTAAAATCTGATGTTGATACACTTTAAACAAAAATATATAAGGTTATAGCTATGTTATTTTCAGAAAACAGTCAGACTATGACATTTCTAGAGAGATCAAATTGGAATAATGTCGAAAATCCATTTGATGATACAGAAAAAGGAAAATATAAAGCGAAAGAAACAGGGATATATCTTGTTTACTTCCATGTATGTATATGATTAAATACAATGCATCAATCATTTAAGCTGCTTACATGTTTTATCAAGAACACTCACAATCAAAATCTCAGAAAACTTGACAATGAGCCACAGTTGTCAGTAGCCACTTAAATAATGTAAACACCTTTCTTATAGACTTTTCTGTGCTTATAGTTTCTTCTTTCTGTTTGTGCGGAAAAAACAATGTTTTAGAAGGTCATAGATACAATTATTCAGGAGCGTCTAAAACAATTATTACCGAAGAAAATTCACATTGGTTACTAAGAATGCAATGCACTTTAAATGAACATTACATAATATATATTGCCTAATATTTGAAATCAATGAATGCCATTATAAAGAAGCTTATTGCAAAATATCATTTAGGTTTTATTAAAAAAAATTAAATGTACACCAGATGAAATTTGTCCCTATTGTCATCGTCTTTGTATTATACTATTATTAAACCTCATTGAAAAAAGTTGTAGGTCAAATCACAACGTGACAGATTGTCATAAAACGGTTAGTTGACCGATAAGTTATGTAATATAGATATGAAGCTCAATTATCGTCACAACCAATTTAAAGGCGGGGTTCTTCTTACCATTGCGGATCACGTGAGATGATTATCCACGGTTTTTGGAGGGGTTAGTGCTGCTCAGTCTTTAGTCTTCAAATAAGTGTTTTGTAGACTGTTGTCTTTTCGTTGTTTTACGTGTTTTTAGTCATAGTTTTTCGGGTCTCTCTCGAATTATGAGTCAAGATTCTCCCTTTGGTATCTTTCGCCTCTTTTTTTAAAGAGTTTGGATTTTATTTCTCCTTAGATCCACATACTGATTGCTTGACTGGTAGAGCTTTAATTAATGACCGGTTGCAAATATCTCATGTATATTCAGGACAAAAAATTCCAAAAAAAAAATATTAACGAAATGACTTGACCTAAGGACACCAATAATGAGGAAAATTCAGCGGTTGTCATTGGTTGCTGTTTTTCATATTTGTTTTTCGTTTATTGTTTTAAGTATAAATCAGACCGTTTGATTTGTTCCACATATTGTCACGCCGATGCCTTTTATAGCTTACTTTTCAGTATCGGTTTTTGCTCATTTTTCAATCTCTGAATTCTTATACAGAATACATTAGAAAAGATATTAGGATTACTAGAACGTGGTATGGGATATCTTATGATCTGAAATATCTTAAAGCAACATACTTGGAGTTTTACTTAAAAAGAAAAGACTTTTGGTTAATTTACTGAAGACAACAATTTTTTCTACTAACAAAATCGGAAGTAAGCAATATGAAAAATACAAAAATTACGTTTTTTTAATGGTTTGTAATTGATCTTATGGAATATAGTTCTTTTAAATGTCAATTATTTTCCATGTACTTCTTATTTGAATCAATGAGGTATTTAATAAATAAATCTTTAACATCTAAAACAAGAAAGAATTAAAAACCAATTGTTCAGAGAACAATTGAAGGTCTTTCCACTTCTTACGATTCATTTTGATATGAAAATATTAAAATACGGTTTAAAGTGTCATATACAGTATTAAATGATACCTTAATGTACGCTGATTCCAAAAATATATGGTTTCTAAACATTTTATTGAAATAAGGGAGATAATTTGTTACTTTCGGTTTAAAAAATGTCACTTCCTGTATTATTTGATAGTTTACTTGACACTGATTCCAAAAATATATGGTTCTATATACTTTAACATCAAATAAGTACAAAACAAAGCTACTTCCGGTTAACACAAAGTCATTTCCGGTTGGATTTTCAAGCTCATGTAAATTGCAACCTAATGGAAAGAGTCACATGGCTTTATAGTGTCTAAATGTGAAGTTAAAGCAAAGGTCAAAATCTAGAAAGTCAATTTCAACTTTGACCTTGAGCTCAATTTCAAGGTCATAAACCAAGAACCTTTAATCAAATTACCCTACGTCTTTATTATACTTGGTAAATGAGTTATACCACCACACATGTAGTTTTAGATATAAAAAGGGAGAAAACTCTCCTTTACGGTCGACGTACCCTTGCAATCAAAATTTACGTGTTACGACATGTCACAACTAACAATTAAGTAAAAATAATTTGTCGATATATGATACGGTTTTTGGAAAGAAGTGAAAATAAGCCAAAATCAAAATTTAAAATATGACCTTGACCTTTGACCTTGACCTAATTTTCATTTTTTTGGACCAAGGACCTCAAATCCGAAAACTTTAGGTCTCTATCACTTATGATTTACCAGTTACAAATGTAAATCATATATATGAAATGCATAAGGGGAAATAACTCTCATATGGAGTCTACGGAATGCTTCGGTGTAAACCAAACTCAACATCCTGAAGATATAGGGAGCAATTTGGTAAAATAAATTTGTAGTAATCTTTTACGGTTGCGAAGGAGTAGTGCTTGGGAAGATAACTCGTACAAAATAAAGTATTTTATTTAGCGGTGTCAGTTTTAAAAGCGTATTAACTGTTCGATATCATATACCAAAAATCTAAGCGACATATTTGGAAACAACAATACAGCGGAAGAAAAAAATTAGGCAGAAGAAAAAAAAAATAAACAGAACAAAAGCAATAGGTCTTTCCACGGAAAAGTGGAAAGACCTAATAATCTGCGATCGCTATTTTTACATACAAAACATTGTTTAATTCAAAGATATACCTGTGATTTGTCAAATATTTGTAATTGAATGCATTTAAAAAAAAAATGGATTAGATTGCTCTGGCTACTGAATATTTTTTTTTTTACAATATCTCGAATATTTTTTTTTGTAATTAAAACCGGAAAATAATTGGGAGAATAAGATTAAATATATGTTTTTGTAGGTTGTATTCAATAATGTTTTGTCCAGGGAAGAAATAGCTATCATACATCATCGGCATAACCCAAACACGGACACTGTACTGAGGTGTGTTGAAGGCAACGGCAGTTATGTGCATGGACCAAAAAGTCATAAAAACAAAAAGATGAAGACTTGCAGCATAACAAGTGTACTATTCGTTCAACAGAACGATGTTTTAGAAATACAAAACAAAATTGCTGGTACAACCATTGACCTCACGAAGGATGCTACATATTTCGGAGCAGTTCTGTTATCAAATGTTTCTCAATGATCTCGGTTTTTTCATGCTTCAAATAGAGATTTTTTTTATTAACTCAAAAGTGTTTTAAATTTATTCGTCAAATACAAATATTAGACTTTAACAAATAGTATAATAGAAATTAGTTAAACGTCTAATTGTTTTTTTTTTAGTTAACAAACACATTCCTGTGCACACTATAGTAATTAATGACTTGATATTTTTAGAAGACACTGTTTGCGAGTATTCATCATATATTTATGATTGCTTATTCACTTAGTATTTGTTGTAAGCTACATGTGGAATATCAATTATTATGTCATGTCTTTCTCTGCTAATCAAAGATTAATTTGTTATTCTTTAGAAGCTGTTACTTTTACACTGAAATCCTTTATATCTTAACTTGGTTCTTTAGAAAATACCTGACCAAATCAAAGTTATACCGATGTTATGTTAATATCTCTCAAGACAAGCATAGGAGTGACATACATAAACTATTTTCACTGAATTTCTGTAATACCGTTGTTTGTAAGAGCATTTCTACAAAACATAAATGAAAAGTAAACAGATGGAAATAATTTTTTATAGCTAATTTTTCTTATAAAGATCAATAAAATGTTGTATACTTAATAACTTATATACGGTGCAATTAATGGATTATATAAGTAATTAATACTGGGGGGGGGGGGGGGGGGTATTTTTCTCTTTTGTCTCTCTTTGCAAATGAGAGTCTGTAATACTGAAAGAGGTGTTTATCAATGCAATATATTTATAATGAAGAAAAGAAATGCTTCACAAATTTAATTGGTTTTTCTCTCAATATTATAATCATAGTTCTATCTTCTATTTTGTGTGTGTTTCCTTGCCAAAAAAAAGATTTTATTGATTTTCAATTTTCTACTTTCACTCGGTATTTTGCGAAATAGTGGCAACACATCCCATTAGTACTCTGATGTTACTGCATTTAACATATAACAGGATACATATGTCCATCTTTGACCACAAATAATCTTAAAAATTTACGTTTGGAAAAATTGCTCCTACATGGCGAGCGTACAGACATCCAGTCTCGTTTTTATTTAGTCTTACTGTGATCGTAAAAGTTTATCATATTTATATACTACTATATTTAAAGTTGTTGTACGTCTCAAATAAATACTTGTCTATTTTGAGATTTTCTATACAAATCTGTTCAGATAACATATCTCTTGACCTAGTTTTTAAACCGTCCTTTGTCAACTTCATGTAAAGATTTTATCATGTGTAAATAAAATTCTGTTTTATATTTGGTTATTATAAATTAACATGCAGACACTGAAAAAAGTGTTTAAGGATTTATATCACGAATTTCATTTCTACGTCATTGAACTTATCTTTCTTGTTCAAACATTTAAGTAATCTGAATTGTTAATAGTTAATTAACTCTTCGTACGTGTTACCGTGATCTAAACTATCATTGTTTCAAGTTGCAACTGAATGTCATAGTCTGATTTTATTACACATTCAGTTATCATAGTAGCAGAAAAACGTATATGTGCTTTATATTTCCTTCTTTTCAAATTCATTTTCTTACAAAAATATTGACCATTGTGCAATGCATTCATAACTCGTGTTGCTGACGGCTTTCTTAATAGTAACACATAGCTTTACACGCATCTAAGATATGCGAGTGCACATATTTAAATCTTTGAATCGCTTACTTTCAAACGTTAGTTATACCTTTTTAAGAAAAGTCATTTAACAAAATATTAATACGAGTAGCAAAGAGAATTTAAACTATGTTTGAATTTTGATTTTATGATAATGCTGACGTCTAGGCAAAATGTCTTTCACACACAATACTTAAATGTTCTTTTTTTAAAAGATAAACTTATTATCGTTAAATATAGAAAGAAAATACTTAACACTATAATTTTGTCTCTTGCATATCGGTGTATGTTTTGGTTAACAATGGTGATCAACCTAAAATCAAACCAAACAGAACGGTTTTTATCGTTAGCTGCTTCTGCCAAACATTACATAATGATCAGTGTGAAAACCAGTGTCATAAACAATCCTCTCCCACATACTATACAGAACCCCTTTGATTCTTGTTAGTATCACTCAACAATGGTCTCCCACATATTATGCAGAACCCCTTTGATCCTTGTTAGTATCACTCAACAATGGTCTCCGACATTTTATGCAGAACCCCTTTGATCCTTGTTAGTACATTCAACAATGGTCTCCGACATATTATGCAGAACCCCTTTGAACCTTGTTAGTATCACTCAACAATGGTCTCCGACATATTATGCAGAACCCCTTTGATCCTTGTTAGTATCACTCAACAATGGTCTCCGACATATCATACAGAACCCGTTTGATTCTTGTAAGTGTCACTAAATGCTCTCTCTTGTTAGTGCAACTCAACAATACTCTCCCATGTTCGTGCAGAACTCCTTTGATTCTCTTGTTATTGTCACTCAACAATGCTCTCACTTGTTATTGTCACTCAACAATGCTCTCACTTGTTAGTGTCACTCAACAATGCTCTCACTTGTTAGTGCAACTCAACAATACTCTCCCATGTTCGTGCAGAACTCCTTTGATTCTCTTGTTATTGTCACTCAACAATGCCTTCTCACATATCATGCAGAAGCTTTTTGATTCTTGTTAGTGTCATAAACAATGCTCCCCCACATTCTATGCATAACCCTTTTGATTCTTGATAGTGTCACTCAACAATTTTCTCCGTCGTTTTAAAAGAACATATCCAATCATTGTCAGTGTCATTTACGATGCTCTCCCACATATCATACATAGCCTTTTTCAAATCAGAATCCTTGCTATGTTGTGTTCTTCAGTCTTTAGTTTCGATGTTGTGTTTTGTGAACTGTTGTTTGTCTTTTTGTCTCTTTCTTTTTTTGCCATGGCGTTTTCAGTTTATTTTCGTCTTGTGAGTTTTAATGTCCCTTTGGTTCTTTCGCCTCTTTTGGCCAGTGTCACTCACCATTATCTGTCATTTTAAAAGAGCATTTGTGATCATTGTCAGTGTCATTAACCATGCTCTCCCACATATCATGCAGAACCCTTTTAATCCCTACCAGTGTTACTCAGCAATGTTCTTATACATATTTAACAGAAAACTTACTATCATTGCCCGTGTAATTAACAATGCTCTCTGAAAAATGATTTTAACGATCATTGCCGGTGTCAAGCAACAAAGCTCATCCACATATTCCAACGCAAACTTCCAATCCTTGCTAGTGTCACTTAACAATGCTTTTCCTCACTAATTATTATACATAAGCATTACACTTCCAACCATTGCCTGTGTAACTCAAATCATCTCTTCCACATATTTACAGAACACTTCTAATCCTTGCTAGTGTCCCCTAGCAATGTTCCTCCACCAAATTATTTAAAATATTCCAATCATTGGCAGTGGAACTACACAAAGCTCTTTCACATATTATACAGGACACTTCAAATTCTTGCAAATGTCTCTCAACATTGTTTTTCACATATCATACAAAACACTAGTAAAAAATGTCCAACGACTAATTCAACAGAACCATCCAAATAGCATCGATTTCACTCACCTTAATGATACCACCTATTTACAGAACCCAAAAAAGCATACTCAAAATTAGTTCAACAATGCCCAATTAGTAATTCCATCGAAATCACCGAATATCATCTGCGTAAATATCAAGATTTCAACTTATTATTTTACAAATCCCAAACTGTAAGGTCTCACTAACATGTACTTTTACTTGTCCATCTTAGATATTTAGTCGTCTGCTCTGTTTATTTTACTGATTGTGTCCTATTCCAATTTGTGATATTTTGACTAAGTGTGGATTCACATAGATGGTGCACCAGAAGCCGCTTCCCCTATCGACGTTGACTGAGTGTGGATTCACATATATGGTGCATTAGAAGCCGCTTCCCCTGTCGACGTTGACTGAGTGTGGATTCACATAGATGGTGCAACAGAAGCCGCTTCCCCTGTTGACGTTGACTGAGTGTGGATTCACATAGATGGTGCAACAGAAGCCGCTTCCCCTGTCGACGTTGACTGAGTGTGGATTCACATAGATGGTGCACCAGAAACCGCTTCCCCTGTCGACGTTGACTGAGTGTGGATTCACATAGATGGTGCATCAGAAGCCGCTTCCTCTGTCGACGTTGACTGAGTGTGGATTCACATAGATGGTGCATTAAAAGCCGCTTCCCCTGTCGACGTTGATTGAGTGTGGATTTGCATAGATGGTGCATCAGAAGCCGCTTCCTCTGTCGATGCACCCGGTCTCTCTTCATATGGAATTCATGCGATTTCTCTCATGATCATTTTTTATTGTTAACTTGATTTGTATTTTCTTACATGATTCATGAGAAAGAAAAATCAGTGAACTACTGTTGCCTAAATTTGTCAAACACTGTTTTTCATGCAACGGTCATAATAAAAAAAGAAGTGTATTTCTCCAGTAAACTCCAGTACCCCCTTAACTGATTTTTTTTGCAATATAAAAATGTATACCATTATTTATATTGGGTGTAATGAATGTAAAAGAAAGCTAAACCTCGAGCTAAGCACATATTGTTTATGTCATTGTGTTACAAAAAATAGATTTGTTTGTCTCCATTTACTCCATTTACCGTTTTAGGCTTTGTACTTAAATTATGTGACCGAATTAAATGTTCACATTTATGCTTTGTCTCAGTATTATATACACGGTGTATAACAATTTGATAATTAATTATATTACATTGTTTTAGCAACAGAAGGTATCAACAAGCACGTTTTATCTTTTAAAGCTCATATTTTAAGATTTAAAAATGGTATTCCTACCTACACTTCCTTCCTTCTTCCAGAAGAATATTTCCGCCAAGAAATAGATCTCTGCTTGGTTATGTGTAAAAACGGTATTGAGTGGGATATAAAAATAAAACTATAGGGAAATCCCGCACTATTAAATATACCCAGGGAAATTTTCAATGATTACCTATATTAGATATACATTTACCATCATATCCCTATAGTGGAAGTTTCAGTTAAAATTTCCGCAATATGATATAAACAACATAAAGCTTTTGGGGTTCTTCAATTTGTAAGAATAGTTTGAAGGTAAGCTATTTGTTTCTAATCTAATGAAAATAACTAAAACATTTTTTTTAATATATCGATATCTGTCTTTATGCATTTTTTTGGAGAATACATATTCATCCAGGATACAAATAAAAGTTTTCTTAACTTGTTTTTGTAACCAAAATATATTCTTAAATGACGAAATGCACATTTTGATAAAGGCAAATCATATCAAAACTAAATAAATTTCGGAAATAATGTATTTTATTTTGGTAATGTCAGTCTTGCATCCTTACTAGTTTATTTTACCTAACCATGATAAAATATTTGTAACATTAAACCAAAGGTTAACAACCTAGGCCACAGGTCAGTTGCATGGTCAACTAATAGTGGTCAAAAGGTCATATGGTTATATGTAAACATATACTGCTTTTCTTTGTATTGTATGTCTCTGAAGGATAATGTACTGGTAGTGATAAATTGTACAACAAAGTAAATGTCATTTTTCTAGTGCTCTTGAGTGACCACATGTTTTGATCTCGTTTTGCAATAGATGCAACTGCGGACAAATCTACAAGTTAGTGTAATGGATTGAAGAATGCAGGTTTACATGTACAATATGCAAACCTTCACGACAAAAGCTATCAAAACTGTCTCCTCGTTTTCTTTGATATACATACTTGACATTTATCTGACCCAAATAACGACAGACGTTTTCAAAATGGTGTATAAAATAATTCATATGGGTAATTTACATATATTTCGTAGTGTTACATGGTATTGTTTGTTATAAAAAAAAAGCAAGTAGCCATTGCATACTGACCACGGTTATTAGTAAGTAAATTGTTGTCTTTCTTGTATTCTAAGTTCCTTTCTGTAATGTGGATTAAAATTTGTATTCGTTATTCTATTCAGAAATCTTTTGATTATGCTGCTTCTGTTATAGTTAACAGTTTGGATTTGATATTGTTTTTATATATTTTGGGTTTTTTAGGTACCTTGTGACAATTTTTATCAGGAAAACGCTTCAAACACTATGGTATTTTCCACTTTACGTTTAACGCATTAAAAGGTTTTTTATGAGGCATTTTACAAAATTTGAAACATATTGAATATCATTAAATTTATAATAATTTTTGATGACTTTGTACAATTATGTTTTTAAAAAATGAACGAAGATTATAAAAATAGTTTTACTTTGGAATCTTTACTAGTCTAGATTTTTTTTTAATTTCCCCCCAAAAAAAATCATTGTCTTTCCAATCGTATTATATTTCTTTCTAATTAAAAAGACCCTTCGATACATTAATGAAACTATTGTTTCAAATGAAAATAGGAATATAACCAGATATCAATCAGAAAAATCTAAAACATGTGATATATCAACTAAACGTTAATAAAGAAATGTTATTATTCTTTAAGGTGCAATTGAAAAACGACATTTATATTCAATACAAATAATGTTGTCAGTTATCTTAAAAATAAAAATATATATTGAGTATAAACATCTTAGTTTATACAATATGCTTGAGCTTAAGTACTAGGATTTTCTTGACTAACTATGAAACAATCCTGCATAAAACCCACACAGTAGGCATACATCAATATATAAATATTCATATATTTACTATAGACATTTATGCTATTGAGAAATAGTTGATAAGCAATGAAGATTTGTGGAAGGGAAAAATGCTGGTGATTGAAACTGTCTGAATGATATCTTAATGTAAGCTAATTTTTTGTTTAATTTATCTTCTTGAATTTTGTTTTTAGAATAAACATTCAAGATATAAAAAAAAACCATCAATATCAAATTGGGGAAAATAATTATAGTCGGAGTAAGGGAAACTGGTTATGATTTCGGAGTCAGTGAAATTCGTAAGGACCACACGGGAAGTTTATACAATCACATAAATTTAGTTCTGATAGCAATTATTTCGACAGATCTGAACAATTGCGCTTACATTTTCATTCAAATAGTTGTAGTCACTTTACAACATGTACTAACGTTTATTGAGGCTGTCCTATAAGGAAATTTGATTAAGGGATAACACCAATGTGAAAGTAAGATTCATACTTATCTTAAGGTAAACAATAAATTGACACTGAGGGTCGTTAAAAACTTAACGTTAAAACATATGACATTATCCTTTTGTGCTTGTTTGTATAAAACATGTTTATTGGGTACATAGAAAATTAAAACAACACTTTAAATTTCATGCGGCCGGAGAGCTTACGTTTTGAATTATTTAATTAATTTATGATAACGTGAACGGTACCATTTTACTCCCCCAGATGCGCATTTTGACAATTAATGTCTCTTCAGCGATACTCGAGGCCATATATTTGAACATTCAAAACCTAGTACAGACGCAGAAGAGATGAGAAAACCTAAGAGGACATTAAGTGCAGCCAAATCCGGACAAGGAATCAGAGCTTTGCATGAGGGAGATGAATTCCTTAATTTCAAATGATTTAAATTTACTAAAGTTAAAAAAGATTATGACATGTCTTAGCTCACACAATAGCTGAAATTAAACCCGTACCATTTTCGATATTATTCAACCCATCTATGATTAAATAATAAAAAGTACACTTCATAACATTAACGGTACCATTGCTTATATCTTCAACAGTTGAATACACAACTTAACATATATTTTTACTTATTGTTCTACATGATATTGAAATTTGAATTTTGGAATAACACACCGTCATGTTTTTCTCACACTGTCAATAATTTCATTGGAGGTGTACTGAATAATATTTTTTTCTGAAAAAAAACATGGTCTTTTCATGAGTAAACATTTGGACTTTGAACTAGATTATAGTAAACGCGAGATCTCTTCTGTAGCTACATTGTGTTAGTTGTCATTTCATCAGTTGTTTTTGTGCTTAGTATTGATCTAATTTGTCAAGCTATTTTGAACGGATTTTTACAGTTGATTCTCATGTTGTGCTGTTACAGCAATGTCCAATTTTAGAGCTCACACATATGATTAAAGCGCATTTATTCGTTATTGATCTTTCCCTAGCCAGCGGCTTATTATCTAATAGTAACGATTTATTTTCTGAATTAATTCACATGTTGTTATCCAGGTATAAAAATTTAAAAAAAAAAATAGGGAACTCAAAAGCAAATTCAAAAAAAGTCCATAAAAACTGACAAAATCAAAGGCTATCCATCAACGGAACATGTGAAAAACAACTGACATATTCCTGTCTCGTTAAAGGCATATTTCGAAGAAAATGGTGGATTAAACCTGGTTTTATAGCTAGCTAATTCTCCCATTTGTATGACAGCTGTTAATAGCTCAATTATATTGACAAAATTGGGTGAGCAACCCAAACAGACATAATAGGTTAATGTGACAATAATTGGGATCCAGCAGCCAAAACTGTGTAGACAAAAATCACAGACATACAACACAACTGACTTAATAAATTAAAACAAACAAACAAATTAATCTAAAAGACGCCAACAAAATAAAGGTGTATTAGATAGTAAATTTTAAATTCTATTTTTTATATATGAGTTCACTGTAAGGTAGGTTATACCCATTGCTAAAGACAATGGCCTGTACTTTGGATTATTGATCCAATAATTTTTTTTTTTAATTTCACATTTCGCTATAAAGATGATGTTTTATCAATGAATTATTTGTTTGTTAACTATATTGATTGTTTATAAAATGGCTGTATTTTGGCACATCTTTTCTAAATTTTTGGGTTCTAAATGCTCTTTAACTTCGTTTTTTCTTTTGGCCGTCCACCTTTTTTATTCGATCAGCAATGAGGATTCTTATGTAGACAATTCGCTTGTCTGGAGTAACAAATTATAAGCCTGGTATCTTTGATGAATATATATGTATACAAAACTTCAAGCCGGTAGCTTTGATAATATTCTACAACCAATGATTTGATGTCAATGTTTTAAGACGTATCGTACTCAAAGGTTAACCATTCTAGTAGTCACTGTAATTGTGTTAACATAATATAATACTTTTTGACGTCCGTAAAAGATATAATTTGAACTTTACCATTATGACTCCTTAGTTCAATAGCTTCCTTGAAAATAGCTACCTTTCGTAAACATTAGTGCATTTCGGGTGCAAAAAGGAATTGTAATTTTTTTATTGAACTTTTCGGAAAAATGGAACGGTATTTTGTTTGCATTTAGATTTGAATACGTTATCTTTTCAGCTATTTTCCCTTTGTTGATGTTTCTTGCCTTGTTCCATTGATGCTTTTGTATGGTCTCTTTGCTATCCTCCAAAATGCAAGGTCAAGATTTTAGTTGCTTACCCCAAGACATGCAGGCCACTAATCTAGAAAAAAGTAAATTAACAAAAATACCGAACACCAAGGAAACTTCAAAACGGAAAGTTCCTTAACAAATTGATATTGTCCGTCATTGTGTATCTGTAAGTGTGAGCGCGCGTGTGTGTGTGTGTTAACTATTCAGTAACATTGGCAGCAGACTGCTATGCATGGCTAGAATTTGAGTAATTTTTAATATCTTGTTGATTCAAGTTAATGAAATATTGATTGTTTGATTGATTGATTGATTAATTGATTGATTTGATTCATTCATTCATTCGTACATTTATTAATTCTTTCAGAGATTAATTGATAAATAAACTGTTTGATTGATTGATTATTTTGGTGGTGTTTAAGCTTTATCTATTGAAATTGGGTATGGTGAGGCGAATATATAGCAAAGGTTAATTTATGACACTGTCGTCAGAAATGGTCTTGTTCTTAATGATTAAAAGAAACTGTGAGAAATTTACGTCGACAATATATGATTTGGAATAAATATTTGCAGAACACTCATATCATATGTCCAAAACATGGTATCTTCAACGTTTCATAATTTTAAACCTGCTGTATATTTAATATATATATAACATTTGATAAAGTTATTTTGTTTTAGAGTAAAATTTCTGCCTAATATGATCTTTGAGAAAGACAACCAGATGTACACAGCGTCCCCTCAAGTTATGCATACTAGAGAAGAGAGAAACCGGAAACCAAGTAATCAATCAGTTCTACCTTTAATGTATTGTGATATGGTTATAACCTGTTTAAAAAGTGGTAATTGGCATATATAAAAGAAAGAAGATGTGGTAGGATTGCCAATGAGACAACTCTCCATCAGATCCCAAATGACGTAGTGGTTAGCAACTACATTTCAAAGTACGGACTTGAACCATGAGCAAAACCAATACCGCATAGCAAGCGATAAAAATAAAATAAAAGATATGATATACAGCACCAAACGACTACATCTGAAACGCAGGCTTTTGACTTGGGACAGACATATACATAATATGACGGCGCTAAGCCCTTTGCCTAACCTATGACAGTGGCGTAACAGCACAGCACAAGTTGCATAGTGCAAGCATTAAAAAACTAAAATACAATTAAAAGTCTTTAATTATCATATAGAAAAATATAGTATTTTAAAAACTTAGTTGGTAGATAAAAGTTATCGTAATTACCATAATTAAAACCCTTTAACATTGAAAGATATGTAAGATGAAATACCAAATTACAGAAATTATTGTGATGCAGCAAATGCACATTTTGAAATTTTGTCTTTTTTCTTTCTTAAACAAATATTATCCTTTGTTAATTTATGTTTACTATTCTGATTTTGCTTAGTTTCTTCTGTTAACTATTCTTACATCGGACTCGGACTTCTTTTAAACTGAATTTTACTGTGCGTATTGTTGTGTGTTTGTTTATTCCACGTTGGCTAGAGATATAGGGGGATAGTTGAGATCTCATAAAACATGTAAACCCCACCGCATTTTTGCGCCTGTCTCAAGTTAGGAACCTCTTGCCTTTGTTAGTCTTGTATTTTTTTTCTAAATTTTGGTTCATTTATATGATTCGGAGTTTAGTGTGACGTCCATTTTCGATGAACTAGTATACATTATTGTTTAGGGGCCAGCTGAAGCCCGCCTCCAGGTGCGGGATTTTCTCGCTGTGTTGGAAGACGCATTGATGGCCATGGGTAGTTTTCTGCTCTTTGGTCGGGTTGTTGTCTCTTTGACGCAATCCCCGTTTCCATCAAACGTGGAAGACTGATGAACACGAAAAAATGATAAAAACATTTATAACACAAATCGAAACATAAACTTTATACACTTCATCGGACAAATTATGTAAAAAAATGTATTAACCAAAATACCCAAGGTAAATTCAAAAGCGGGGAAGTCCATAAACTTGACAAAATGAAACGCTCGACAATATCAACAAACGGAACGAATGGAAAACATCTTTCATATAACTGACTTGGTACAGGCATTATCCGAGGAAAATAAGGTGTTAAACCTGGGTTTAATGTCCTTCGACTCTACTGATTTACCTTTTTTGGTTTTGATGCATTTAAAAGATTATTTTTGGTGGGTTACTCGATGATTGACATACAATACCATGACGTAGAAGGCATGGTTTGTTCTATTTTAATAAAAAAAAAAAGGATATGTTGCGTTAAATCGTTCCCGGAACCGTACATGTATGCAATTTGAGAATTAAAAAAAAATCATTTAAGATACCAGGCTCATAATTTGGTACGCCAGCGCAATTTTCGTCTACACAAGGCTCATTAGTGGCACTCGCATCAACGAAAAATCAAACATGAAGTTGAAGAGCATTAAAAGCCGAAATTTCAAAAAAGGTTGTGCCAAATGCGACAAAGGCAATCTATGCCTTGGGTAGAAAACCCTTAGTTTCGAATAATGTAACAATTTTTAAACAGTAAATTTACAGAAAATGGGCATATAAATCTGAAATATAACTAATCACAACCTCCTGACGAGGTCCTGACCTAGAGCAAGTATGCAAATTTGGCAGATTGAACTAAAATTTTTGAATCCCAGCATTCTTCTTGTCTCATAATGATCAGTGGAATGACTTAAACTAAACAGATGAAAGTTGCAATAAAACACCAACCCCTCCGCCAGCAAGTTTTGTACAATATGTAAGTCTTCTATGTCTGATTGTGTTGTTTGGTTACTGTCTCTCTGAAATTAACACATCGGCATTATACAAAAAACGATCTGGACTAAATATTTTAAAAGCTAACTATACTTGAATAATTAAGAAAGAACAAAATTGTAAAACTCAAATATATAGAAATAAGAAAATGTGGTATGAGTGCCAATGAGACAACACTCCATCCAAGTCACAACGTGTTAAAAATGTTATCAATTATAGGTCAAAGTACGGCCTTCAACACGGAGCCTTAGCTCACACCGAACAGCAAGCTATAAAGGGTCCCAAAAAGACTAGTGTAAAACAATTCAAACAGGAAAACCAACGGTCTAATCTATATAAAAATCGAGAAACGAGAAACACTTATGAAACACATCAACAAACGACAACCACTGAACAACAGATTTCTGATTTAGGACAGGTGCAAACAAATGCAGCGGGTTTAAACGTTTTAACTGGCGCCAACCTTCAACCTAACCTGAAACAACAAAACATCATTTGAAATGGCTTAACTCGATCAAAAAGACATATTGACAAAAACAAGTAAACATACAATGAACGAATAAATTTGATCTATGAAACACTATAAATACAATATTAATAAAAAAGGGGATGTAAAACAATGTCAAAAAGACAACTATAACCTTGGACAAAATGGCGTTAAATAAACTAACGTACACGGGTAAATTTAAATATAATAATTTAGTTGTTAGGAGTACTGAAATATTTTTTACAAATTAAATAAATTTGTTTTTCATAGCACGAGTACAGAAGTGAAAATGTATCGTCATGCTAAATACTTTTCAAAGGTGGTACAGTGAGACGCGATATAACACAAAATAAGTAAAAATTGAATAACAAAAATGCATTACAAATTGTGTCAACAGATCAAATTAATACGAACGTACGATATATCATGTTTTCTGACCAAATGTATGTCATTTTATTCAAAATATTTTCATAAAAAATTAAGTTACATGTTCTTGTTTCAGTCTTTTACTTTTTTACTCGATTCGTTTGAGTATTGTTTAACAATTATATACAAGCACCGTTTTATTCATCTGTCTGTTAACGCCAAGATTCTCTTATATAATATGCTATGTTCCTTCAATGAGGTCAGTATATTATAGTTGAACCAAATATATTCATTGTGCTTTTGATAACTTTTTTCTTTTACCTGCAAAAAATAATTACAATCAATATAACTGGCATTTAAAAATTAAAAATGCTAAAAACTGGATATAAATACGACTTTAAACAAAAAAACATAAAGCTAAGGACATCTGACAACAATTTCGTATGATTTAGAAGTAGCAAGTGTTGGCAAATATGTTTGATAAGCATTCCTTGGATTCGGACTAGGACATTTCTGTAGAATGAATTTCTTAAAATGATCGGTAGTATCTCATTATATTTATATTTTAATCAATCATTTTGTATTTGTTTTTGCAGTTACGCATTTACCCCTCCATAAAATAACAAAGTTATATACAATGGCTACAGCTGGAGGTAAATTATATCTTATATTTGTCTTTCAAACTCAATGGATGAAAAAAGAGGAATGAGAATTGGGGCTTTGGCCTTTATAAAGATGCAAACATAGCTGGTAGTAAGTGCTTCCGTACTTACACAACATACATTTCTGAAAATATCTGTTAATAATTTTTCTATTCTCGGAAAATATAATTCATTTTAGAATCAGTTCCATTCATTATACCCAACGAAATTTTATCTAATCAAATTGCAATTGCTTGTTATTACCCTTTATGACGGAACTCAAATCATCAGAGCTTTAGCCATTATACAAAGAAGTACGAAATATATTAGGGGTTTTCAATCGTCATAATATGAAAGTAAAGACAACATCGTGGCAAAAGACAACGACGAAAAGAAAACAACAGTTAATAAAACAATATACAAACACACAAGAAGACCGCGCAACACGTTCATTGTTAGCTTTTTCTTCATAAAGACAACCAAAGACAACACAGACTTTATACAGACAGGTAAAACCGTAAAACTTTCATAAAGGTAGTCCAAACATCACAAACTTAACCTCAATGCTCTTCAACTTTGTACTTTATTTGGCCTTGTAACTGTTTTAATTCGAGCGTCACTGGTGAGTCTTTTGTAGACGAAACGTCGCGTCTGGCGTACAACATTTTGATCCTGGTATCTATAATGAGTTTATTAATATGAACAGGCCTGAACATAACAAAATTGATATAAACAGTCCTGAACATCACAAACATTATCAACACAGGCAAGAACATCACAAACTTCCTACGGCCGTACTTACATTATTAACAACACACCTTCATTAAAATCGCAGGTGCCAAATTTATTGTTATAAAGACACTAAGGTTCGAACTCCCTCAGGCATATTTGACCTTAGATAAATAATTATTTTTATAGTTGATAGATATAAGAAGATGTGGTATGAGTGGCAATGAAACAACTCTCCATCCAAGTCACAATTTGTAAAAGAAAACCATTATAAGTCAAAGTACGGCCTTCAACACGGAGCCTTGGCTCACACGAGTCTGGACTAATTTATTTATATCAATTTGTGTACTAGTATATTTTTTCATATTAAATGACACGCCAGCCTCCAAAGTCACTAAAGCATGTAAACATTTTACAGACTATTTAGCTTTGGTTTGTTGTTTGGTTTGGTTTTATGTTTCATTGAATTTTAATCGAATATTAATTGCCCAACAAAATATTTAGAAATATACATTATATAAGAATTAACGGGATGACATTCTTTCGGTTTGCTTATCAAAGTCTATAATGGTATTTTTTGTTTGTTTCTAAGTACACCAAGAAGCTAAAGCTACATAATATACTAGTACACAATAATATTTGAAGAAATGTTATTGGCACGTACCTACATATAAAATGTCATCGTCATATCGTGCATTTTTTTGTATATTATCATTCATTTAAAGTATTGTTGATGTATCAATGACATTTAATTGCGGTATATGGTATACTTTGAAGTCAACATACTAGTAGATGCTGTCTATCTAGATGTAACCACAAAGAAGTGAATAAAACTATATTTATAGACTTCTATACTTTGACAGGCACATATACATTTGTAGAGGATTTAACTACTTTTTATGCATTTGTAATTGACTAGTGTAAGACTTTGATCCGAATTGCATAGTATATGAACAAAAAAGGGCAAAACCATAAATTACAGATACATTTTTTTTCTGTTTCAGATTTAATTCACTTGAATTACTACAGAAAGCAACCAAAAGCCTTACAGAGATTTTAAGTTCGATGAAATAAAACAGTTTGCTTTCAGCAATATGGTTGGTACTGTTTGTATGGATAAAATAAGTGATATCTTTATTTTGGTTAATCTGTCTATAGAATTACCGTACACATTGTTTTAATTATGAGCATTTGTAATTGAGGAAACAGACAGAATCGACAATTAGAGATTTGAATACCATATATTATTTTATTTTGCACCGAATTGATATGCAAATTGAACATTGCAGAAAAATATTTTCCAAAAAACTTTTTCAAAACAATTTATCCGACGGTCAAGGGGCAGATAACTCAGCGATGTAGTTTAATGTATACAATACTAAGTCATATATAATCTAATTAAATCTAAACAACAAATGGATCAGTTTTATCAGTTTTTGTTTTCAATGTTCAAATATTTTATTCAAAATATTCAATTGCTTGCCATAAAATACTTATATTAAGAAGAGAGGCGGAAGATAGCAAACGGACATTCAAACTCATAAGTCGAAAATAAACTGACAACGCCATGGCTAAAAAAATTAAATTATAACAACAAAATGAAATATGGAAAAATCTAAATTAGCACCATTTATTGAAATTAATAAATACAAATTCATCAGGAGAGCACAACCTTATACAATTAAGGTATTGAAAAAAAATAAATCTTTCATTTCAAAAAGTAAACACTCTGGACAATAATTTTATCAAATTATAGCTTTTGTGAATAACCAGGGCATGCAGCCAATGTATAAACAACTCAAGGATCATATGAGCTCTATATGATTAAACTAGGACAAGGTCTTCGCTCTATTTCGATCTTTTTCCACGAACTTCTCTAACATTTCCGAAAATCGTGAATTCTATGTCACGATGACATCTGTCTGTTAATTTGATTGAAGTTTTCTGTCTCCTCCCTGATGTACACATATTCGTGGAAAAAATAATTCCATTCTCCGAAATTCAAAACCAAAACATGCGTCTTTCCAACTCTTAAGTGCAGTTACAATTAAATCTCAAATATGGTTATACAGTAAGTTGATGAGAAAATAATACACAAGAGTAATAAAGATATATTCAGTACAAATAAGTATTAAGTATTTATATCTATTTATATCTGCGCCCTGAACCTTAAATGTATTATCACAATATATAAAGTTAAATTTAGATCAGTATATGACCGTGTATTATATCTGTCTTCAGTTTAATAACAATGTAAAGGAAATTGTAATAAATGGATAAAAATGGATGCTAATAAAACATTTTGCAAAAGTGTGAACGAACTATCAGAATATGCATATGACTTCAACAACGAGACGGAACGGCATTGCTCCAAATGTGCAAAGCAGCAAAAATTTAACATTATAATATTTTGTATTTTGCTTGTAGTAATAAGTGTAAACGCTGTCTTAGCTGTTAATCAAATTACAGATGCACATAGGTTACAAACGTTACAGAATACTATTGAAATATTGAATAGTCAGGTCAAAGATATCAGACGGAGGCAAGATGAGGGAGATGTTGATGTTAGAGATAATCAGGTGGGTATATATTTAGTTTAATTATTTTAAGATTAGAAAAGTTTCTAACGTTAGAGGCTTATTTAGTAAGGATTTTCAGTAACCAAAGGAAATAGTGATAGCACGCATTAAATTTCATTTTACTTTTCTTAGCAGGAGACGTACCTGGTCTCGCTTTTATTTAGAGTTCCTGCGATTCACACACTTTTTTGTTACCTTGATTGGTCTCTTCCTAAACGATTTAAAAGATTTGAACATCGGTAGACTACTGTCGGCTTAATTCTTTGTCTGCATTATTTTATATAAAAAATCTTTCAATGAATTATTAAAGGCACAAAACAATTTCCTAAAATGTTACAAAGGAAATACATAATTATGCACAAACTGTAAAGTAAAAAATGAAAACTTTGTATTTCGTTCTAAAAATATTTACCCATTAAATGCAGTCTTATTTTTATTTCTTGTAAATATGCACATGTTTAATATGACGAGTTGAATTGTCTTCGTTTGGTTTTGTGCTTGGTATTCCTTCGGTATTTTGAACATTGGATTTGAAAATGAAACCCCTTACTTTCATATATTTACAAAACATATTTCTGGTTATATTTTGTTTGGTTTTCCAGGACCCCAGATGCTGTTTATAACTCAAACACGACGTTTGAAAGAGTACAAAGATAGATCACAAATTAATGCGAAGACAAGAACACAGAATAAGCAATGAAAAGACAAGATCGCAAAAAATAAATTTGAAAACTAGAACACAAAAAGTTATTGAGTAGACAAGAATACAGAAAAACAATGAAAAGATAAGAATACAGAAATAAAGCAGTTTCTAAACAATACAATATACATACATATGCAAAAGCTATTACATAAATAATTTATGAGGCAGGCCTTATAAGGACCCATCAGGAAAATAGAGGAGAACCTGGTATTTCATTCAAATTCACGGTGTTATATAGATGATGACAGTTCAAAGGTAGGGGACCATATTGACTGCATCTATCCCGATGAACTTGAAATATAGGGTACTACAGATACAGTGATACAACTTATCAACATATTTTAAGGGAGTAACACGACGGTAATAACGTGCGGAGCATGATGTGCCTACCCATCCTGATCACCTGAAATTACTCCCAGTTTTAGCGGGTTCGTGTTGCTTAGTATTTATTCATCTATGAATCGTTTTGTGAACTTCTTTGTCCTTTCGTTGTTATTCATGTTTTGTCATTGCGTTATCAGTTTTTCTTTGACTTTTAAGTTTTGAATGTCTCTTTTGTATCTTCCGCCTTTTTTTACCCGCATCTAGAAATCTAAAATATTTTTCGATTGAGAAAATAACTTTACTACAAAAGATATGATTTCAATTTTCATATAATTTTCTTTCCATATATGTGTAGCAATATTCTAGATGGAGGATATATCTTCCAGATGATATTTTGTTTCAGATATTGCATTGCCAATCATGATTTCCTTATATATGTGTACTGGCTACAAACAAGATATTGCATCAGTGGTTACTAATGGTACAGTTGAAGTCATTTATTTGATTTGGCTGACCATTATGGAATATCTGTGTCACAGAATACCGCGTTTATGTTTCACTTTTTGTAACCACACCCATATCCTCTTTTCCTCGAATTTGTGTGACTGCATTTTATTTGCAATAACTAATAAAAGGCACGCAGTTTTGGTCCCACTATAAATTGCATCTGTCGAGTCACGGGACGTAAGAACCGTTTAATAGTTGTAATCAGGGATTTCAGGATGGTTAGAGGACGAAGAGATTATGAAGTGGAACATACCAGGGGTCATCTTTTACATTATATATTTCATTAAAATTGTCCAATGTTTTGCTGTCTCATAAATATTTTTTTTTTCTCGTATAAAAAGACAGTGTTCATAATCAATGACTCATATTGAAGCGGTATATAATATGTGATGCAGGCAGAAAATTAAGTCTTAATGCGGTTTGCAAAGTTAACGACCACATTTAATGAGAGAAATAATAGTATGGTTTCAAAAAACATTCAAAGGGATAAATACAAATTTATCTTTAAAACCCTTCTTAGCTCATAAGATCTTCCTTTTCAGCAATAACCCTTCATCAAGGAAATTACAATAAGAAGTTATCGAAGCAGCAGTGAGATATGTATCCACATATGCGAGATAACCAGATTTGTAGGCATGAAGCAGAATTCACTGTATCTGTGTATTCATTATTTTCGTGGGAACATGCTTTCCTGGATTCAGGCTTTCTGGATTCAGGAAAAGGTGTATTTTCGTTGATACTTGATTTGGTGGTTTTGCCAATGTCTGCATACAAGCCTATAGATAATTTTGTGATCTGTTTAAAATTGTAATTCGTGGTTCGCCTTTTTCTGAAGAAGCTCCTTCATAAAATTTGCACATAACAAATAAAAAAAAATGGCGCGCAGAAATTTTAGAATGGAGAATACTTGCAAAAGTTCTTGGAATATGATTGTTTCAATTGGCGACGGATTGTTTTGAAAACAGATACGGTACCAACGAATACGTTATTCTTGTCTTAAACTGTCTATTACACAGCTTTTATTGTTGGTTGTTTTTTAATAATTCAACAACTCTGTATTTATTTTGAAGATCTAGAAGCTTACCTTTTAAATCTGCAATGCAGAATTTAACTCACCCAAAACATAAATAATTCTGTGTCCTTATGAAATATAAATGTCTTCATATAATCTGTTTAATTGTTATATAAAACGATAAATCTGCTGGTGGACTGTTAGTCCCCGAGTAGCCAGAACTTTGGAACTAGCAGGAAAATACGGATATTGTTATTAAAATTTGCCGATACAAAATTTAGAAAAATATTTTAAATCAAGGAATATATCTCCCTGATGCAAAGCTGTGATTCCTTGTCCGGCTTTGGCTATACTGTATGTCCATTTAGGATTATAAGCTCTTCATATTTTTTATAAGATATGAATTTTTAAATATTTTGGTCTCAAGCATTACTGACGAAATATTTTTTATCAAAATGCGCATCTGGTGGAGACAAATTGGTACCGTTTATGCTATTATGATTTTGTTTGTTTTGATTCAACAACTTAAAACGTAATTATTTTTTTTTATTATCATTATTTTATTATTAGCAGTAGTATTACTATCATCATTATCTATAATATCATTAGTATTTTCAATATTACATTGATTGGTTAATTTTGATAAATAATTATCTTAACCTAAACTTTTCTGGATTATTTTCATATTTATTTATACAACAATCTTCAGCAACCGATGAGTCTATTTTTGTATCAAAATAAAACAAGTTATTTTTAAAGGTTTGTTTGAAATTCATAAATATTTAACTTTGGGAAATTTTTATAATTTAACGTTTGGTACAACTATGATATTAAAACATTAAACACTATATCATTCGTTTAACTATCAGAATTTATATTTTAAAAAACCTAATATAATATAATTACTCAGATCATAGTCCCTTCGATAGTTTGGTTTCCAATATGACATGCAAGAAATGTATGATACATGTCAACAGACTGGGACAATTTGTGCATAATCATTTGTTTTTATTTTTGTTATGAAATAAGTGCTAAATAATTTGACGTTAATTAAATGAAACTGTTTGGTATTATTCTGTTGAATTGTTTTCATATTATTCAAAATAAATTCCGATTTATAGGTTAATTAAATTCTACCTGAAATCCAAATCATTAATGTTGATATTTCCTTACCATGAAACTTCGACATACTTATTTCAGCTTATTTGTTTCATTCTGCAAACTTATAGATAAATATCATTGTATTTCATTGTAAAAAAAATAATCATCAGCACTACTAAATCACATGAAGATTAAAAAGATCTTAATCTATTATACCCTTTTCAATATAATATTTGTTGTACATGTAGTCCAAAATATTAATTTTTTAAGTTCAATCTTTTCGAATTTAAGATAATAGATTTTTTTTTAAAGTTTGATACAATGCAATAAATTTTGTCAGATCATATAGCTAGTAGTTTTCTTTCTTAAAAATTGTGTTTGGAAACGAAGCCACAGCATTTCTTTTTAATAGACATAAATTCAAATTTCTTATGAACTATGCAGCTTGCGTAAAAAACAAATGTTTTTATATAAATTAAGAAAAGAAAAATAATTGATATTGTAGCTCACATACGCGTATTTTCTGGTACAGTTTATGTTAGAAACTTACTTTTTAATATTCATAAAGAAAAATTACTACGAATTGAAATTTAATGATTAAAACACACCACCAATAATTAAGGTATACCGCAATAGATTGTACAAGATAAATTATATTTGAAAACTATTCAATGTTTCTACAAGTTTTTTTTTAATTTTCTTTTGACTTGACAAAGCTGTTTTTTTCTAATTTTTAGATGGACATTTTAGACACATTTGCCTTTCAAACGAATCCGTTAGTTGCAGAACAAAGTAGGGAAAAACGAGACACAAACCCAAAACCTTGCAATAATGACCCAAACTGCAAGAAAAGGACGAAGAGGCAACATGGTCGACGTAAGAAAAAGAAAGTATGTATTACTTAGTTGATAAACAAAAAGCAGGTCGTTGTCTATCATATCAAAATAATGTAGCCCATCTTTCCCATACATTTATGTTCATATTTTTGTGAACAAAAATTAATATCAAATTTGGCATTACGTTATAATTGTACCCATAAATTAAATAAGCTTACCCCTATGGAATATATCTAAATGACCCTACAGATGAAGATAGTACCCATACATCAAATAAGCTTACCCCTACGGTATATATCTAAATGACCTTACAAATGAAGATACCATTAAACTTCCTCATTTCATTTCAGATACTAAGAAATGTAGTTTCATTGAAAAAAAATCCACAAATACATCCTTCTTTGATAGAAATTCTCATTTAAAGAAATTTACTATTTCAATCATATCTATTGATATCATTTTGGTTTAAAGAGTAGGTATTTTCAAATGGACGTTCATGTTTATCATTTTATCAATTTGTAAGAAAACCCTTTAGATGAGAAAAAAAATTTATTTATTTATTATCTATCTATTTATATTATTATCAAAATTTAAATATTCGGTGATTGTGAAGAAAAAAAAAGAAAGAAAAAATTAATATTTAGACGAAAGCCGTTTTCCAACTTTCTCTGGCCTTTTTCTATTTTGTCCAATTAAATTTTTTGTTAAAGTTGTCGTTTATTTGCGTATACTCTTAATAAAATATAGTTAGCTCGACATACTTTCAAAAACCGCAGCTTTTTTATTTCCCAAGAAAAAAGCGTTACTCAGTATTGTGTGTTCATAAATACCAAAAATAATGAATACCCAATAACGTTATATAATTCTAATGTAACTTTAAAATTTATAAAAAAAAATATTTCATAATCAAATGGATAAAATGCAAGAAAGTCTTTTATCTCATATAGTTGCTTCACAACAGCAGAATTACATACTTGTTTTAAAGGAAAAGGTTATAAAAAAATAAGTACACTTTGGTTCCGTATTTAATTCGTTATATAATTCTAAATTATTTTCAAATGTCATCTGTCTAAGGTTAAGATGTACATATTTAAGTGCATATTAGTTAAAACACTAATTGTTCAAGACTCTATTATGTTTATATTTGAATAAAAATGAAAATGACACTTAATAAATTGTATGTGTTCGAAGAACTTTGTAAAATTTGAAAGTCAAAGATGTATAAATATCTAAATTTCGGCAACAGTAGTTCACCTATGTTAAAATCTCATAAATCGATAAAGACAAATCAAGGTAACAAACAAAAACTGAAGGAATCGTATGAACTCCAAATGAGCGATCAAAAACACCTAAAAATATAGAAAAATTCATTCACGGTCAACTTTTTCTGAGGGAGTTTGAAACTTAGTTTCCTAATTGTTTCTACATTTATCAACGGGTTTTTCTGAGGGAGTTTGAACCTTAGTTTCTTATTTGTTTCGACATTTATTAACGGGTTTTTCTGAGGGAGTTTGAACCTTAGTTTCTTAATTGTTTCTACATTTTTTTACGGATAATTCAAGGAAGGTTTGTTATAAATAGTGTCAGTCCCGTTGAACTGACTACTGAGCGATTGATACCGTAGGAGACACCAACTTTTCAACGTGCATTAATTGTCGAAATGCGCTTCTGGTATGTTACCACCATCTGCGGTATTGACCCAATGCTAGAACATGAAATAAAACTTTATAAATGTTATGCGTCCGACACGATTAACTTCTACAGACATATGTTTTAAAATAAAACTACTTATAATTATTCTAAACTTTTCAATTCTTTGATGAATTGTCATTGAAAAAAGATATGATGAGGCCACCATTTGCACCCTTAAATTTGAAAATCAAAACGTATGAAATCTACAAAATATAAAATCCCTCAGATAAAAAGTTAAATCACAAAAATACTGAACTCCGAGGAAAATTCAATCGGAAAGTCCCTAATCACATGGCAAAATCAAATGACAAAACACATCAAACGAATGGACAACAACTGTCATATTCCTGACTTGGTACAGGCATTACAAATGTAGAAAATGGTGGATTGAAAGCATAAGTTTGTTAGATGTCATTATTTTATTTTTTTGAATTTTGCCTTAAGACTTGCATTAGGGCTTCATAAAAATGGTTATGTAGGTAAAAGATTCTCTTAGAAAAGGCTGTTTGTGGTCTTATATCTTGATTTACCCTAGACATCGTGGTTATAACCGGAGTGTTAAAATAACATCAACCCAACACATCTTAGTCATTACTTTGGTAATACTATTACATCAAACCCATACACCGTAATCACTACAGGAGCTATAAAACCGACCCACTCATTTGAATTATCACAGGGGAGATGGAATAACATCAACCCTACTCTCTGCATTTTTTTACATGATATGATATAACACTAACCCCGCAAATCCCAACTATGAGTGGAGATAATATGACATCTACCCCACACATCTTTTAAAATCAATAATGGCGATATGATGTTACATTAACCCCACACATCTTTGAAAATCATTAATGGCGATATGATGTTACATTAACCACACATATCTCAAACATTATATCCTATGATATTACATCAACCCTGCAAACCTCAATCATTAGAGGAGATGATATTACATCAACCCCACACATCTTAATCATTAACAGCGATATAATGATACAGTAACACAGATCTAACCTTAACATGGTATGATATTAAATCAACCCTGCAAATCCCAATTATTAGAGGAGATGATATTACGTCAATCCCACACATCTTAATCATTAACGGCGATATAATGATACAGTAACACAGATCTCAACCTTAACATGGTATGATATTACATCAACCCTGCAAACCCCAATCATTAGAGGAGATGATATTACATCAACCCCACACCTCTTAAACATTAACGGCGATATAATGATACAGTAACACAGATCTCAACCTTAACATGGTATGATATTACATCAACCCTGCAAATCCCTATTATTAGAGGAGATGATATTACGTCAATCCCACACATCTTAATCATTAACGGCGATATAATGATACAGTAACACAGATCTCAACCTTAACATGGTATGATATTACATCAACCCTGCAAACCCCAATCATTAAAGGAGATAATATTACATCAACCCCACTCATCTTAATCATTAACAGCGATATAATGATACAGTAACACAGATCTCAACCTTAACATGGTATGATATTACATCAACCCTGCAAATCCCAATTTTTAGAGAAGATGATATTACGTCAATCCCACACATCTTAATCATTAACGGCGATATAATGATACAGTAACACAGATCTCAACCTTAACATGGTATAATATTACATCAACCCTTCAATTCCCAATTATTAGAGGAGATGATATTACATCAACCCCACACATCTTAATCATTAACGGCGATATGATGATACATAAGCATAGATCTCAACCTTAACATGGTATGATATTACATTAACCCTGCAAATCCCAATCATTAGAGGAGATGCTATTACATCAATCCCACACATCTTACTCATTAAAGGGGAGGCGATATGATGATACATAAGCATAGATCTCAACCTTAACATGGTATGATATTACATTTACCACCTAAAATCCCAATCATTAGAGGAATAATATCACGTCAATCCCACACATCTTACTCATTAAAGGGGAGACGATAGTACAATATAACCACCTAGAACTCAATCATTTACGGAGATGATATCAAGTTAATCCCATACGTCTCATTAATCCAGGGAACGATTTCATCCTAGTACCCTTTACACTTCAACAATCGAACGAGACGATATACCATCAAACTAGACTTATCCTCATCATTAAATCCAATACTATTTATTAATAATTCGAAATTAAATTGCTAACATTTGTTTTATCAGGGCTTCAGAGCACCAGTGAAAGAATATAATGAAGAGGTAATATGATGCAAATGTAGATAATGTATTAAATGTCGTAACATACAAGCCCTTCTAACGTGTAAAAAACATTACCCCTTCCCTGCACAAAATTTTCCTCTATACAAACGTTAGATAATTGAAAAAATTAGAACAATATAAATATACAAAGATGATTATGATTGCCAATTATATGCCAATCGTAAAAATTTGTTTCTTAAAAGACTAATAGTAACCAATACAGATACTGAACCTCGTAATAAGAAGGAAAAATTAGTATTTTGCAAACAGATATATATTAAATAAATCCCCCTAAACTGTCAACATCAACATGCTTGATAAAACATACTTCATACGTTTGATTGAATTGCTTAGAAAGTCACGATTCCTATAAGAATCATTTCCTGTTCCTTTTCCTGTTGTCTTTTCATTTTCTTTATTCTTCATACTTGAGCTTATCAAGAAAAATGCAAGTTAGACGATGTTCTCTCATCGATAAATTTAGAGTTTTGTGACTATGTTGATCGCATTTATCTAGTTAAACCTAAGGAAAGGATGTCAAAGAAACAGTTACGTCCGCTTCACATTATAACTTAAACTTAAATGTGACAGTGAGCGTAGTTTCAGGACTAAACTTTATTACACAAAAGACAACTTCAATTTTCCATCGTGAACTGTCAATTTTTTACGTATAAACATTCCAGCAGCACCTTAATACAGAGTATATGTATCCTGGTTGGTACAATATCCAAAGACTACCGTTTCAAGTCATGATTTCCTTAAAAGAAGGTTGCTCTTAAAAAATATCTAAGGGATAAATGGTTCTTAATGGTAAAGTTGAAGTTATCTCTTCGAATGTTTAACAGGTGCCATCATCATTTGGTTGTCCGTCATGGAGCATTTGTGTTTAACATTACCACGGATGGTGTTTGTCGTAGTAACATACTAGCTACTTGTCATTAGCCTCCACAGAGCCTGGGTTCATCCTGGTTTTAGCGAAGAGTTCGTGTTTTTTTTTATCTTTTGTTATGATTTTGTTGGTGCCCCTTTGGTATCTTCTCTTTAAGTTAGTAAATCATTTCGAAAACAAAAACAAGGGCCAGCTCAGTTAAGTTAAACATTATGCAAACATATGTCATATATATGTATAGGAAAATTATTGAACAACAAAAGCTTGTAGAACAATGGTTGCTTTTTCATTTTTTTAAAGTTGTCCATTTAGTCGATAAAGCAATGTTTAGAGATTCCTTTTTTGTCTTTTTCTTATCTTTTTTTTCTATTTTTTGTTTCTGTTTTTTGATTTTTGAGTTTCGTTTTTATCCGGTTTTTCTTGTTTTCTTATTTTTGGTATTTACATTTTTCTTGTTTAATTATAAAAAAAAATCGGTACAGAAAAACACCACATTTTAATGCAGTGAAAACAAATAATAAAAAAAAAACAGATTAAATATTATGTTGGGTGGTTTGTCCTAAAGAAACTTCTTTATGAAGTCTTCAAAATTATTTCATTTTGTGTTGACCACAGCAAATTTGTTTATTAGACTTGATATACAAATTCTACAACCAAATATAATAAACGAAGTCTCTGACCAAAAATTCAAACTAAAAATGTAATATAAAAGCTATCCAATAATTGAAGCATTTTGCGATATTAAAAAATCTCCAAATTATAAAGATGACAAAACGATGTGTTTGTGTTTTTGATTCATGTAATTAACTGTATTATCATATTATTGTTAAATTAGATATTGGCAGCATCAAATACATTATGTTTGGTATTCATTCAAGTTTATATAGTGATGATACTAGTGTAAATAAATTGTATATCATTCCTAAAACAATAATTTATTTCAAACTTAACTTAGTTACTCATTCTTCATTTCTATAATGAGAAGCAATTATTCAACATTTGAAGCCTTTTCCAAAATCAACAATGAAAAAAGGAAATATGTTTCAGACTTTATGAAAACTATATTTTTGATAGCCGATGGCATATTTTCAAAAGTACAAAAACTTAAATAGTAAATTTATAATATTAATGAAAGGTATGACCAAATCATCACAAATCCTCATCATACACACCCTCTATTTATTTGTAAATATGAAACCGCCCATTAGGTTTATTACAAACAAACTAAAGTTGGTCATCAGTAGTTTTTATGGCTATTTAAGTCTTTTCTATTGAATTTTTATTTAAACTTCCGTTGATAATTTGGTCACAAAATTGGGTTAAATATATAATTTGTTTACCTTTGTCAATGATATTCACCCTAATTACGGTTACTGAAGTGACCTACACCTAGCTTTATGTGACATTTTTTAATGAACGATTTATAATTAATTTAAAAAAAACTAGACAAAAACGTTACAAAAACAAACAAATAATTGTAGAAGAAAATCATAAGAATAATAAACTCATCAAATATATCAGAATTATAATCTAGTACGCTAAACGTTTTGTCTACATTATAGGAGACACGTCGCTCAGGGAACATCAAAACATTTAATTATATCTTCATTTTGAAGGACCATTTGTTATAATAATAAATGAATCGTGAAAACAAATATTGATAGTGATATTGCCGTTGGAACAATAATATTACAACGTAAACTAATTCCAACGATATTTTAAATTGAACCCTTTCATATTCATACACCTTCGGCAAAACGTTTTTCTACTAAGAAGTCTACAGCCATTAAAGACTGAATTTAATACCCTCAGTATTTGACCTTGATTCTATAGATATTTATAAACGGTTTTAATGGAACGGTATAAGGAATACCGAACGTTTGTTTTTGAATAAATGTGTAAAAATAAAACTAATTTTTATCCTTTTGAAAGATTGGCTAAGGATTATCCAATCACATTCACTTCCTTGTTGAGGTCAAAGGTTATACAAAAATTTGATTATCCATATCATAATTGAAGATAGATCAATAATATACCCGGTGCATTTATACCTGTCTACGGGTAGACTTGACATGCCATGTAAACTTATCATGAAAGATATTATGTAGAACATAAATGAGTTGGCACAATTTGATATAGATATTTTATTTGAACCGTAAATTTTAACAATAATCTAAATGCCTGTGTCATGAGGTTTACAAACTAAACACCACCCAATTTTCTAAAAGTCATCATTCATAAGTAGTCAAAGGCAAACTGATGGAAAGTTTTAAAGGGTAGAAGGACGTCTCATTTTTATAATATTAGTACAAATAATTAACTCAATCTGTTAATATAAATGTTGTATTGAAAGATGTAGCTTTTAAACACTATATTTCAATTCTTTGTTTAAAAGAAATACATGATTATTAATATATTAAGTGCTTGAGGGTGTAGATGGGAAGATGTATGTTGTAGTCCTCATGGGGGAGCTAATGATGTTTTACCTTTAGCTCTCTGTGTTACGTTTTTTAGTAATATTAACGGTTCCAATTTTACTGCATTGTTGTTGTCAGTTTCTCTAATAGGACAATTGGATTGTTTGTGTTACTGCGCCATATGTTTTTATTGCCCCTTTTGGTAACTTTTTTTCCTGGTTTTTTTTTTCTTCAAAAGACAACTACATTTGAAAAAATTATTTGAAAATGTATATCCAATGATATACTATCTATGTTGAAATAAACAATTTGGGGCAAAATGTCAGTGCACTCTCATATACTTGACAACCTCATAGACTGTCTGAAGCGGCATACATTTATATTAATATGCTGTACTTTATATGATATGCATCCAATTTCTACAACTGGCCATCATAAATGGACTTTGATTTTTAATACTTTGAATATTAAAACTAATGTTATTTCCTATTTTTACGTATACAGTTAACCCGTTGTGTTGATATTAAATAGACAGAACCACGGGTTAACTGGCAAAATGTTTCTGTTGTCTAAAATCTGTCAGAACCCTGTATAACCTTCAACAGTTTAGATCAACTTTCCTTTCCAATTCTGTTCTTTTTTTAAATGTAATACATCTTTTTTGAAAATTCAACTACTTATAACGTTAAATCAGTTTTTACAAATTTACTTTTGAACTAAATAATTTCGAAAACTGACAAAAATTATAATAAAATATTTAAATTTACTTACAAGTACCTTTACTCTGAAATGGTATTCATGATCTAACTAAAATACTGAAATAACATGTTACTTATATGTATAAATATTTATAAATCAGACTTCATAAAAACTATATATACATCACAAAAATTCCAGTAACCTATATTTAGAAGTATTTTGCATATATTACCATTGCTACGAAAGGGAAGCAATATAGTGTCAGGGTAGATACCAATTGCAACGGTCATGAACGTTCAATGTCCCGTTGCTTCTAGTTTTGTTTTTGTTTTACGTCATAATTACATAATCTAATTGCTTTTAATTTGAAAACAATACATTTACGCAAAATTTCAAATAAATGATTTACGAAAGGTTTCCTTTTTCATTATGTTGTATCAAGGAACAGACAAATCTTTATATTGTTGGTTATATTAACACTGCAATTGAAACTTAATTGTTCAAACTTTTCTTAACGTTGAACGGTGATTTTAGCGCAAAATGTATATTCAGGTTCTTCGTGTGTATTCTTTATAAATAAGCACGTTACCACAAAATCTAAATGTATTCATAATAATGACAAATGAAATCCAACTCATAAAAATATTTCAAAAAATGACAATGCCAAGTTTGTATAACTTATACGAATTTAAAATATTTAACATGTACTAACACTATAAAATGATTTATTTTTAACGAGTTACATACATTTACTGCTCAACCTTTGTCACAATGCTTCTAAATGCGAGACCGACTGGAAATTGTCGAAAAAACAAATGCGAGCATTGCGAATGAACAATTATTCTTTTCGGATATTTTTAGTTTTCATTTTATATTTTCAAATGGTCTTGACAGCTAATATCATTAAATTTAAACAATATTCTTAGTTTTTACCATCGTCTTGATTGTTCATATCAGCGTAGTAAAAAAGAAGTTAAGCATCAGTCTATAAGATTATTATTCAAATATAGTTAGTATGCTCAAATTTCAGTTATCTTGTAGGACCAATATGTACATATAGAAGGCACTGGTGGCGAAGCTTACCCAAAGGGTAAATGTAATATATTATTTTCTGTATTGAAGTTATCATTTAATCATACTTTGGGTAACGTTTGTCATCAGATGTTCTCTGTGTACAAACGATATTTAGTTTAGTCCATTGAATTAGATTATCACAACAAAAGCCTTACCGTGGTGCTTATGGTATAATTCATATAAAACATATGAAATCATATATGTAGAATAATTTCTTTTCATTGTAGGATTCTTTTGTACACATTGAAGGATATGGTGGCCAACATTCCCCTGAGGGTAATCATGATATCCCTTTTTCATGCTTCTTCGTTTTACTATTTGCTTTGCAGAATGAGATTAAGAGCAGGCTTGAAACATACAACTAGCAAGTTAGAATGAAATGCAATGAGTTGTTGGTCTCTATTTTAATAATTTTACATTTTATCTCTGAACTACGAAAACAGATGTATTTGTAAATCAAGGCCACGTATCAGGTGCAATAAGTTCAAGTATGATAAATTCAGGTAATGGGGTCACATAAAGTATGTTTGTTTGTAAGTGTAGGTCGCTTTAAATATAAAACATTGTTTAGCTTTCCATATTCTTTTCAACAATCCGGACGAAACATTTGATATCAAAAATTGAATATATAGCTATTTTTATAAAGAAAAACAATTTACAATACGGATGAAAAGTGCGTGACCACAAATATTATTAGGAGCATTATAAGAATTTCAGTCAAACGCCTAAAGATTTGGTTATTTGTTTTTTATTTCAACTAAGCATGTATTGCCTAAAATGCAAACGTTTTGAAATTTCTATCTGTTTATTAGCTTTTCTGTTATTATTACCAGAAAATGAATTAGAAACAATTTTCATTTTTACATCTTTATGCATAGCTAGGACCTAGATACCAAACACGAACTTGATGTAAAGCTAATACTTGGCTAGTTAAAACAGCTCTTTATTAAAAAAAAAATAATAAATTCTTATGATAACAATGTATTTGATTTTAATCTAAATTGCTAGTTACTTTTGTAATTTTCAATTTGCATATAGGGAACACGCTTATGAAGCATGCCTTCAGGAGTCCTACATAACATTTTAATGGGATATGAGATTATCTGCGTTTGAAACAAAAAAAAGACGAAGTTACAAGATTTATAAAAACTAACTGTAGACGCTTTGCTAGCAAAATTAATTTTGTATTCTTTGAATAACTCGATTATATTTTTTGTTTCAAGCGTCGATTTGTTTAAATAGAAGCGTACATGAAGAAATGATAAATAGTTGCAATTTTGTTGTAGTCACCCACATTACTGGCAGTTCAATATGAAGGCCGAAGAGGTGAACAAAACACTCTACCGCATGGTAATTGTCGTTAGACTATATTGTGCTGTAATGAACTCACAAGTCCAGTAAAAAATTACTGCTTCATGTAAATAAGAGACAACTGTTGTTTACCGATGTTCAAATCAAACCAAGTGAAAAACAAATCTGAGGGAACCGCATGAACCCTAAAATGAACAAGGCCGACATGATGGGCGTTTCCTGCTATGCATGTATCACCCACCATGTATAGGTAATAGGACACAATCTGTAAATTTACAGATCAAACAACAATTCTTGTATCTTAAGATCTAAGACTGCGAAAACACTTCTTTCATCAATTGAAACACAAACACTGATCACTGTCTATAACTTCCTTAGGCTTCCATAGAAAAACTGTTTTGACAGAAACGATTACTAAGAACTATCTCAAATATATAAATTAAACATGTCTAGTGAAGTTCACGTTATTGTGGTAAATTCAATACAGAACTTATCTGTGCATACCAAACATTTTTTTAAGTGTTTGACATTGAGTTCAAACGAAGATGTAAATACATGTATGCTGAGTTTCCTTTGGCATGTCATGATCAGGACTAAAATGTTAGGTCTTCGAGTATAAAATCCTGTTTAGATCAATATTTCATTTGATTATGAAATCTGTTTTCTTTTAATAAAGTTTTCAAAATATATATCTATTGAACAAGTGTTAAAAGAGTGTCATAATATCTTTCTTTTTCAATTTAATTTTCATTATATTAACAACTATTTGAGATAAAGCATGGACATGATGAAAATTTAAACAAATCCACATTATTTAAACTCTGTAGGATAGTTGTCTCTTTGGAAATCAAGTTGAACAAACTTGCACAAAGAAAAGCGGCCTTTCATAAGAAACAAACGTGGCACGTGTTTGAACATAGAATATAATTTATGGAAATGTTTATAGAATTTGGGGTATACGTCAAGATACCTATACTTTATGAACATATTATTACATTTGCCTTTAATTTCGCTTAACGATGTATACCTTATTTTATTGAAAAAATGTTCTTATAAATGCACCAATCCTTCAGAATAAGTTTTCTACATTAATTAAAGCAAATATCAATCATCATAAATATTTTAACGATACGTGTATTTCTGTTGGAACATAAATATTTTAGCGATACGTGTATTTCTGTTAGAAAAATTAATTTATTTATGGCAGTAATTATAAACAATCCTTAATTCATCTCATTAGCTGTTTCCAAAATTCTGAAAAATATAAAAAAAAATTAATTTAGCTATAAAAAAAACGGAAAATAAGATATGTTGTTGAATTTGTTCCCACATTTTGCACGCTGCTGTCTTCAGCTTTCACCTTAATAGTCTTATGTTATCTCCATTCCCGTGATTATAAAGTATGATCTTTTATTTTGCACAAGATGACTAATTGCACTTCATTATTAACCATTTACAATGTTTTCAGATAATTTTGCAGGGGTATTTCACAGATGGCAACTGGCTAAATGGACAAATTTGCGGAGGATTAAGGGTACAAAAAGTCTTCGTACTGAAAAAGGTGGATTTGTCCTAAACCTTGAGACCGGAGAACTCACTATTCAAAAGAAGGGACTGTATTTTTTGTATTCGCAGGTAAACCCTTATACATTACGATTACAATAGCATTGAGAGAATATAAAACTAGAATCAGTACTCCGTAATAGTTTGCATTCCTATAAATGTGAAATAAACATCAAAGAAAATTTATCTCCTGATATCATCTACAGATGGGGGTAAAACATCAGTCAATGTATATTCAAGTTTAACTATGAACCATACACATTTTTGGGAGGAACTAAGTGTTCAATATGTTGAATATTTCTTGCATAAATATGTTTTATAAAATTAAGAAATGCTAAATTTATGCACTTTATGTGTATTTCGAAAAATTATTTCACGCTAGTGTTGCTTCCTGCAAAAAACATGTGATATCCGACAGTGTTTATATATGAAGAGCAATGACACTTCAAATACATATTAGAATAACCAGTAACGTCAACTCAACAGCTGTAAACAAAATTAATAGACAAAATCAAAACATGAAAAATTACCAAATAAAAAAATACAAAATTATAACATGCACAACTAGTTTTAATGCACGATATGTCCGTTACGGCAGCAGTATTCGAACTAAATATCAAATGGATATAAAATAGATTTCGGAGTTAAAATGTATAAATACATTTATATTGTGCATTTTCTGTGAAATAACAATCTCCTAAGAAAAATAGTCGGAAGATACCACAGAGATATTCAATAATTCTAAGAAATTCTACCAACACCACTGAATTTCTTTGCAAATATATGTATGGTATTTCAAACAATAAACAAGTATAATAATTCATTTTAATTCAAATTTAGATAACGCTAATGGGAAATGGAAATCAGTCGTACAGCATCGAAAAGAACAAAAATGAGAAAATTGCAAGTTGTTACTTCTTTAGAGACTCGAATGCTGACGACCACAATTATCTTAAGAGATACTCTTCCTGTCCTACCATGGGATTATTTGCTTTCAATAAAAAGGATACCATACGATTGCGTCATGACCATAGGGAAGGAGTAATGGCGTATTTTGAACCCAATGCGTCTTTCTTTGGACTTATTAAACTTAACTAAAGTAAGCACTTCTTAGTATGCGATCGTTCCTTATAAACCAACAGATACAAAAAGATGAATTTTTGAGCATATGAGCTTTGTTTAATATCAATATGTACTAAGGGATTATAAGAGAAATTGGGTCATTAAAGGTTGTTTTACTGTGAATGTTATACACACCTTACACTTAATACGTTAATTCGTACAAATGAAAATGTAAAATGTATATATACAATACTAAACGATAATCTATAACATATGCGAATACAGAAAAGCTTTAAACCTGTCTTTTTTGTAACATCTTATATATTTTTGCATGCATATTTATGTCAAATGATACGACTTCTTGGGGGAACGACTTGTTACTGACTTTGGATATTCAAAACCAAAAAAATAAATAAACCCAAATTAATTTGTGTTGATACTTTCCCCAATACTTTGTTAAAATTCGCAGAAGCGCACAGTTAAGTGTTTCAGAATTGATAAATTGTTAACATTGATCTCGTCTCTAAAATAAACGTTGTTGTTGTGAACAATACAGTGTTTGAATATGTATATATTGGTATATGTAAAATATGTAAATATGTATTATGACTTTGTTTTTTATAGTTTGTAATAATTCTTGTAAATATGCAAAATGCAAAAATAAATATAAGTGATGTAGTCTTATGTTTTATTATCATAATTTTTGACAATTTTGACATTACGTGTAACTCAAGAATAGCTACACACATGTCTTCTGAAAATATTTCACGATTTTTTTAAAGGCTGTATGTTTTATGTGTATTGATTTGGTTCTCGATGAATTTTTAATGTCTAGCAAATAATCTGTCAACTATATTTAGAAACTGTTTCTGCGTATGAAAACGAATATTTTCTGCTATTGAAAATGAACCTGGCTTTGTACTTCACTGATACATTTTGTCGGTTTCTTTTTTACATCCAGATTACGCTTAAAGTATCAAGTTTGAAAAAGTGTGTAAATCTATCAAATAAGACAATGCACAGAAAATGAATATAAAGATTCAAATGTACTTGAACAATTTAATACAACCAGTCAACGCCTGTTTCCTAGAATTTGACAGAAAGTTGAATACATTGTGGGTAATCGATTTACAAAATCTAACATATGATTGTTCAAGGTTAGTAGAAACATGAACATAAAACAAATCCAGAATGCGTCTAATGCATACACATTGTGTCATTGCGAGCACGTTTTGACCCTGCTATTCTAAATCATGTGCCGACTTTTATTTCATTATTCAAAGTGATGGTAATTCTGTTGAAAGCTCTGGGTTTTTTTTTTTTTTTTTTTTTTGGGGGGGGACTTTTACGACATGTAGTCAAGATTATAAGGGGGAGGTGTGCGCACTTAAAACTGATTTTACCCTACTACATTGTGTGCCTATAACGTGTTGTGTATTGTTCGATGTTGTTTACTTTGTTGGACCTCTATTTAGTCGGAGGAGTCAGGTGTTGTTGGTATGTGTTGTTTATGTAGTATGTGTGGTTTGTTGTATTGTCCAGTAGTTATTTCTCGTTATTGTTGTCATTTCTAATAGAATTGAGAATGAAAACGGGGAATGTGTCAAAGAGACAACAACCCGACCAAAGAGCAGAAAAACATCATTATACGCATATTACGTAACACAGGTACATAAATTGACTAATGGAAGAACTAAAATAATATGATGTTTAATGCTCGGAATTACGTCTTGTTTAATATTTCATGGTGTACAACAGGTAAAATGTTATAATACATATATCTAAGACAAGCTATATCTTGTTAAGCTTGTTTTAAATTACAACAATGCCTAGCATCATTAAATCCTTGTGTCTCAACTCTAATGCATCTGCATGAACATACAATTAAACCTATTTTACTTAAAGAACTAGAATTGCCAAACTTAAATATAAATGTTCGCCGACTATGTAATATAGTTAAAGATAAATTATGTGTACGTTTTTTAAATTATTGGAAAGATCTTAAGGAAAATACTCTTGAATCAGAGAAAGGTATACTCTTGACTTATTTTTCAATTAAAAACAATTTTGGTAAAGCAAATATTTGGGATTCAGAGAATTTAAAGATAGGCAAGTATTGTGCAAGAGCAGTAAAAGTGCATTACCCCTAAAATACAGAAGGATAGCTTTGCAATACACAATATAGATAGATCACAAAGTTTATGTAAAAAATGCAAATTGTATAAAGTTTAAGATGAAGAACATTTTTTATTCGAATATTTCCTTTATAATTTTTTGAGAAAATAGTTCTATGATAAACTTTTGTAAAGTGTTAAACCCAAGTGCTAGTTTCAATGAACTTTTTATTCAAATAAACCTCAAGATATTGAAAATTATTGGAACTTATATCAATAAATGTTTTGAACTGAGAAAAGTTACTATCGATATAGTACAGATATGTTTATATGTAACCCATTAAGAATATTGGCCTGTTTATATTTAATATAATCTGTTTTTATTGAGGCTATTTTACATTTATACTTATGGCTCTGGCTCTTTTCACAAAACATCTTACGACAAACATTGATCGTAAGTTATACTGAAATGTTCATGACTTACGAGTTTTTTTTTCGCAGGTCCGGCTGTTGTTTAAATTAAGGTGTCAAATGTTTATATTCAAATGTATATATGATTGTCAAAATTATTTGTGTCTCTCAATCATAAAACAATCATTGCAATAGATTAATGAATTTGATCATCATGAGTCGTTTATTGAAAGAAAAATATCTTTATCTTTATGACGATATTAACTGGGGTGGGAGGGAGCTGTTCAATTTCCAATACAATTATCCAGTACTATGTCATATGAATTTAAAACGCATCCGCCCATGCTGGTTATTTTGAGTTTTTTTTTTTTCTTTTTTCTTTTTTTTTTCTCACTTTTTTTTAGACGGTAAACATTCAGATCAATTCGAAAAAATTAGTTAATTTAAAATTTTAAAAAAGAAGAAACGGATAAACAGTTGGAAATTTACTAATTTTATTATCGAAACATTCAAATATATATCGAAGGCAGTGAATGGTCAACTTTACAAATGCCAAATAGTCTCGAAATTTACTAATTTATTATCTAAACATTTAGATATATATATATCGAAGGTTGTGAATGGTCAACTTCACAAAGGCCAAATTGTCTCGAAATTTACTAATTTTATTATCTAAACATTTAGATATATATATCGAAGGCAGTGAATGGTCAACTTCACAAAGGCCAAATTGTCTCGAAATTTACTAATTTATTATCTAAACATTTAGATATATATCGAAGGCAGTGAATGGTCATCGTCACAAAGACCAAATTGTCTCGAACTTTTCTGGTTCCCAATGACCTACCATCACACTTTAATTATGCTCTAGTTGCCGTATGTACACAGAAAATACTGGGTTTAATATCAGATTCGACAAATCTTCAGTTCGAGATTGTATAGCTTAAATGAGCTAGATACAAATTATATTCATCCTTTGACATTTGTCAAAAGAAATTTCCCTTTCTGCATTAATACTTGAAAGTACAATCTTAAAAACAAATAGCAATGATTTCAATAGCAGAAAATACTAAATTGCTATTAAAATCTTTATTTACAATCATATTAAATTAAGAAATATTCTTAAATATTTCTGAATGCAAAATGACATTGTACAATTTTGATATTTATTGTAAATAACAAATATTTATAACAAAACGTAGAAGTTGCATCTTATATTTATAAGGTGTTGAAAATCTTGAAATAAAGAAAGTCAAAATACATGGCGCAAAATTCAATATAATAATGATAATGCTTTATTTAAAAAAACACTCTGTCGCATTCATACGTGAGACAAAATGTTAACGTATACCAAATACAATCACATAAGATCAAAGAAAGAAATAAAACCAAATTTTAGTAATTACCAATAGCATTCGAACACACATGGCATACCCTCTCTTCTATCGGAATATTGTACCACCTACCCAGCTCTACTGGCATTTTCACATTACAGCATCTTTGTTTAGAAATATATTCACGTGCGATGGGTGATAATTGCATAAGATACTTTTCTAAACCAAACATTGTTTTGAATAGACCGTAAAATTCACTTCTGGAAAAATTGTCAATCTGACTATACCATTTTTGAATGTATTCACCTTTAAGATTTTGTTTATGAACGTTTAACAATTGGTTTACATCTAATGGCAATTACATATTCCAAACATAGCTAAGTCCAGAATTGTCTAAAATCGATTTAAGATAATCAATCCACTTGAACGTATAATCATCTTTTAAGTTGAACATTATTTGATACAGGATACTGCTTAGTTTGTTTTCATTGGCCAGAAGTTTATTCCAAAAACGCACCATTCTAACTTTTATTATGATATCTAACGGTGTACGACCAAGTTCTCCATATGTCATAAAATTAGGTGTCGAGGATCTAATTTTTAACAAATTTCGCCAAAACTGTAGATGATTTTTTTTCAGCATGTAATGGTTTCCAAATCAGTTTAAATGTATCAAACAGTTGTAATTGCAAGTCGACAGGTATTGAAGGGTTATGTATCTTTGTAGAATTACCTGTTAGCATATAAGTGCGATAGATTATCTCCCTTCGGCGTCAGTCACTAACCGAGCTGTTTTTGAAATAGTTACCATTGACATTTCGTAATTTCAAATTAGTGTGGCATTAAAAGAATATAATATAAACTATTAATTCATGTTACAAAAGGTCATAATAAAACAATAATTGAATCGCACCTGTCTCCTTCAAAACTGGACCTGGCAGACAGTTGTATTTGTTTCTTGTCATATTTTGTGAACACTTTTATTAGAAAAAATAAAAGAAAATATACAGTTTAATTTAGATGGTGAAAATATTTGAAAGGTCATGATTAGAATCTATAATTCTATAATTTGAAATCTCAGAATGTGTTTGATAACAAGATGCATGCAGAAATACCTTACATGTAAGAACAAATTTATTATGTTAAATATCCATTTGATGTTTAGCTAGTACAATTTAATGTGTTAAGCATTGTGACTGTATTATGTTATAATTTGGTCATATTAAATAGTTTAAGATCTGACGGTTAAAGTATGACAATTGATAAAAGTTATCCTTTTAAATACACAAACTCCAATCTAAATGTGTCGGATATCTTATTTATTTTAAGGTCAAAACTAGTTGTCTGTGCCTTTGTTGTGTTCTGCCTCTTTTAAAAATAAAAAAAAACTTCCATTTTATTGAAATAATTAGAGACATAGGATGTTCTTTCATTTATCATGGACTTAGGATTTTATTTCCTTTATCATGGACTTTATTTCATTCTACTATCATAATTTTTATCTAATTCGTCTATTTGTTTGTTTGTTTGGTTAATTAAACGCACGACAGGCTTAATATTAAACCAAACCCACAATTGATGACGAAGATTCATCGTGCAACACATGGGATTAGTGATAACGTAAGCCAACACCGTAATTGGTGGGTGCCAGGATGTTCCTCCAAGCACAAATTAAAATAAATAGGAAAGACTTTGTGAATATTTTAATAATTAGCATAATATAGCAAATCTAAATTAACTTTTTTACGTTTCATATTGATTTTGGGTTTTAAAATATTTTTGACTCAGTCTAAGTTGTAGTTGCATTCTTCATATTCAGTTAATTTTCATGTATCCTTAACTTGCCTTCTTAATGCTCAGTTCTGGATATTCTACGGTGATACATTTATCTTTTAGTTCAGCCATGGTTGTTCTATGGTGATGAATAACCTTCTAAATGAACAGCTCTGGTTGTTCTTAGGTGAAAAATGACTTTTAAGATGACAGATCTAGCAAAGCTGCTTATCTAGACGATGAATGTATCATCATAGAATAACCAGAGCTGCTCATCTAGAAGGAAAACTCATCACTACAGCGGGTTGTCTGCGGTTAAGATGTTTACGGTTGTCGTGCTTGTGTCGTTGAGATACCTGCATGATGTTAGCTATGGTTGCCGTATATGGTTAAGTTGCTTCCGTTATGATTAGTTCTAGTTGGCTTGTTGTGCTGACTTACAGATGTACAGTTTGTTCAATGTGTTTGATTGAGTTTCCTTCTAGATATTTAGTTCTAATTGTTTTTGATTTATATGTTTTCTTCATATTCAGTTGTATTTTGTTTAGTTTCGTCCAGGTTTTGATTGTTGTATGTTGTTTAGTTTCGTATAGATGGTCAGTTCTTGTTGTCACTTGTTGTTTGGTTCTTTCCAGATTTTTTTGTTCTAGTTGTTGTGTATTGTTTGATTTGTTCCAGATTTTCAGTTCTAGTTGTTGTGTGTTGTTGGATCCTTCCAGATTTTTAGTTCTAGTTGTTGTGTGTTGTTTGGATCCTTCCAGATTTTTAGTTCTAGTTGTTGTGTGTTGTTTGGATCTTTCCAGATTTTTAGTTCTAGTTGTTGTTTGTTGTTTGGATCCTTCTAGATTTAAAGTTCTCTTAATACATCTAACGAAAACACAGACCGAACGTGGCAGGGTACTTATACATCCCCACAACAATAAAGACACTAAGTACAGATCTGAGTGTACTCGCAGTCACTGACAGCTAGTTCAAAGCCAATAACAACTAATAAAAAAACCATGCATTTAAGACAAAAATTTTAATCTGTTCTTTTGTTCATTCCAGATGTTTAATTTTTTCTTGATGTTAAGTTCTGATTATACTGTGTTATTGAAGTCTTTTCTATTTAACGAATACAACCTAGCTAATTTTTGTCTTTGAATATTTAGATATATGCGTATTTAAACGCTAACGTATTTTTATGTTATATTTATATTCTGAATAATTCGTTCTATAGAAAAACGCAATATTTTTCGTATGCTTTTTTGACTGTCAAAACTTTCAACAAAAGGCAAGGCTATACAGTTATAACTGAAATAAGACCTTAAAACCTTACAATGATAAGTAGATCATATTTATAGTATGTGTTCATGACCCTCTTGACAATTGATGTCAGTTATAGTTACATAACTTTGATATTATAGATATTTGTATCAAATATATCTTGTAAGATCTATATATAAGATCTAATTCGATAGTACGTTTAACAATAGGGATGTAGGTGTGTTCGTTTAATCGACTTAAAAGCACAAGATATTTAAATACGTTTTATTATATCAAGTAATATAATAACAAGAATATTAGGTTTTGTAAGTTTTTTTTCCATAAATTTACATCTCATAGCAAAATATATGATTCGCGATATTGTTTTCTTCTTCAAACATTAGACCCAATAAAACCAAGATAAGGGTTCATTATATAGTTAGGCAACATTTCTTTAAAATATAAATCCCTCGTCACCTCGCATGCTCTACCAAAATAAAAATAAACATTTTATAGAAGTAAATAGTAACACACGACAATCCGTCTCATTGGCACTCATACCACATCTTCTTATATCTATCTAAAGTAAACTGGTGCCGAAAGACATATTCTATTATGGTTCATCAAATACTGTTTTCTTTGGATTACTTAGGTTAAAAAATCAAATATGTGTGAATGTTGTTTCCAACGAATATATCTTTGACATGACATGTGTCTGTAAATGTGAATGTTGTTTCTAACGAATATCTCTTTGACATGAGTCTTTGACATATGTCTGTAAATGTTTGTTAACTTAAATGTTTGATTGCAATCTCCTTACTACTCAGATTGTATTTCCTTTTGTCATCCTTTTTATAAATATCCATAATAAGTGCAAGAGGCATAACTTCAATTTTTAAAACCTTAAATCCTCCAGAATTGCTCCGCCTATTTAATTTGCATGTTGTCTGGATTTAAATAAATATTGATGTTTTTGACCAAGTGTTACCAAAATTGAAATGTAGGAAATTTGTCAAGACGGGAAAATCCCAAACTCATCTTTACCTAAATGGAGTGCAAAACTGTGCCAAAGCGACCGGAAACTCGTATTGACTTGGTAACTGAAGTTGAGAGGAAATCTGGGACGTGGTGTAGCCGTTTTGGGTTGAAGTGTTGCTTTGGGATTATGCTGGTTATCATTCTCATATATTGCTTTTACTTGCATTTAAACTTTGCAACAGTTCAGAAACAAATAAAACATTTGCAAACAAAATGGGAAGACTCTGAGCAGCCTCAGACGTTTGTAAAACGACATTTGGTAAGTTATGTAAATTGAGAACACAATCGTTTGATTTCGATGATTAAACACTGGTCCATGATTTTGTTTCAGTCACATGTTACAATCAATAAGTTGTTAAATCCTATTGATATTTAAAATCAAATAAATAATCGGCGCTTTATGTTGCGCTTTTAAGACAATTCAATGGAAAAAAAGTAAAATAACAAAAATACCGATTTCCAAGGAAAATTCAAAACGGAAAGTCCTTTATCAAATGGCAAAAGCTCAGACACATCAAACGAATGGAAAACAACTGTCATATTCCTGACTTGCAAACATTGCAAATACATTTTTTCTTTTTTTTTTTTTATTAATGTACCTTTCAATGGAACTTTAGATTTAGTTCTGTACTCCCTTATACTTTTTTAAAATGTGCCAACAGCCCATGAATATTATATTGTTGCCTTTCTTTAGAAATCTTTTATTTAATCATTTGTTAAGAAACAAGTCATGATATTGCTAGAATCTAAAAGATAACACATGAAGCTGTTTTACTGTAAATTTTATTGCAGATTGATGTGGTCCTGGTATGACACAAATCTATGAGAAATTGGCTTAACAACCAAGTTGCAATTTCCTTGTTTGCTTTTAATTTTTTACCAGACTTTGAACAGACAAATTATCATTTGTGCAAATTATCAATTGCGCGTGTTAAGTTTACCGAAGACATTCGGCTTTGATTTAATAATGCTTATCGACGCCTGATGCAACTATAATATTTATAGACGCAAGAATTATGAATTTCGTAATTAAAACTTCTAAATTCATTTTACAGCATGTGATTAAAGTCAGATTTAAATAGTCTAATCAAATTTTTTTTTCGTATTATAGAGCCAGTCCTGATAGTTAGCACTTCATTTATACACTGATATTATAAGTTAAAATCCTTAATGTATTTAGCCGTTAGAAACATACGTCTATGAAAAACAACCGTTGCTTTCTCATAGACGTATGTTTCTAATATCTAGACTATATCAGGGTGACAACCGGACTTGTTTTATCTTTACGGAGAACTTTATATTCAAAGGGAAGCAAATGTTATATTTATCCTCTTCAGGAATGCACGAGTAATCACCCATCTATTCTGTCGTATGACAAAACTGTCCACGTACAGAATACTCAATCATACGACAAAACTGTCGGCGTACAGAATTCTCAATCATACGACAAAACTGTCGGCGTACAGAATACTCAATCATACGACAAAACTGTCGGCGTACAGAATACTCAATCATACGACAAAACTGTCGGCGTACAGAATACTCAATCATATGACAAAACTGTCGGCTTACAGAATACTCAATCATATGACAAGATATCAAATACAGAGGATGTTGTACGATTGCCAATATTACAATCGACCGTTTAGAAAGATTTCAAACAAGAAGGGGAATGAATATTTTACCATTTGGTGTTCAAAAAGGTACAAAAACCCATAAAGTAAGGTTACAGTAGTTGTCGTCTGTTTATGTAGTTCATACGTGTTTCTCGTTTCTCGTTTTTATATAGATTAGACCGTTGGTGTTCCCGTTTGAATGGTTTTACACTAGTAATTTTTGGGGCCCTTTATAGCTTGCTGTTCGGTGTGAGCAAATGCTCCGTGTTGAAGGCCGTACCTTGACCTATAATGGTTTACTTTTATAAATTGTTACTTGGATGGAGAGTTGTCTCATTGGCACTCATACCACATCTTCTTATATCTATTAACTTTATATGTGAGTGTTACCCAAATTTGAAAAATTCAAAAGAGACAACATAAAACCCAGTGTTATAAATAAAAGAAATTTTACAAATATATAACTGATAGACAAGCTATTGGTCTGTGCCAAACGAATTAACTATGTGTCTGGATTCATGGTGATTATGTTTTCGAGAAGTAAACCACTTGATTATAATGATAAAAACGAATTGGAAACGATCTTATAAATGTTCTTTTACTAATTGATAAAGTAATATGTATGTAATATTTTGAAGGCGATATTTGATGACGCATAACGAAGGCGAATGATGCTGTTGCCTACTCTTAATTAAAAAAAATAGGGATAGTTTTATCACTTTTCTCATAAAAGTATTGAATCGTTTATTCGGACGCACTAATATTATAAAGTGTTATTTTCAGTGTTTTATCACTTTGTGGATACCGCTGCTGGTGGACTGCTGGTATTCAACGGTATCATCTCCTCAGGAGTTAATACCATGGTACTAACATTATAAACTTATCTTAAATTCTCTGTTGATCAATTTAAAACTGTTTGGAAACTAAAGTTCCAACTCCCTCAGTCAAATTTGGCCTGAGATGGATTTTGGATAATGATTTTTGGTCCTATAGATATGACGTTTTCAAGTATCTTAACATCCTAGGCCTTTAAAACCGTTTGTGTTTGAACGTGCCTGGTGAAGGTAAATCCAAAAAAGCGACGCACTAAATTTATGAATTCTTATTTTCATTGTGTAATGTTTAAACAGATTGCTTTTTTTTTTGTAATGCATAATCATATTGAGTAATTAGTGTAATGTTTAAGAAGATGGATTTTCCTTAAGGTATCGAATAATTTGTGTACTGTTTAAACAGATTGATTTTTCCATAAAGCAGAAAAGTATAAAATAGCCTAATTATGTTGATAATTTTCAATTTGCAAAGTTAATGTAAGTACTTGCATCTCAGTGTAAAATCTTGTCTGATATTAAGTCAGTTGGTAATCCCCGTAAATGACAATCACTCATACATACAATATATTTGTAGAGTGTCGGATAATATAAAATGTATTTGTACGAGCTTTAGGAACAGTACGAAAAGCGAAGATTTGCCGAGCTATTCTCCTGTTTCGTAGCGAGTCAAATCAATTTATGTTTTCCCGCCAATGCACATATATTGTTTTTATCATGCTGTTTGTTCTCTCCATTTTAACGTTTTGTTTTTTGTTTTTTTTATTCCAAAACGTAGTCTTTCATTCGAATCGACATGGCTTAAATATGGACCGCGAGGAGGACCCCACAATAAACTGTGAAGTAACAGTAATTTCAATATTACCGATTGCTCAACATTGAATCAGGATAACAGTAGACATTACTAATGCAAATAAAGAAAACATTTATGTGTATACCTGTTACAATAGTTCGTTGATTGCATAGAAACACTTCCAATGCAACATTTAAGAGATGATTTAAACAGAAACCATTACATAAAAATGTAATTCCCTTTAAACATCTGTTCTTTTCATATTTTCTTGTCATCAAAACGTCTCAAACTAGAAATAAAATTTGAAGCATTTTACTGGATTAATATTTAATTAACTGTTAAATTACTTTATTCATGGTGATAAAAATAAGACAAATTACAAACACAGGTTTCAAGTTATTATAACTATTTGTAGGTGGGTTTTTAAGAACAGTTTGAATTCGAAGACAGTCCAGCTTGTTTGGTTATACAATTGTTTTGGTTGTACGTGCATCTGCAAATTAAAACGTCAACAGAACATAGAATTAAACCCCTGTTTGTTTGTTCCGCAAATGCACGTATACGCATTAGCGCGTTTATGAAAGTAGGAGCAAGGAGCGTGATAAAAAATAAAGTTATGATATTGACATTAACCTATACTATAGTTATTAATTAACATCTAAGTACAAATGTATGTACAGAACATATTAACATCTAAGTATGTACAGAACATATTTTAGTTGAATTTAAACGATTTTCTAATAATAAGATGAGGTCCTTATGTTCTTTTGAACGTTTATCAACAAATTGGACAGAGCTGTTTACCCCTCCGTGGCACCCAAGTTCACTCGGTCATAGGTTGTTTTATGGGGTTCTTGTTGTTTTATCTTTTAGTTGTCCGTGTTTTGTGTTTTAGACTGTTGTTTGTCTGTTCTTATTTTCTCTCTCAGTCATGGTGTTGTCTGTTTTTCTTCTTACAATTTCTGTTGTCGCCTGTGCATCTCCTCACCTTTATTGCAAGCCGCATTTTGTAATATTTTCTCTGTCTCCAGGTAACGAAGAAGCCGTGTAATTTCGTGCATAGTTTTGAAATTTAAGTGCAGACTTTAAAACAATAGAACAGATTTCCTAGAAAAGTTTAATTTAAAAATAATGTTTCAATCAGTTGCATGACTGCAAGCTTTTTGTTTTAGATTACGTTGCAGTTTACTGAAAAACTGACACCAACATTTCTTTTGTTGAGAAATACAAAGGCAAGGTATTGTAGACTGACTATATGGCACATGATTGGACTTTACTAGTCGATACTTTCTGGAATGATTTTATGATAACAAAGTCACCATTTATTCATCGAAAAACTTGTTATATCATATTTGTTTTTCGTTCATTATTTTGTACATAAATCAGGCCATTAGTTTTCTCGTTTGAATTGTTTTACATTTGTCATTTCAGGGCCTTTTATAGCTGACTATGCGGTATGGTTTTACTCATTGTTGAAGGCCGTACGGTGACATATAGTTGTTAATGTCTGTGTCATTTGGTCTCCTGTGGAGAGTTGTCTCATTTGCAATCATACCACATCTTCTTATTTTTTCAGTTATACTACCACTTAGTCATGTTTAATTGTTTAAAAGATCGTGATAGTACTGACATGTTTTACAACAGGCTTTTTTCGTAACCGTTTGACCGAACTGTGGTCATACTTGTCCTGTGTCATCGCCCGTAAACATGTTTAACCCCATCACAGTATGTATGTGCCTGTCCCAAGTCAGGAGCCTGTAATTCAGTGGTTGTCGTTCGTTGCTGTTTGTCATATTTGTTTTGCGTTCATTGTTTTGTACATAAATAAGGCTGTTAGTTTTCTCGTTTAGATTGTTTAACATTTGTCATTTCGGGGCCTTTTATAGTTGACAATGCGGTATGACTTCCGCTCTTGTTGAAGGCCATACGGTGACGTATAGTTGTTAACTTCTATGTTCTTCTGGCGGAGAGTTGTCTCATTGGCAATCATACCACATCTTCTTATTTCTATAAGTCACTTCGCTGGAGACATGTGTGTCCCTAGGTAGACATTGGTAAAGCCAGGTACTATCAAACTAGAAAATAATTGTCCTCACTTGTTCTATTTGAATAACAAGTATTATAGACAAGGAATAACGAAACAACACCATAATGACATATTTGACGTAAGAACATTCGTTTCATCGGCATTTTAAGACATTCATTGCACAAAGATAATTCTAGTGCAATTCATTTGTAAAGAGGATTTTTATTGGTAGTCGACATATATTTTGATAGGATAGATTCTACTGTCTACCGGTCTGTAACTTTTTTATATTTTCTTGCACTTCATTTCAGCCAAGCAATTCTTCGTTTGGTATCACATATACTGTTGAAATATTTTAGGAAGATCAAAACGGGCGACAATCCAGAAGTAGTCTACAGCAACGACGACATAATAGAAGAAGAAATAGAAGTAGGTTTAATTAAATTCTAATTGATTATTCTTTTTAAGAAGCTTTTCCTATGTTATCTAACTTATGTTTGTTACACATCGTTTATAATTAAAATCTAACTTTAGTACTAAGTCATTTATAGACACCGAAAGTAGTTTGGTGTATACTTTAGTACTAAGTCATTTATAGACACCGAAAGTAGTTTGGTGTATACTTTAGTACTAAGTCATTTATAGACACCGAAAGTAGTTTGGTGTATACTTTAGTACTAAGTCATTTATAGACACCGAAAGGAGTTTGGTGTATACTTTAGTATTAAGTCATTTAGAGACACCAAAGGAGTTTGATGTATACTTTAGTATTAAGTCATTTATAGACACCGAAAGTAGTTTGGTGTATACTTTAGTACTAAGTCATTTATAGACACCGAAAGGAGTTTGGTGTATATGCCATTACGACAACAACATATTGACACAAAAAAATCACACCTAGAGATCAACATACATATATTTCACGGGTCTATGTACACCTAGAGATCAACATACATATATTTCACGGGTCTATGTACACCTAGAGATCAACATACATATATTTCACGGGTCTATGTACACCTAGAGATCAACATACATATATTTCACGGGTCTATGTACAATATATCAACCTCTAAATAGTCCAATGTCAAGAAAAAGGAATCTGTCAAAGATCTGCTTTAAACACAATTACCAAATCTATGAAAAGTCATGTCAAGTAAAATATAAGTCATTGTCAATGAAAGCTGTTTAACAACTATCGAGATGACGAACATCAATAAAAGAGTTCATACTTTGATCTATTGGTTATTTTCTACTATTTTATGGGACCTTTTGTGTATGTAGGTCACACTAATTCCTTTTTTTTTCAATGCTTAGCCGTTAGGATTCAATGTTATTGTTTTTTTATTGTAGGACATAATCAAGAATTAGAGGAGAAATTAAAAGGTAAATTTCAGTTTTCTATAAAATCTCTAGTATTTAGAAGTGGTCATTTCTAAATCTAATACACACAACCTGTGAGATGGAGGATTAACTCCGTATGACACAGTAAAAATGTATACATAAAATATATTACAAAGAAGGTTGTAATTTGGCCTGGTGATTTTATTAGCATTACCAATCTAATTTCTAGGTGTGTCTTTAAATGAACCTTTATGTGTAAATATTTGCTGTGACCACGATTGGCTGGTAAGACAGCTCTGCACCGTCTCGATATTGATTGAATCAATTGCTGAATTCGAGCCTGTGGTATCCTTTGCTATAATGCCTCGCGTATTTACTAACATTTTGCAGAGCTGTCCCATAAGCGTTCAAATGATTTATATCCTGTCGTAAGGAAGTATAAATTAGCGCGTGTGGTATCATAAGTGTTGTCATCTGATTCTTATTTCTACAGCTAGGACAAGCTGAATTGAATAATTTCATCTAAATACTACAAAGAAGTGAGTTTTTTTCCAATTCTATTTAGCACATGTAGGAATTGGCTCCCCACACCATGACAATGAATAAACTCATCATAGATACCAGGTTTATTTAAATGTTGTACAGACGCGTGTTTCGTCCACAAAAGACTCATCAGTGACGCTCGAATTATAAAAGTTCAAAAGGCTATATAAAGTACGAAGTTGAGAAGCATTTAGGACCCACAATTTCTTATATTTCAACTTCAGCCAAACATCTGTGGTTGAAACTTTTATTTTGACGAGCTCGACCATTTGTATTTTAAAGCATAAATCACTAAACCAAACTTGTCGTATTGTTTGTGCCGGGGCCTAATTGATGCATATCATGTTGATGTTTGCAATTATACTACAGAGATAAATTACCAATATAAATTGTGACAGAGCTGTTGCATGTCACTTTTCGATCCGAATTGCTAATACCTGCCAAAGGCGAGAAATTGAGAGCCCTTCAACTTTAAAAGATACAAGTTCGTGCCAACAAGTCTAATAATGAACTCAGGATGATTCGACATACATGCATATATCGGTAATATAAAAATAAGAATGTGTGGTAATTCTGTGACTGCCAATGATAAATTAAGGTGACAGTTATTTTCCGATGTTCAAATCTCGTAAATCGAATTAGAAGAGACAAATCATTTGTAACAATAGACACTGAGTTAATCGCGTGGAAAGAGAAGCGAGACCAGGTGCGTCGACAGGGAAAGCGTCTCCTGCTATGCTTACAACACCAGCCACGAGAATTGACACTCAGTAGAAATGTCACAATCGGTAATAGGACACCATTGGTACATAGCAGACGACATGTATCTAAAGATCTAAGACCGCGAAAGCATGTACATAGCAGACGACATGTATCTAAAGATCTAAGACATCGAAAACATGTCGCTAGTGAGTACACAGTACACCGACACAACATATCGGTCAACCAATTTGTGATTGTGAACGCAAAACTTATGAAGTAACGATTTCAGTCGTTCTTTCACATAACAGTTTCTGTATGAGGAGCCCGCCCCTGTTAATGAAGTCTATTGTGTGAACATGAACGAGCGTTACGTATTAACTGAGAATTGTAAACGCCATACGATGGATCAGAGGATATCTTACTGCTGAGAAATGGGAAGTTGATTAAGTTGAAATCATTACGTTTTACAATAAATTCTAGTTTGTAGTCGTCCATCAGTGTAAATGTCGAGGAAAATATAAAGATATGAAGCAGACATTCTACTTTCGGTATTATCCTTAATTTCAAGTTCACAGGGATGTACGAGATGTAATCACTCATGGAAAAATGGGTTATTGAGTGATAGAACATCATAGATATATGTGAAAGTGAAATAAAAGAACTTTGAGAGGGTTCTGTGTGAATTCTGCTTCAGTACAAAAACAAGTCGGCCATTATTAGATGAAACGGCAAAGAAGTGATCAATTATGTTTTATGTTTGTTTTAAATTGTATTTATTTCTGTTAATAGATGACAAATATTGCTAACCAGTCTAAATTGTACATGACAAACTGACTATTGCGCTCGCAAATATATCACAATGCAAGCATAGCTATATATTTAAACAACTGAAAAATTTGGATGAAGCATATATTAGTTGATTCTCTTTCTAGATTTGTCAGAATTGCCGCTTGTTCATTTAACAGCACAACAGCCAGAAAGTCAACTGACACCAAGACTTAATCAACTTAGAGGTGATTTATTTTTTTCTGCAATGTAAACAAACAGAGGCAAAATTATTTTCCGATTAATTAATCTTTGTCAGTTTTATATATTTTTACGTACATAGACCACACATTTTTACGCACATAAGACCACACATTTTTACGCACATAGACCACACATTTTTACGCACATAGACCACACATTTTTACACACATAGACCACACATTTTTACGCTCATGGACCACACGTTTTTAACAGAACCACTATGCAACAAATTCCTATTTTTTTTGTAAAACTGGGTTATTTATTGTATGGGACTCAATAATGACGCCAATAGCATAGTGTAATTCCACTTTAAAAGTATATAACTGATCATTGTTAAACGACATTAGAAATGACATTAGAAACGACATTAGAAATGGTATTACATAATGTGAATTGATGGTCTTATTAGTTTTTAAACGACATTAGAAATGGTATGACATAATGTGAATTGATGGCCTTATTAGAAGTGATATGATTCAAAATTACTTTATAAATTCAATTAAAAAAAAATAAGTAATGCCATGCCATTTAGTTATACTTCTACATACTTTCATGGTTAACACCTGCCTCATACATGTATTAGCAATCAGAAAATAATGAAATATATCTCTGTATAAATGATTAAGATGGCTATTGTCAATGATAAAGACTTCAGACTGCAGAAACATACAATGACACTTTTTTGTATTTATATTCAGATGCATGTCTTGACAACCAGAAGTGTTTCCTGTGGTCAGAACCACCCAGTTATTTTCAATGGAGTTTTACATATATTCGACAAGAAAGTAAAATTGTTGGAATAAATATAACTAGAGCAGGGTATTATGAAATTTACTCTCAGATCAGTGTTGCTGGATTAAAGAATGAAGATATTTTGCCGTAAGACTAAACCTTGATTTATTCAAGGCGTTATTCATACACGTAAAACTATCTTATCTATTTATATGCAATCATCTTTATTTTCCTTGTCATAAAAAGTCATAGAAAAAATAGAACAATTGAAATATTCTTATCATCTGAATGTTCAACATTTCATTCAGTCTTTTCAAGGAGGCTTTATTCTTTTCTTGCATCCTTAAACATCTTGTCTCTGCTTAACAGAGCAAACAAATACAAAAAAAAACATGGTAGAGGCAATTCACTACTTGTAGTAAAAACATGTATGCTTTAATGTATGACAAAAATATTCCTACTGAAGTGTTGCTTTTTTTATTTCTTTAGAGTGTATCCTTCATTTGGCTATGAAACGATCAGAGTACCTGATGGAGACAATCCTATAGCTCTATCTAGAAGTTATATTACACAGGATGAAAGGTAAAATCCTATATTTCTGACTTGAAGTTATATTACACAGGATGAAAGGTAAAATCCTATATTTCTGACTTGAAGTTATATTACACAGGATGAAAGGTAAAGTCCTATAGCTATGACTAGAAGTTACATTTCGCAGGGTGAAAGGTAAAGTCCTATAGCTCTGACTAGAAGTTATATTACACATGATGAAAGGTAAAGTCCTATAGCTCTGAATAGAAGATATATTACACTGGATGGAAGGTAAAGTCCTATAGCTCTGAATAGAAGTTATATTACACAGGATGAAAGGTAAAATCCTATATTTCTGACTTGAAGTTATATTACACAGGATGAAAGGTAAAGTCCTTTAGCTCTGAATAGAAGTTATATTACACAGAATGAAAGCTAAAATCCTGTAGCTCTGACTAGAAGTTACATTACACAGGACGAAAGGTAAAGTCCTATAGCTCTGACTAGAAATTATATTACACAGACTGAAAGGTAAATTCCTATACCTCTGAATAGAAGTTACATTACACAGGATGAAAGGTAAAGTCCTATAGCTCTGACTAGAAGTTATATTACACATGATGAAAGGTAAAGTCCTATACCTCTGAATAGAAGTTATATTACACATGATGAAAGGTAAAGTCCTATACCTCTGAATAGAAGTTATATTACACAGGATGAAAGGTAAAGTCCTATAGCTCTGACTAGAAGTTATATTACACAGGATTAAAGGTAAAAAGTCCTTTAGCTCTGTATAGAAGTTACATTACACAGGACGAAAGGTAAAGTCCTACAGCTATGACTAGAAGTCAAATCACGCAGGGTGAAAGATAAAGTCCTATAGCTCTGACTAGAAGTTACATTACACAGGCAGCTTATGTTTGACACATCCCGCCAGAGCATTTTGAATTTTATACTCCCAGACTTGGTTAATTAGACACCGTAGATTCAAGATTGAACAGTATAGACTTCGTACATCTAAGTATGAGCAGTTCCCAGACTGAGCAGGGTAAACAGTTTAGACAAAGTACAGCCCAGACTGAGCAGTTTATACTTCACGTTGGTACATCCTGGACTTAGCACTGTGACAGATCCAAATTTGAGTAGTTTTGATTTCGTACATCACAGACAAAGCAGTTTTGCCTATGTACATCCAAGATAAGACATTTTAAGCTAGACATATCCAATACTGGTTATTTTAGATTTGGAACATCCTAACCTGAGCAGTTTAGACTTGTTACATCCCATACTGAGCCATTTTATGCAGTTTAGACTTGAAAATCCCTGACTGTGACGCTTTGAGCTATAATCAAATTGAGAATGGAAATGGGGAATGTGTCAAAGAGACACCAACCCGACCATAGAACAGACAACAGCAGAAGGTCACCAACAGGTCTTCAATGCAGCGAGAAATTCCCGGAGGCGTCCTTCAGCTGGCCCCTAAACAAATATATATACTAGTTCAGTGATAATGAACGCCATACTAAACTCCAAATTGTACACAAGAAACTAAAATTAAAAATAATACAAGACTAACAAAGGCTAGAGGCTCCTGACTTGGGACAGGCGCAAAAATGCGGCGGGGTTAAACATGTTATAAACCAGACTGAACACTTTAAACCATGGTTTACATTACCAGCTAGAGTAGTTAACCCTTGGTATATTGGATTGAACAGTTTAGATCTGACAAATCCCAAAATGAGCAGCTCAGGTTTGACACATCCCGCCAGAGCAGTTAAGACTCGATACAACCTATATACCTTTTTATACATTGTGACATGGATGGAGAGTTGTCTCATTGGCACTCATACCACATCTTCCTATTTATATGTTGAACTCTTAAGACTCCGTACATTCTAGACTGAGCAGTTAAGACTTGACACATCACAGTTTAGACTTGACACATCACAGTTTAGACTTGATACATCCCCGACTGAGCATTTTAGTCTTGACAAATCCCCGACTCGACTGAGCAGTTTAGAGTAGGTACAACCCAGATAGGGCTGTTTAGACTTGACACATCCCAAACTGAGCAGTTTGGACTTGACACATCCCAGACTAAGCAGATTTAATATGTACATTCCTCAGTCACAGCCCTGACTAAGAGGTTTAGACTTGGTAAATCACCGACAATTTAGTCTTCGTGCATCCAAGTTTGACCTGTTAAGACTTGGTACGTCTCAGACTGTGCAGTTTAGACGTTGTGCATCCAAGTTTGACCTGGTAAGACTTGGTACGTCTCAGATTGTGCAGTTTAGACTTTTTACATCCAAGTTTGACCTGCTAAGACTTGGTACGTCTCAGACTGCAGTTTAGACTTCGTGCATCCAAGTTTGAGCTGTTAAGACTTGGCACGTCTCAGACTGTGCAGTTTAGACTTCGTGCATCCAAGTTTGACCTGTTAAGACTTGGTACGTCTCAGACTGTGCAGTTTAGACTTCATGCATCCAAGTTTGACCTGTTAAGACTTGGTACGTCTCAGACTGTGCAGTTTAGACTTCGTGCATCCAAGTTTGACCTGTTAAGACTTGGTACGTCTCAGACTGTGCAGTTTAGACTTCGTGCATCCAAGTTTGACCTGTTAAGACTTGGTACGTCTCAGACTGTGCAGTTTAGACTTCGTGCATCCAAGTTTGACCTGTTAAGACTTGGTACGTCTCAGACTGTGCAGTTTACACTTGATACATCTCAGACTATTTACCTGTTCAAGACTACTTTTGTTATATTTTGATTGGTTATCTTCAGTTTGGAATTTTAAACAAAATATTAAAAGTTTTATTAAGAATCTGGATATTGAAATTCAGATATTAAATTCGAATACTAGATTGCGACCTTCAAATATATGACTTCGAAATTGGAATCTCTATTATAAACTATTATTTGTCTATGCTGTCGTAAGATTTTGTATAAATGATGAATTGCTTCAGACAGGTTCTTTGGGGTTTGGAGAAAACATCATTTTAAACTGGGGAAAGTAAGTTCTCAATAACTTCTAGTCATTGCATTTTTACAAGTGGATGAAAACATGATAAATGTTATTCTGTGATTGTTATAGCAATAAAACTACATATGTTTCTTGTAGAGGTCAGCATTATGGTAATAGTGATGGATCAAACAGTCGACCAGTGGACACATTGAATCAAATGGGACAATTCCGTTTGAATTGTAAGGATATCATTTTGGTACGCCTTGTTCAAGATTTAAATGCCATGAATATACATTTTGCCTCAGATCCACAAAGAACATATTTTGGTGTTAGACTTGTTCGACCCAAAGGGATCAAAGACTTTAGCTGTTATTAAAACCATGATTTGCCTGCGGAAATGGTTTCAGATTCGATGATTTTATTTTGAAGAGGATACTTTCTTCTGTTCTTAGAGCTATAAATGAACACATTGCAAATTAACAACCAAACTTGTCTTTTTTTTAAATATTTCTTTTAAAGCGTTTTAAGGAGTAGATAAATAGACACTTTTCTGATTATTGTTTGTTTTAGACAAAGCCTATGTGACCAGTTTTATCCACATTTCCCGTTTCAAAGGGTTAATATTGCCTTCTGAAAAACATTGGCCTAACCCTTTGACCAAAAAACGATTATCATAAAGAAATATTCATGAGTAAGATTTACATCCTAATAAAAGAATTGAGTTGGTCCAATGTGGCCAATGTCGTCTAAAGTAGAAATTACCCAAATTTGGCAAAAGGTTGGCAAAATAATTATTTCAATCATTACAGTTTGCAATTTTGACGTCAGAATGACAGTCATTACAGGTGAAATGGTTCTGAGTTTATTGATTTTGAATTTGCTAGATATTTTTACACGTCTTTTATCTTATGTATATAAAATTACAGAACTTATTTTTAGTTTCATGTTGTTTTAAGGCCAATATTGACCCTTCTTGAACCTACTCCTTTGTTTCATATCTAATGCTTACATATAAAACTTGATCGTGTTATAATTATTAACAGAGCCGCCGTTCAAATATAGTTCACAATTAATTCAAAACAAAACAAAACAAAAAACGGCTTGTTTAGACATACTGAAAATTAACTGTTAAGGTAGATTGACTGTATACCGCCATCTTGGATTGTAAAATAGTAGTTGTCAGTATGTCTAGTTCTTTGCTTAAACCTGCAAATTTTTGAGACAGATTGGCAGTTAATGGGTTAAACTGTTTATTGGATTAAAGAAAAATAAGTGATTTACTGCATTATTCAGACTGATTTATCAAATACCAAATGCGTGTGTTTGTTCGACTCAAATAGCCAACAAAGCCATTTACGGGGAGAGAACTCAAATGGTAAACTTTTTATAAAGGAATGATAGAGAAATTTTCAATTTTTACCTGTAGCAAGAAAACAAGGTCGGTGACAACATTTTTATTTTTGTTTTCTTAAAGCTTATTTTAAAACCCATCTTCTCATATTTTATTTCAAAATTCTATCTCGTAGATTTCTTTTTATTCCCAATAAAGTGTTTTTTCATGAACAATCCATGCAATTTTGGGCAATTTTGCACGACTTGTAACTTGAAAAATAGCACGGTGACCCATAATTTTTATTATATTTTCGAAAAAAGCATGGAAAATCTACATTCTGGCAAAGTATAAGAAAATTCTACCTGAGGAAATATATACCAATGATCCACCTTAAGATTTGTATCTATATGTATTTCTGCCTTAAAATGTTGGTATAATAATATGTGAAGGTTTATCATGAAAACCACCGAATGTAAAATATTGCAGTCGTGAAGGCAAAAACTATTTCTAAAGATTTTTGTAGGTCCATTGTTGTAACCTCATCGCCATACTTCTTTGTACACCTTGTGATAGTCATATCAAAAATCCTTCTGATCATAAAATTATTGTCTATTAAATTGCTAATTTATATCTGGTAATGGTATTGTGTTCTTACCGCAGTAAATATTTATAAAACTTGTAATGAAATAATATGAAGTATATATAGTCTTAAATAACGATATACATGTAGTGTATGTAATGGTTTATGTAAGATGTCTGTTTATATAATTGATTATATTACTGCATCGAGTGTGATACGATATTTCTCAATCAGTTTAATCCGCGAGGCTTAACGAGAGTTTTGAATATTAGAAAATTAATTGTCGAGGGAGGAGGTATATTGTCACGTTTAAATGTGATTTTAGAGTCTGTTTGTCTGAAATTTTAAGAAAAAATATATCAAACTTTATCTTTATTTTTCAATGATCAGCGAAAAGATCGTGCTCTTTCTATATGATGTCACCAGGAATGTTCGCCTTTTTGTAATGGCACATTAGCGTATTCAAGGGAAATTAATGAAAAATAAGTAAAACTATTTATGTATTCACGTAAACGAACTTGCATATCCTCACTCCACAGAGAGATCAAAACTGTCTTTTGAATGCAAGGTTGAAATGTTTGTTAAGTGTACGTTTTCACGTTTTCTATAATTAATCAATTCCTGCTCTTATTCTTTTCAATGACACCATTTTCTTTGATATTTTTTATGTTCTAATTGTTATAGGTACATCTTTAGTGGCTTCTGATATATCTAAATATGGCGTAAATTCAATTTGATACGAGTGTATCCAATACACTTAATCTGTACTTTGATTATTGTTTATCAACGTATTAAATTCAATTTTAGATACTTGGCTTTAACCATTGTAGATGTGCAATCTACAAAATATATTGATTCAACTATGGAAGTAGTTATTGACATACTTCGATGATTCAACCATAGAAGTATTTTATTGGCATACTTCGATGACTCAACCATGGAAGTATTTATTGACATACTTCGATGTCTCAACCATGGAAGAATTTATTGACATACTTCGATGATTCAACTATGAGAGTATTTATTGACATACTTCGATGATTCAACTAAGCAGTAAGAGTTAATATTTGTTTTCGTGTTATTGTGACTAATTTACAATTTCTAAAACCAAGTTATATTTTAAAAAGTTAAATGTTCTGGTTTTTTTTTAAGTGCCCTTTACAAATTTGAAAAGTTTCAAAACACATTAAAATAATGCAGGTTAACACGGAGTAAGCGTTTTAAAAACGATAACGTCGTATATATCCAGTAGCTCTTTTCACAAAAAATCTTAAGTGTAAAATTTATCGTAAGTCTAAAATATTCCTTAACAATTCAACTAAATATTTTTATCGTAAGATTAATTTTACACTTAAGATTTTTTGTGAAAAGGACTACAGGTGTATATAATGTTATAGTAATGCAAAGACAAATGCAAAATATCATGTTTTTATCATGCAAATCCTGATAGCGTTTTTTTTTTTTTAGATATTAAAATAATACAACATAGTTTGAGGGAAAATATTTGTTTTTGTAGATATATTATATTGTGTTTGTATATTTAAAATTAAATAAATGGCAAAGTGAACATAAAGGAAAATGGCAAGACCAGTATTTTGTTATCTTGTTTAAAGATTGTGTATATATATATTTATAAATATTATTGTATTGTTATTTTAATTGTTGATTTTTTACTAATTTGATTGTCTCAATTTATTCTTTATGATACAACATAATCATGTGTTTAATGATAAATGGAGATAAAATAGACAAAACAATATTTTGACAAACTTGGAGACTGTCGGAGGTCATTGAGTAATCGGTCCATTATCACGTTAACTATTTCATTGTATTTGTTATGACGGGTATTTTTAACTTTTTTTATTTATATAAATAAAAGCACAGCAATATGATGAATATGTGTTAGTAGTTTAATTCAATTGCATAGATTTAACATGTTATGTAGACAAAATAACATATAGATTTAGGTGCACATGACACTGATGTAAGTGCACATGACACCGATTTAAGTCCACATGACACTTATGATTCAAGTACAAATGACACCTGCTTATGGATATTCCTTCATCCATTGCACTTGACATACACAGAACAACAAAAATTATATATCGTATATGCTTCATTTTATGTCAAATGAAAATGAATACTGTTACAGGTATCTAAACAGATCAATTTCGAATGTGGCCAAAAGAATGTGTACGAAGCAAATCTGTATATGCAAAATACGAATTTCTTCAGAACAAATGAAGATTGTGATCATAAAAAAGAACCATTCGCGACGATAAATACTATCGATCAAAATGCAGTAAAAAATGAAAATAAAAAAAAAAATTAAGTACAGACCAAAGAGGCAAAATATACCAAATAGACATTCAAAGTCATAAGTCGAAAATAAACTTACAGCGTCATGGCTAAAGAAGAAAAAGACAAACAACAGTATACAAAACACAACATAGAAAACTCAAGACTGAGCAACACGAACCCCACCAAAAACTGGGGTTGATCTCAGGTGTTCCGGAAGGGTAAAGAGATCCTGCTCCACATTTGGCACTCGTCGTGTTACTCATGCAAGTACAAACCCAGTGATAAGTCTAATTCGGTAGGTTACATTCGGGGAAAAGGGGACGACAATTGGAACATATCCGTCGTCATCTGTGAAAAAAGATATTCCATAACGATCAACCAACTCGTGATGGCGTCCGTAAAATTAACGAAGGGATGATTTCCACTTCACCACTTGGAACTCTTGGATTAATAGCTTCCTTGTGAGCAGCAACTTTCTATCAAGGAAATCATGATAGGAAATGCAAGCCCTGGAATATCGTATCAACTGGGAGATATATACTCCGTTGGCAGGAGCTGCTGGAATGTTGCTACATAGAAATGGAAAGGTCAAAATTGGGAAGCTGAAATCATTTTTTTTGTGGTAAAGTTTTGTTTTCAACCGATCCTCATTGTCAATTTCTAGATGTTAGTCATGATATGAGTCAGACTTAACTGTATCTGTTGTATCCTTTATTACAAGTTCGATGGGATAGATGCGTTCAACAGTCACCAAATTTTGATTGAACTATTTAGTGAGAGAACATCAAATATATGGCGGAAAGTGAAGTTAAAGGATACTGCTAACTTCTTTTTTTTTTTTTTCCTATGAATAAAAGAACAAGTTGTCAAGAAGAGGAGCACAGTTTGTTCCCGTGGAAACGCCGATTATTTGTTCAAAAACACGTTCTCCAAACGAAACAAATATGTTGTCAATCAATAAATCAAGCATCTTGACAAGTCAGTTTCAGAGAACTTTTGTTCGAATCTGAGTGGTTTTTTACAAAGTACGATGTATCCCTCCCTAAGACAAGACACTTGTTTCTACGTTGGCCATTCTTTTTTTATGAAACAAAGCAGGATTAACTCTTTCAATTTTTCTTTTAGTTTGGAATGGGGAATACTTGTGTAAAGTGTAGAAAAATCAAATGTTTTAATACTATTGCAAGAGTCTTAGATTGTATGTACTCTAAAAGATCTTTGGAATTGTTCAGTATCCACATCTGATTCACGCCATCTCTAGAATAGGTAGTTTCACAATAACTTTGAAACCCGGATTAGATTGCTGATAAAATGGATGTTAATAATTTAGTAAGGAACTTATGTAGTTTAGGTATCCAATACAGTGAAGGGAGATCCAGTTCTTCATCTCTGGTTGAAATTCCAAAGGAACATAGAACAGACCTATGATTATCCAGGATTTCCTCCTTTGTATGTGTCGTGGGGTATATGTTGAGTTTCGAAGTGTTTTGCAATATTTGGGTCTTTAAAGATTGATGTAGCATGTGTATTCATAGACCCATTCAGTTTTTAAGCATGATTTGTATCAACGACCTCACAGCCTTAATCCATTCGAAAAGAGTATCTACGTCTTCTTTCTCGCATTTAATCCATTGCCTGGCATAATTCTCGACTGAATCCATCAGTATTTTGAAGTTGTGTTTCCAATTGATGGATTTAGGCTCACGATATTTCGGGCCCTTGGATAGCACATTTCGCAGAGAAGTGTTATTGACAATGTTTATGTCACCAGTATTAACGTGACCAGTCGGATTATATATAATTGGGGAACTAGCACATGTGCGATCAGGAGGATTACAATTGCACTTGAAGTAAAACATTGAGATCCTGCAACACGTGTTTGTAATTGAAAATTTTAGATGCAATTAGTTTGGTATAGGTATAAGAATTAATAGGTAGAGACTGATCTTTAAAATAGGAAGGTATTTTCGAGTGAACTGATTTATGATGAAGGATATTGCCTAAGTTGATGGCATCGAGACCTTTGTTGGCAAATGAAAGCTTTATAAAGGATCTTTTTCATATTTTCCGATGCGAACTGGTTTGAATGGTCTGCACTGGCAATATCACCAAAAGGTAAAAAAGTATAACAAAAATAACTTACTCCAAGGCAAATTCAAAAAGGAAATGTCCATAAAAACTGACAAAATCAAACGCTGTCAATCAACGAAACAAGTGAAAAACAACTGCCATATTCCTGTCTTGGTACAGGCATTTTCAGAAGAAAATGGTGGATTAAACCTGGTTTTATAGCTAGCTACACCTCCCACATGTCATAATCTGAGTAGCAGCTGCAAGATCTTGAATATCGTATGAGTTATGAGTTGAGAAATGTATACCCAATACACGGGTGAAGTTGGTATATTGCTGCTAAGGTGCGGAAGATTTATAATTTTAAAATTGAAATCGTCTCGGTTGTTATAGATTCTGGTACTGAGATAACCAAATTCGAGGTAAATGTCTAGAAATGATACAGAGAAAGCTGTATCTGTGGTTTCTTTAATCTCTAGTTTAGGAGGATATATCAATTGGACCCAATCAGAAAAGTTTGGATTCTTAATTGAAAGAAACTCATCAATTTACATGTATGTGAAATTAAACAATCTAGCTTCTTTAATCTTCTTGTTTTTTACAAGTTCTGAAGGAACTCTGACTCATATGAAATTAAGAAAAGGTCGGTCAGGAGAGGTGCACAGTTGGCTCTCGTATGAATGCTGACCAAAAAATCGAGGGTTTTGATATAATTTATTTCAGAAAATGACCGAGATTTTAAATTTTCCAGAAGTTCTTTTGAGTTCTTAGGGAGCTACCATTTGATTTTTATGGGGGGGGGGGGGGGGGCTAGGATGAAAAATTTTGTCCTGCATTTTTCTTTTAGTTGTAATCTCTGTCCTGCCTTTTTATTTTTCACTCTATTCGGTCCTGCCTTTTTGTTATTAGTTTATCCTGACTTTTTTTACATAAATTCTCATCCTGCCTTTTTTATTTGCCAAGTTGCTCATCCTGCCTTTTTTTTTACTCAAAACTCCTGTCCTGCCTTTTTTTTCAAATTGCATCCTAAATTTTGGTTAATCTAACAGACAATTCCTTTGTAGAACATGCAGATGAGCCGGCAATGTACCGTTGTTTATACGGAGCCTTGTGAAGTTTAGGCATCAATACAAAAAAAGGTAAGTCCTCAGATTTGTTGTTCATTGAAATATTCAATGAGGCCATGACGGACATGTTTTAATAAGTTGGATTACCTGAATGTTCATTTATTACTATTTCTTTGATAAGACACTCGTAGTAATAGGATTTACATACAAAAACAATATTGTTTGAAGCTTTGTCCGCAGGAACAACAAAATATTTGTCATGAAGAGACTTCAGACAGTTCAAAGCCTTTTTGTCTTTGAAAACGGACTTAGGTCGAACATTTACACAATTTTTCAACTTCTTCATTTTATCAACGACCTAATTGTTTTAATCTATTTAGACAGAGTGTCTAGTTCAACCTTTTCTCGTTTTACTCATGCTCTGGCGTAAAGCAGACGTTATGCAAAATACGAAATATCTACGAATAAAAACAGATTATGACCGGCACTGAAAAAAAGAGGGTAAGTTGGATAGGGACAGAAATTAGTACTGAAATAGTTCAATTAGTGAGGAAGCGAGACACATTCTCAACACGAGGCGATCCAATTCTGACAGGGTGTGACTGTGTATTTAGATATTCTGACAGGGTGTGACTGTGTATTAGATATTCTGACAGGGTTTGACTATGTATTAGATATTCTGCATAACCAAATTGACTTGACGTCAGGTTGTTTCTTACTCTCACAAATACATACCGATAACATAAGGCTAACACCACCAAAGATATATGTTGAAATATTAAAGTAAAGGAAATCATTTATACACATGGGAAAAAACCAAGTAAAAAATATAATTTACCTATATATATATATATATATATGTTGTGTACAAGTTATCATTTTGTACAAATTATAATTTGTACAAAAAAATCGTACAAATTATAATTTGTATTTTGACTTTGTACAAAAAGTCCTTGTACAAATTACAATTTGTACAAAATTCTACTAAAATTCACTTATAACTTGTACAATAATTTATGGTATGGATTTTGAAATAAAAAAGCATTGAAACACTCTATAGATTTGTTATTCAATGACCACACGATTAACCTTATTTACAAAATAAAAAAAATGTTCTGTATCATTTGTTTGAGCATGTGAGTGAATTATGGTATCGGGAATTGTGCAACATCTTTTGCTTTTTACATTTATATTTATAAGTGCTGCACCCCCTTTGCATTTACATGCAAGTAACCCCTGACCACCAGTTTTTTAAGGGTTTCTAACTGTTCCATGTCGTGAAAGTTGAAGGTCAGGAATCGTTGCTGCGAATAAAGATGTGTCTTTAACAGCTCAATTTGATTTCTTGACAAATGTCATTTGAAATTCAGACAGCTGTTCCAATGCGGTACCCAAATTTTCATGATTCAACAAGTACTCCTAAGATATTTCGAAGATCAGTTGGGTCACAATCAT